GGTTTGGAAGTGTGAAGTGTAAATAACGTTTTGCTTTGGCTTGGTAAAAGTGTAAAAGAGTGAGCCGATGGGATGAACTATTGAGAATCATAGGGTTTGACAACTTGACTTTTATACAGAGTTGACGGGTTCCTGTTTACGAGCACGGAGCGCTCTTTTGCTCCGAAATAGCCGTTTATAGCTATGGCGAAGTCATGATCGCTGACGCAGATTGATTGCGAGCCCCACCGCCTCAGCTACTTACAGCCTCGAATAGGTGCATTTCGCAGTGTAGTTGTCAAATGACATGACCAAGTCGTAAACTTACATAGATCAGTATCATGACGATCTACATGACCAAGGGAGCTTGAGCCAACCACAACGAACCATTTTCTCGCTAATGTTGCATGACTCCTTTGTGAAACTGCATCTTCAGGTGCGACAGTTCGTGGTTTTCTTACCGCTTCCACAGAGAGTAGATAATTAGCAGCGCAAATCCCACTTTACGGCAACAAGTCTGCCGAGGATAGAAATAAGAGAAACTAAAATGAGAAAGTCGCTACGAAGCCAAGGATTAAGGAGAAGTAGAACGGCGGTAACAACAACGTCGACGTAAATGAATTTAGACATGCACCCAGACACAATTACATGTAGGTAAGTCTAAGATTAATTAGCCTGGCCTCCAGCTGAAGACGTCTCAGTTATTATGTACTGATATTTCAAGAAGTAGTAAGCAGCAATTCGTCTCTGCATTCGACGCAAACGAAAGGATGTAGAGACGATGCTGTGAGCGGCGACATTTCGCAACAGAAGGCAATGCGACCTGGTAATACCAGCAGGTATGCTCTCCCTGCTTTCGATTCTTGATGCCGAAACTTTAGATGGGTAATTACATGTATAGCTTTCAGTACCGCTGCATTGGTGGCTCATTTCCATAAAGCCTGAGAGAAACTTGGAATAGAAGAGGTTTAGCAACCAGTCCATTGCGTCAGCTTTTTAACCAGGGACAAAAGCCTGACAGCAACACATGTGTGACCAAGGGTTTGATCGATTCAATTCCAGAGTCCCTCGGTACATTGGCAGTTAATATTATGGTTGAAGCTGGCCACAGCAAGGCTCAACGAGACCTTGGATGCTATCGAAAATTTGGGTAAACTTATAACCAGACTATCCCATCGAGTGCGGAATGGCGACAATACATTGGCCCCATAATATGGGCCCTCTGTTTCCCCTCACGACACCTGGTACATCCACCCGCGTCACATACCCCTATGTTTTTCAATATGGTACTTCCACCCAAACCAACATTATCAAAAATGCTACGATAGATTCTAACGATAGTAACGCCTCTGGAGCTTCCACGGGCTCCGCGAAGTCGTATATCTTTGTATTACTACCGGAAGATCTCGCTACCGCCTACACTACCGACTATACGCCGGAACGATATGATAATGCCACTGTTCGACCACGTAAGCCTCCGGAGGTCGAGCCGGGCATACCTGGGCAGTTCGTGCCCCTCAACGTGCCGCAGCAGGCCGCTGAAATACGAGCCCTCCCACCACTACCAATAGACCTCCTATTCGAATTCGTGCCGGCCGGCCTCGTTGGCCGTTGGGTTGAGTAGACGAATACGGCACCGCTCTCCGCAAGGCCGGGGCCAGCGCAGAGACGCTCTCACAGTCGTAACTAGAAACCTACCTCTTCCAACAAAATCTACCTCTTCTTAGGCATTCTGATTTATATAGGATTACATCCCGAATCTAAAATATCAGGATATTGGTCTGTTTCACAGCAGAAAGAAGATCCTATCCATTTGTTTACTCGGTTCATCTCGAGGGACCGCTTCCAGCTCCTCCGCCGCCTCAGGATCTTCGACACGACGAGGATCTCGGTACGAACGCCGGCAGCCCGGCGCCGCGGCCAGCCACGGGAAATTCAGATACCTAAGGTATACCAGCAGGTCAATAAGTAGTCTACTCACATCCAAGAGACCGGAGACCGCTTTTTCCGGGCCGGCTCCGACCTCACTGTCGACGAGGCCATAGTCCGCTTCACGGGCCGGTCTATAGAGACTATAACGATTCCAACAAAGCCAATACCAAAGGGGTTTAAGATATGGGTGCTGGCCCAATCGGGTTACTCCCTCCGCTGGCTATAGCACGTCTATAGAGACGGGCCCTACGGGCTCGTCCCACAAGCCCGCCCAGCCGCTAGTGACCACAAGGCCAAAAAGACTGCTCTTACACCTACACAGCGGGTGGTCACATCACTGCTTTCCCTTCTTCCATTGGCCACTTACCACGTCTTCCTCGATAATCTATTTGCCTCTATAAAGCTCTTCCGTGCTCTGCGGGCTCAGAGAATAGGGGCAACGGGCACGTGCCGGAAGGACGGTAGTATCGATGAGACTCTCATGGCTGAGAAGGAGACAGAAGGCAAGGGACTTCCATGGGGTCAGATCCATACGATCTCTACAGCAGACGGGCAAGTATATTGATACAAACAGCTCTGGGTGGTGTCATACATATTGATCAGTTCGTTTCATCATTGCCTAGGTCAACCAATTCACTTGGAAGGATAATGCCCTCGTTCTCTTCCTCACAACGGTCTTCCGAGAGACATCCGACGTTGTTCGTAACCGTCGCCGGCCCGCTGGAGATACTGCTGCTAAAAAGGCAGCACGGGAGGTCTTCGGTCCCGACGTACGTAAGGACCTCCGGATCCCTCTCGCGATCGATGAGTACAACCACCGTATGAACGGCGTCGATACGAGTGATCAAATGCGGTCCTATTACGACTTTAGTAGACCAGTGAGGCGGGGCAGTTGGCAAGCAATTACCTGGAACTTTCTCCTCGAAGTCATCATTATCAACACGTTCCTTTTACAGTACTGGGGAAGTCCCGAGTGGCCTCGGGTTGAGAACCAGTACGAATAGCGTAGACTACTATCTGCCCAGCTAATCCAGAGGTTTAGACCATTAGCAGAAGGTCGACGTAAGGGACGTCCGAGGAGAGCAACAGATCGAAGGAATGAAGCCGTACCATAGAAATTACACATACGAGGTCGTAAAAATACCAACTCCCCTTGCGTTGGCTGTAGCCTCGTATCGCAGATTGAAGAGAGGAATACGCTAGGCGAGATAAGTAGTAATATTCACACCAGACGGCCGCGGCGGAAGTACACGAGGATGGGCTGCCTCGAAAGTAAATATCGCCCTATATAACTCAGATGAATGCTAGTACAATTTCCATAACCAAAATCTTTGATATAAGGAAGTACCTATTATCAATTATGGCAATTGGGCCAAAAAGGGGCCCACAGATGTCTAATTGGCTCCGTCTCCGCATCTCAATGTACTGTCGCCATTCCGCACTCGATGGGATAAAGTGTAATCCAGCGACGGCATCTATTGCTCAGGTCAACCGCCCCCATAAAGCTAGAAGCACTGACGTGATGAGAAGACACACATAGTTTTGCTGCCACGAATCTGTACTAGGACATGGAGCCACGCGGGGTAACGTATACCGACAGCTTCGCGAGCTACAGTATACGACAATGTAGGAAGCTCAAAGTACTCCAAGTGGGCAAGGAAGAGGATCTAGTCTAAGTAGTGAGTGAGAAGTAGGCGTACCTTCATAAGAAAGCATATCAGTATCTAGGAGACAGGTTCCTCTGCTGTGTATTAAGAGCCCAGCCCTCGTGAGGCCACGTAGGGGTGATTTCAGTATATAGAATGTAAGCTGAAGAGGAGAGATTTGGGGCGGGGATTCCGCAGAGGCAAAACGTTCAAGTGGGACCCACGCGGAATTGGCGCGGTAAGTCGTGGCAGAATCCGGGCCTTAGCCCGGATCCACTAATCGGGTCCAGCCCGTAACACTGTGTGCCGCTAAGAGCCTTCAATGCGTATTCCTAGATCAGTATTCAACGATGAACATAACATCTCAGACAAAGAAAAACAAGGAGCTGGATCATCACGTACGAGTTGAAATATCGGCGCGTGACTAGCAATACGCCGACCTCTGAGGTACTGTCTAGTTACTTACGCCTACAGTCAAGGTTCATAGAATGCCTTCAGGAACATACGTCCACAAGTTTGGACATCTCACCTCGCTAGATTCTGGAGCCGATCTCCAGAGCTTCTTTGGTATAATCTCTTAGCCAGGCATTACCAGCGCTCCAGCGGATCTAGGACTGAGCTCTAAAGCCTGCAGCCTCCGGGTCGCGTCTGAGCATTTTGACAGAAAGCTTTGCGACAGGACATGAACAAGATAATTCTACCATGGTCTTGCGGGGAAATATCTCATGAAGCAATGGACATTTAGTAGCGGATGAGCATTATCGTTCTCGTCGTCGTCTCTTCACTCCGCACATGCATCTAAGGTACCATTGGCCAACCTAGTTTATGGAGCCTAACCGTTGGTTGATAGAGCGCCCTTGTGCTCACCATGACCTGGGTTATCTCACAAACAGCAGCCACTAGAAATATCTGCCAATGCAATGACCACTCCTCGCATGTGGCAGTTGCGCTTGCCTTGATGTTGCTGATCGAGGGGCCAGCAACTCAGAGGAGGAAGATGACTGCGTTTGCCGCCTCCATTATTAGCATCCACTCAAGGATTCAACCAATCAAGGCCGGTTGGCCCAATGGCAAGGCGTCTGACTACGATTGATATGTTATCAGGAGATTCTGGGTTCGACCCCCAGGCTGGTCAATATTTTTGAAAATTCATGCGGGATTTGCGTCTTTGTGATTTTTTTGGCGCTTGTGGACGCGGACGGCGGGGCCGATAAAGTGGAGCCTTTCGGGGCAGTTTTGGAGGTCGCGGCCGGGATTGGCTGGTTGTTTTTGGGGTTGTCCGCACATCGGCCGGGTGCGGAGGCGGGAGGTACGGGGGACGTTTGTAGCCTGTAGGGTCGGTAGGGAACGTGGGGGTTCCGTCCGACGTGCAGGGGCAATCGGAAACTTCCTCCAGACTCTCAGGCTCCTTTGCCTCATGTATTCGTATAAATAGGCTCCGAACTGTTAGAATGCCGGTCGGATGTAATTTGGCTCCTGTGTAGTGCTGATAAATCGCGGCTGGGCCTATCTAGAATATAGATAACGAAGTGTGCACTTACGCAATAATGTCACCCATCCTGAATACTAATCACATAGGACGTTGCCATAAGGCCGTTGGCAAGTAAGATATGTGCTGTTCGTTCCCAATTACGGCAAGCCTTTCCACAGCCTATGGTTTCGGTTCCTTGAAACTCTAAAAGGCCGGCATTGAATTCGGAAGATGTGTTCCTTCGTCAACCACCGCAGGCGGGTGAAGCTCACGGAGCACTGCATTATCTCAGCAATTTAGAGCTTGTCTCGTGTGCCAATTACCCCTCCCACCGGCGCGGTCTTCGGAGAGCTTCTGTTTACCGTGTTTACGTGTGCTGTCACTGCTGTGCCCTATCTACATCCGAACCCCCGGTCAAAGTTGCAATCGCACCTATTGAAAAAAGGCTAATAAAGGCCGTCCCTCCGACGAGCCTATCCGTCCCGTGGCAAATTCTCTAAGAGGTAACAAGTACCGGCAGACGAGCGCGCTGGGAGCAAAAAGTTGCTTTCGGTCGGAAAGTTCCTTGCTCTTCGGTCACTTTTCGCACGAGGTTTTGGTGACCTTGAGAGGTTAGGAAGGTAGACGGGGGTGTAAAGCTGCTGCGAGTTATGGAGCTATGCTCGCTGTGATAGCATGGTTTCTACATGTCATCGGAGGGGTCGGAACTGTTCCGGCAGTCCTGCGAATGGTATTATAAAGAAGCTCAATATGAAGCTCAACTTTCGAGGTCCTGATCTGCTGCCGATTGCTCTCTGCTGGAAGTCGACAAATCATAATAAAGAAACCATCGCCGCAGCAAACCATCCCCAAAGATGCCTCTCCGCGTCCTCCTAACCGGCGCAAATGGCTTCATAGCCCAACACATCCTCGCCCAGTTCCTCGCAGCAGGCCACTCCGTCCGCGCCGTGGTCCGCTCTCAGTCCTCCGTCGACCAGCTCCGCAAGACCTTCGCCTCCTATCCCTCCCCGCAGCTCGACTTCGCCCTGGTACCCGACATCGCCACCCCAGGCGCCTTTGACGCCGTCCTCGTCTCCGACGGTGCGCCCTTTGACGTAGTCCTCCACACGGCCTCGCCCTTCAACTTCCGCAAGGGCAATTCCAACGCCGACTTCCTCGACCCAGCCGTCAAGGGCACGACCGAGATTTTGCATGGCGTGGTGCGCAAGGCGCCCTCTGTGAAGAGAGTCATCGTCACAAGTTCCATGGCTGCCGTGATCGACATCACCAAGCCATCCATCTCCAACCCGGCCAAGATTTATAATGAAAGCGATTGGCTTGATGTCTCGAGAGAAGACGCAGAGGCCTCAACGCACCCGGCGATACCCTACGTCGCCAGCAAGAAATTCGCAGAAAAGGCAGCGTGGGCCTTCATCTCCGATACCGAACCCAAGCCCGCCTTCGACCTCGTAACAATCTGCCCGCCCATCGTCTACGGACCCCTCTACGACGTCTCCGCGACGAGTTCCCCGCAGAACCTCAACGAAAGCAACCACATGCTCTACCAGAGCCTCTGCGGGGCAAGCCTCACCTCGGACTCGCCGGTCCCGCCCGAGATGCTGCACCTGTACGTCGACGTGAGGGATATTGCGCGCGCGCACCTGTTGGCAGCGACGACGCCCGAGGCGGGCGGGAAGAGGTTCCTGGTGAGCCCTGGGGGCGTGTCGAATCAGCAGCTGGCAAATATCTTGCGGGAGAAGCTGCCGCAATGGGAGGGGCGCATACCGAAGGGGGACCCGGCCAAGGCGACGCTGGCGGAGGGTATGTTTGGGGTTGATGCGTCGTTAGCGGAGAAGGTTCTTGGGATGGAGTATAGGACGTTGGAGGATACCATTGGGGATACGGCGGCGCAATTTGTCGAGCTTGAGGATCGGGCGAAGGCTTCTTGAGAGATGCGATGGTGATGGGGTTTACTTATATGTACTACGTCTTGACAATGCTAGACTATCGGTACAAGTTTCCGACTAATGCGCTGGAAGTAACACTGAATGGGATCATCTGGCTCTTTTATGTCTGCTCTGGTCTCCGACTCATCAACTCTTTCCAAACTGCAGACTTTGCGTGTAGCAGTACGAATGAAGGCCGTGTTTCCCCATCTCGCCCCCGTGGCCGCTGTCCTTCATGCCGGAGAAGTAACCCCCGTGGTGCGGTATCTCGGAGACGTTAATGGCGACTGTCCCCGCCTCTACCTTCCGGGCGAGGCTCTCGGCCCTGCCTACGTCACGGCAGTAGACTGATGCCCCGAGGCCGGCGTTGCTCAGGTTGACCCGTTGGAACAGCTCGTCCTCCTCTGACCAGGACAGGATGGGTACTATCGGTCCTGGGGATACAGTCAGCATGGATAGCTCAAGTAGAGGGCCAGAGGAATAAGATGCTCGGGATTGGCGTTGCAACACTTACCGAATTGTTCCTCCTTGACCAAGATAGAGTCATCAGGAGGCTTTGTAACGATGGTTGGGGGTATCCAGAAGCCCTTGGAGTCCTGGGGATGCTCCGCAGCAATCATATTGAAGCCATTCTTCTTGTAATGGTCATAGATATCCTTGACAACGTCATATTGCATCTTATTCGAGACGGGACCGAATAAGCTGGGCGCGTGTGCGTCTTTGGTGATGACGTATTTCTCGGCAACCGCGCTCTTGAAGGCCTCCAAGAACTTTTCATATACCGAATCGTGAACGTAGACTCGCTTCGTCGCGACGCACATTTGACCCGCATTGAAGAAACAACCGGTCGCGACCTGTCCTGCCACCTTTGCAATGTCAATGTCGTCAGTGACGATTGCCGCGTCGTTGCCCGCGAGTTCCAAGGTCAACCGCTTGAGGGTCTTTGCGCAGCTCGCCATGACGCTCTTTCCCGTGGCGATTGTCCCCGTGAAGCTGATCTTGGCGATACCTGGGTGCAGGGTCATGGCGATACCGAGATCGACGCCGCCGTTGACCACCTGTACGACGCCAGGAGGAAACACGTCGATGAGGAGCTCGATGGACTTCATGACGGAGTACGGGGTAAAAGGCGAGGGCTTGACGATGATGCAGTTGCCAGTGATGAGCGAAGATGCCACTTTGATGTTTGATAGGATGAGGGGGAAGTTCCAAGGACATATAGCCCCCACGATGCCCAGTGGCTGGTGAGTGGCGACGATTCTGATGTTGTTGTCCTCGAAAGTGACTTCATCTTCAAGGTAAACGTTTGCTGCTGGTTGTAAGCACGAGCGAGCAAATACAGGAGAAGGATGCAGGCATACAATAGTAAGCGGTTTGATTGCAGGTATTTGTAATCTCAATGTCGGCCATGAGACTCTGTATGCCATATGCCATCAGTATTACTGCGCCTGAACTGATCTTGCGATGAATATGATGTTACTGATTTCCCTGTTTCTCTCATGACGATTTCTTTCAGCTCATCCTTGTGGGTGGTATAAATCTCGACAATCTTGCGCAAGTAGTTGGCTCTCTCTTCGATCGGGGTCTTGGACCAAGTCTTGAGGGCCTTTTGGGCCGCCTCGACGGCTTCCTCAAGGTCCTGCGTCGTGGCAAGAGGAGCATCCCATAGCTGTTCCTCCGTACGGGGATCTGTACATTGGTGGTGGTTATCGCTCCCACGGCGCTGGCCGTTGATGACGTTGAAGAACTTCATGTTGGGAGCTTTCTGGTCGGCGTCCGCTGTCGAATCTAACAGATATCCCATGATGATTGAGAGTTCTAAGTAGGCAGACAGGCCAGCTTAAGAATAGACGTGTCGGCAAAGGCACATCTACCCTCTACCTCGGTCATAGCACCCATCAAAAGGGCCAAGACCTGTCTCAGCCGGCATAGCTGGAACGCGCCCCGAAATGCCACACTGCTACCTGTTCCTGCGGAGAAGGGAGGGGTTCAAGCTATCGGCGATGTCAATCGGCCTTAGGCGTTCCGGATTTGGTGCCGGGCTGCTGACACGGCGGGGGGATTTAAGTTTGACGGCAGTTGAGATAGACAAAGATGGAGCCGCGGGGGTCCTGCAACGAGCAACTCTCCCTCTGATTCAGCCCGCAAGCTCTGGGGTAAAATCATGGGGACTCGGGGGGAGAGTAGGTCGTAGATTGGGGTAGAGGGGTTGAATGAACGACTGGGGATGGATGACAGAGGTTTATGGAGGAGGTTTGTCAGCGACGGAGTGTTGACGGATCAATTCCGGTGAGGGCGGAGTACTGGGATGCCCGCCTGTCATCTAATCATGACTTCAAGCTCCTCGGTGTGGTTCGGTATGGTTCGGTGAGTTCAGGTGAGCGTCGCAGTGCATCACTCTTCATCTTCAGTAATGGAGACTCATTGGCTGCCGATGGATTAAACATTAAATCCCTAGACGGCCCACGTGCCGACGCATCCCACGCATACAGAGCCGCATGGAATCTCTGGATACGCTCGACGTGTTGATTGAAATGTGAGCGTACATAGCATGCAGGGGTTCAAAAATGGGAATCAGTGCAAAAGTCGACGAATTGCATGTCTGGACCTTCTCATGATGCAGGGTGGAAGATGCCGACCAAGGGGAAACGGAGCCGGCCGACAGAGTGGCCGCTGATGAACGGCATGAAGCGCAGCGGGGCTGCACGGATCCCTTGGTGCTCCTGACTTCCACTGAATGGCGATGTCTCAGTGGCGGGGAAGCACCGGCTTCAGTGGGGAGGAGGGGGAGGGCCGATAACGATAACGCACCCCACCAAAATCGCAAGATGCAGATTGGCGGGACCCGCTGATAAGCTCAAACCTGGGCCGTCTGATTTGCTGGACGCCCCCCGTCGCAAACCGAAGCCAACATGTCAGCGAGACGCTTTTGTTTTGTCTTGCCACAGCACTGAGCACATGGAAGTAGAAACCAGAGGGGAAAGACGCATGGGAAGAAAATATTTGTCTCTATGAATGCAGACGGGCGGAATGCAGTAAATAGACACACATACACAAGTACGACAGATTGGAAAGCGGTCGCTTCTGCAGCAAACACTACTCCTAGGTACCTGCAGAGACTTGGCTCAACCTGAATTAGCATCGTCTTCGCCTCTCTTTCTGCAATAAAGCTGCGGGGTTGTCTCGCATCAGTCATTCTAAGCGCACCTTTCCTCCTTCCCCTTTCTCTTCCTTTCCTCTTCTGACACCTTCTTCCCTTCCTCCCATTCAAAGACCCCAAAGCGTGCTTCGAGTCATCTAATATCATATCTCACTGTGAACCGGCGCTCGACATCTTCCTGGCAATATGGCGCCCATCGCCATCTCCCCCGAGCGGGATGTCGGGCCTTTGAACTCGCTTACAACAAACTTTGACGATACCATCCGCTTCTACCTCAATGGCACCCGGGTCGTACTGGACGAGATCGACCCAGAGGTAACTCTTTTGGAGTACCTGCGAGGCATCGGTTTGACGGGAACCAAGCTGTATGTCTAGGCCCTCTCGCGCGTAAGAGATTGAAGCATTCGTAGCACGCACTAACACTCACCAGCGGATGTGGCGAAGGCGGTTGCGGTGCTTGCACTGTCGTCATCTCCCAGTTCAACCCGACGACGAAGCAAATCTACCACGCGAGCGTAAACGCCTGCTTGGCACCCTTAGCTAGTGTCGACGGCAAGCACGTCATCACTATCGAGGGCATCGGAAACACTAAGAGGCCACATCCCACCCAGGAGCGCGTGGCGAAAAGCAATGGAAGTCAGTGTGGTTTCTGCACCCCTGGCATTGTCATGAGCTTGTACGCTCTGCTGCGCAACAATGACTCGCCTTCGGAAGAAGATATTGAGGAGGCCTTTGACGGCAATCTGTGCAGATGTACCGGCTACAAGCCAATTCTCGAGGCCGCGCAGACCTTCAGCGTTGAGAGAGGATGTGGCAAGGCGAGGACAAATGGTGGTTCGGGCTGCTGCATGGAGAACGGCAATGGCGAGAAGAAGGAGGGCGGATGCTGTATGGACAAGGCAAAGCTCGACGACCAGCCCATCAAGAGATTCACGCCCCCCGGTTTCATCGAGTATAACCCCGATACCGAACTCATCTTCCCGCCCGCCCTCAAGAAGCACGAGATGAGGCCGTTGTCGTTCGGCAACAAGAGGAAGAAGTGGTATAGGCCTGTCACCCTTCAACAGCTGCTCGACATCAAGAGCGTACACCCCGCGGCCAAGATTATTGGTGGCAGCACCGAAACTCAGATTGAAGTCAAGTTCAAAGCGGCACAATACCCCGTCTCCGTTTTCGTGGGAGACATTGCCGAATTGAGACAGTACGAATTCAAGGACGATCACCTAGAGATTGGAGGAAACGTCGTCTTGACAGATCTGGAGCACATCAGCAAAGTGGCGACACGTCACTATGGCGACGCTCGTGGCCAGGTATTTGAGGGGATTTACAAGCAACTAAAGTACTTTGCTGGCAGACAGATTCGCAACGTCGGTACCCCTGCCGGTAACCTGGTTACTGCGTCGCCCATCTCAGATCTGAACCCTGTGCTCTGGGCAGCCAATGCCGTCTTGGTTGCAAAGTCTCAGAGCGAAGAGACCGAGATCCCCATGTCACAGTTCTTCACGGGATACCGACGCACGGCACTTCCCCAAGACGCCATCATCGCTTCCATCAGGATACCGGTAACAGCTGCCAAGAACGAATTATTCAGAGCATACAAGCAGGCCAAGAGGAAAGACGATGACATTGCCATCGTGACCGGCGCTTTACGGATTAAGATGGACGATGATGGCGTAGTGACCGAGTGCAACCTCATCTACGGCGGAATGGCTGCCATGACCGTAGCCGCGAAGAACACCATGGAGTACCTTGTGGGCAAGCGTATTGCTGAGCTCGAGACCCTCGAAGGAGCCATGAATGCCTTGGGAACCGACTTCGACCTGCAGTTTAGCGTTCCCGGAGGCATGGCTTCGTACCGAAAGGCACTGGCCTTCAGCTTCTTTTACCGCTTCTACCACGACGTCATCACCAACCTCGGTGGACAGAGCGAGCACGTGGATATTGAGGCAATCGACGAACTCGAGCGTGGCATCTCTGGCGGAACCGAAGATCACGGCGCGGCTGCAGCGTACGAGCAGGAAACCGTGGGCAAATCCAAGAGCCACGTCGCTGCCTTGAAGCAGGTCACTGGAGAAGCACAGTACATCGACGACCTACCGGTGGCCAAGAATGAGCTGCATGGCTGCTTCGTGCTGTCAACAAAGGCTCACGCAAAGATCAAGTCGATCGACTACTCACCCGCACTGGACATGGCTGGCGTCGTTGACTACATCGATAAGGATGACGTCGATACCCCTGAGCAGAACCGGTGGGGTGCTCCCCATTTCGACGAACTCTTCTTTGCCGAGGGCGAGGTTCATACAGCAGGCCAGCCCATTGCCATGATATTGGCCACTACGGCGTCGAGGGCCGCTGAGGCCGCGCGTGCAGTCAAGATCGATTACGAAGACCTCCCGTCAATCCTGACGATCGAGGAAGCGATTGAAAAGGACAGCTTCCACAACTACTACCGAGAGATCAAGAACGGCGACACTGAAGAGGCATTCAAGAACTGCGACCACATCTTCACAGGCACGGCGCGGATGGGTGGCCAGGAGCACTTCTACCTCGAGACACAGGCTTCCTTAGTGGTTCCGAAGCTCGAGGATGGTGAGATGGAGGTGTTTTCCAGCACCCAAAACGCCAACGAGACGTAAGCTCACTCTTCTTTATCGAACATTATTTTTTGGTTTATGGCACTAACAGCTTGCAGACAAGTCTTCGTTGCTCGAATGACGGGCGTACAAGCGAACAAGATCGTTGTCCGCGTCAAGCGACTCGGCGGTGGCTTCGGAGGCAAGGAGACGAGATCAATCCAACTCAGCGCTCCGCTCGCACTCGCGGCGAGGAAGACTAGGCGGCCGTGTCGTTACATGCTGACGAGAGAAGAGGACATGGTCACTTCAGGGCAGCGCCATCCGTTCTTGGGCAGATGGAAAGTCGGCGTGAACAAGGACGGCAAGATCCAAGCGCTGGATCTCGACGTCTTCAACAACGCCGGCTGGACATTTGACTTGAGCGCGGCGGTCTGCGAGCGAGCAATGTCCCACTCGGACGGCTGCTACAAGATCCCCAACGTCTTCATCCGCGGCCGGCTGTGCAAGACCAACACAATGTCAAACACGGCTTTCAGAGGATTCGGCGGACCTCAGGGCATGTTCATTGCCGAGACTTACATGGAAGAAGTTGCGGATCGACTGGGCATGCCGGTAGAAAAGTTCCGTGAGATCAACTTCTACAAGCCGCTGGAGCCGACGCACTTCAACCAGCCCTTGACTGACTGGCACGTACCATTGATGTACAAGCAAGTCCAGGACGAGGCAAAGTACGAGCTGCGGAGAGAACTCATCAAGCGCTTCAACGACGGCAACAAGTGGCGCAAGCGTGGCTTGGCCATCATCCCGACAAAGTTTGGTATTTCCTTTACAGCCCTCTTCCTGAACCAGGCAGGCGCCCTCGTGCACATCTACCACGACGGTTCCGTCCTGGTAGCACACGGCGGTACGGAGATGGGCCAGGGACTGCACACCAAGATGACGCAGATCGCCGCACAAGCTCTCGAGGTACCGTTGGACAATGTCTTCATCTCCGAGACGGCGACCAACACGGTAGCCAATGCCTCGGCGACGGCGGCGTCGGCCTCGTCAGATCTCAACGGCTACGCCATCTACAACGCGTGCGCGCAGCTCAACGAGCGCCTGGCGCCGTACAGGGAGAAGCTGGGGCCCGGTGCTACGATGAAGGACCTGGCGCACGCGGCATACTTTGACCGCGTGAACCTCTCGGCGCAAGGCTTCTACAAGACGCCCGAGATTGGGTACACGTGGGGCGAGAACCGGGGCAAGATGTTCTTCTACTTCACACAGGGCGTCACGGCGGCCGAGGTGGAGATCGATACCCTCACGGGCACGTGGACGTGCCTCCGGGCCGACATCAAGATGGACGTCGGGCAATCCATCAACCCGGCGCTCGACTACGGCCAGATCCAGGGCGCCTTTGTGCAAGGTCTCGGCCTCTTCACGATGGAGGAGTCGCTCTGGCTCCGCAACGGGCCGATGGCGGGTAACCTCTTCACGCGGGGACCTGGTGCGTACAAGATCCCCGGGTTCCGCGACATTCCGCAAGAGTTCAACGTGACGCTGCTCAAGGACGTGGAGTGGAAGGACCTGCGGACGATCCAGCGGTCGCGGGGCGTGGGCGAGCCGCCGCTGTTCATGGGCAGCGCGGTATTCTTTGCGATCCGCGACGCGCTCAAGGCGTCGAGGGCGCAGTACGGGGTGGCGGCGACGGTCGGGGAGGACCGGGAGGGGGATGGGTTGCTCAGGTTGGAGAGCCCGGCTACACCCGAGAGGATCCGGCTAAGCTGCGAGGATCCGATTATGAGGAGGGCCAGGGTGCTGCCGAAGGAGGGGGAGAAGAGCTTTTTCGTAGCCATTTAGCAACGGGCGCCAAGCAATTTCTCGGTTTGCATGGGATTCTTACTTGCTTTCTTGGAGGGGTTAGGTACTCAAGTGTGATTATTGGTGTTCACTTCGTAGATAGACAGGCGATCTCGATGAATACTACGATATCTTGTGCTATTTCATTCATTTCTGGACACTTCCACTGGCACCTGTGAGATTGCCATTCATCTGTCTCTGCGAAACGCATGTGCAATGCTTGGAATGGTAAGGCATCACACGATCTCGAATGCGCCCCCAAATCGCCAAGTCTCGTGAGCAGAGAGAGATGGGATGATGAGGGGGAGGCTTTGGGGCCGGGGTGGCCGGGGCGAAGGATGAGAAGCAGCACGAAGCGGTAGTGATTGTCTTCAGCTGGGAGCCTTAGACCAGGGCGGCCGAGGGGAAGCAAGAGAGTGCGATAGGAAGAAAAAACTTGGGCCGAATGGCGAGCTGTGGTTTCATGCTTACATTACATTGCATGCTGCAGTCGACTGGAGAATCTCAGCCGTTGGCCTTTTTTCACTGGCGTTGAGGCATGAGGTAAGTCCCCCTTACCTTAGTCTTTTGAGTCTGTGGACAGGGAGGACGACGAAGATGGGACGAAGGACCACTTGGTTTGCGAGCTTGCCTAACATTCTCGAGAGCCAAGAAATAACCGTTTGGTTTGATGCGACGGTGGTGATGGAGCTGCCCAGGGAACATTCACTAAAGATAGCTCGTAGGGCAGAAGGGAAGCTGCATTGACGGGTGGGTTCCTCCGGGAAATGTCTGTGCCATGCGTGCTGGTGTGATATCATTGCTTTTAAATGGCAGAAGATTGACCGAGGTACCATTCAGTAAAATGTCACCGAGTTTATGAATGCGAGTGATGAGACCTTCACCGAGGTAAAAAGATGACAAGTCGGATGAAGGAGAGAAGGCGGGGAAATCAAATCACATTCTCTCCCCCTCGCTTCTCTCTCTTGCTCTCAGTTTTGCTTGTCTCATCGGGCGACGTCCGACGGGCTGGGGGGAGGGGGATACCTTATTACATGACGATTACTGGCTGTAATCCACCTCTGCCCAGCTGCGCCCAGCCCAGCCTTGGATGCTGGGCCATGAGTTGTGATTTTCCGCCATTTTATTGCTGTGAGTTCGAGGCAGTGAGAGGTTCAATTGAGGTGATTTCTTATGAACGAGGTCCATGAGTGAAAGAGTATTGAGTGAGTGAGTAAAGGTCGAGTGAGATGACGAAGTAGCATCCCCCGCAGGGTAAGGTACTATCCACTAGGTACCAACGACAGCGGCAACAACAACATCGATCTTGCCTGTCTTGTGCTCGTTCCAAAGGCTAATGTAATGAAGTGGGTGGGAAGGAATGCCGGGAGCTCAATTAGCCAACCCACTTCCCATGGCAATTGGAGACGGATACGCCGCCTGCCCGTTGTCGTTTTTTTCCCTTTTCCTTTTCTGCGAACCCGAAGCTTTCAGCCAAGGTACCAGGTTGGTTCCCTCTCGCCTGGCTCGCCTGGTTCAGCTCCCATCCCATTCCCTTGGGACCGATCATCATTTGCTCATTGCGCCAAAAGCCCGCACCCATTTTTTCTTCTTCTCCATGCGACTCTCCAAACCCACCACCAAACACCAATACCCACCACTGTCACCAAAAGTTGCGACCACGCTCGAAAACGCCCACGATTCTACGATCGCCGGACCCGAGACGAACGAACGAGTATACGAGGCCCAGGAACCGGAAAAAGGATCGGCAGTTAATCCACGGATCCCCTGCATTCCGTGTCCAACTCGAAGACTGTGAGGCGGGAGAAATCCGAAAACAAGCAAAGCGAAGCAACCATAGCCGAACTCAGCCCGCCGGGTGCCCGCACGCGACAACCTCGTTTTCCCTCCCACTCTGTCTGCAGAAGCCCGCCACGCCCAATCTTTTGCGCAAACGCTCGAAAGCACCACAGTCGACCAGTATCCTTCACCCCCGGTGTCAAATGATCTGCGAACCCTCGTCCTCTGCGTAACCTTTGAGGTCCAATGGGAGCCGCTGCCCCATTGAACTGATTCCGAGCCCGCCCTCCACCACCACCACTACTACTGCCACCACCGCCACCACCGCCACCACCCATAACCGCTGCCGTCACCCGTCCCGGGCCTCTCGCCATGCCAGAGAACGGCAAAGACGTAAAGTCTGAATCGCAAGACGAAAAGGAAAAGCGCGACAAGACTGAGAACAATGGCGGCCATGCTCATTCGGCCAAGAGCCCCAAGAAACGCCGCAAGGTCAACCACGGTACGTTTAGCCCACGTCCCGCTGCGCCGTGGCCGCGGGCTCCCCCGAGACTGCGGTTGCAGCTGCAACAACGACCGTCTCGGTGCCTCACCTCGCGCGGAAGCACCAGCTAACGTCATGTGCCCTCTCAGCTTGCGTCTACTGCCGGCGATCTGTAAGTCAGATAGCCCTTACCTGAACAGCATAACTGGAATTGCTTCCCTGGCTCCGCGCATGGCGTTGACACTATTGTGTCTCTGCAATTGCTGCCGTGCGATGGCTCTGCCAACTACCGAACCCCCCTGCCTGCATATATGCGCAACTTCGTCTCCCTGCAGAAGGAAAACTGCAGGGCCAGAATAACAATAAGCGGGAAAGAGAAAAGATGGCTGACGGATAGTGTCTTGCCTGCTCTATAGCATATGACATGCGATCTCGTATGTAAGATCTCTTTCTTCACACAACCTTACACACAACGGGCTGCCTTGCTGCGGCGTCTGTCTCTCTCTCTTTCTGCGCTGTCCACTCGGCTTCCCAAGAGACCTGCGCGAGCGCGAGTGCGCGCACATCTCTGCTTGGCTCGTACCACGCTCGCTGACATGTCGTGCCCAGGAACGACCGTGTACAAGATGCATAAAGCGTAATATTGGCCACCTTTGCCACGATGAGCCTCGCGATGCAGATTCCAAAAAGGCCAAGAGCTCTCACACGCCATCCGCTGTCGACGAGTCCGAGACGACGCAATCCGAGCTCACGAGAAGCTCCATCGACCAATCTGCGACGGGGTCCATGGGCCCGCCGCCCCCTTTCGACCGCAAGGCGTCTGCTTTTGGCGCCGCCGGATTGGGCCAGGGGAACCCGCTGCACCTCGTGTCACCAGGAGCTGGCACCGGCATGGCGGGAAACGGCAGCAACGTGAACCAATGTAGGTACTCACCCGTGGTCTTGTTCTACCCCTTTTCTAAAGCGCCGTGCTGTTCGTGCTTGGAGGCTCCTTGCTTCTCTCGCACGCGTCTGCACTTTTCTACGGATGACACAAGGGGGACGAACAAGCAGCCTCAACTTGAGAGAGAAACTCGGAAGCTAACGTGATGCGCCCCGGTCTAATAGTCGCTGGATTCTCCGATGCCTGGTTAACAGCCCAGAACCACTACCACGATATGCAAAGCTACCACCCCAACAACTACATGATCGCCCCCGAAGTAACGCACGAGTTCAACCTGCTGAATGATTTTCTGCAGACGAGCCTGCTGGACGACGGCGGCATCGTCTCCGACGAGTCACAAAACAGCCCCGCGTTTAGCAGGACCGCCGGCGCCAACGACATGCTGCCGACGTTTGGAAACCACAACGGTAATAAGCGGGCCGGTGCTGGCAATGGAAACAATGCGCTTTCGCAGATGCTGCCTCCGCAGAACCTGGAGCAGGGCAAGGCGATATCACGGCCGGGCAGCATCGTTCAGGGCGACAAAGACAAAGCGCGCGAATACTACCTCCAGGCAGCTGATCCGTCCGGAAATGACACGCCCGAGGAGCGCATGGACCGTGTATTGAAGGCCAAGTACGAGGCCGGTCTGCTAAAACCTTTCAACTATGTCAAAGGCTACGCCCGACTGGGCACGTATCTGGATGGCCACATTGCGGCGTCGTCGAAGCAGAAGATTCTCCGAACCATTGATCGATTCCGACCCAAGTTCCGCGAGAAGGCTCAAGCTTTGACCGATATGGAGCTGCTATACGTGGAAATGTGGTTCGAGAAACAACTGATGGAGTATGACCGTGTGTTTGCCAGTATGGCGGTGCCGGCATGTTGTTGGAGGAGAACTGGAGAAATCTTCAGAGGCAATAATGAGATGGCGGAACTCCTACATGTTCCTGTCGAGAACCTGCGCGACGTATGTCTTCAGGTCGTTTCCAAGCCTTTGAGGCGTCATCGCAGCTAATCGGATGATAGGGCAAAATCTCACTCCATGAGATTCTGACGGAAGAGTCTCTCGTGCGGTATTGGGAAGAGTTTGGAACCATCGCCTTCGATCCTGCTCACGACACGCTACTTACAGCTTGCACACTCAAGAACCCCGACGACAAGGCGACAGACCCGGTAGTTCATTGCTGCTTTTCATTCATGATTCAACGAGATAATCACAAAATGTTAGTATTTGCCCATCCACTAGTCTCAGATTCTGTGAAGCTGACAAGTAGACAGCCCTACGCTCATCGTAGGTAACTTTTTGCCCAACGATCTAGCCCGGCCGTAATCATTTGCATTGCAGGGGGGGACCTCTTGGAATACCTAGGTTTGGGGGGTTGGAAACATAAAATCAAAGGGGGCAGGCGTCATTGGATACCAGGGCATTCTCCGGTTTGGTTGCATTTTGAAACGTTCTTTTGCATCGGCGAGAGGAAAGGGTCCGTCGCCAGTACATACAAGGCACATCTAGTATATCCTTATTTTCTTGGTCGAAGCCTCAAGTCATCGCTTTCCATAATGTCCGTCAAGTCCTGTTCTTTCCGGCCCGGGCCGAAGGTGTGTCGGGGAGCAGTAACCCCGCGCCCGGATACCACTGCTTTCGAGGAAGGCACAAACGAGACTTGCGCCTGCCGCGAACGACTCGGCACTTGCCACTTTCGCATCGCATCATCTCTGCGCCCCTCAACCTCTTCGCTTGCTTTAACGAGAGTGTTCTACGCAGACTGACACTGCTATGCACCCCTGGCCCATTCTTCACACCACACCCTGCTCTCCTCAATTGCACATCTTGTTCTGATGATCTCGACTTCCCCCGTCTGCCCTCGTCAAGCACAATGCCCCCTTTACGACGCGCAAAATCGCCCAAAAGCAACAACAGCATCGACAAATTCTCCGCCTTTGCAAGTCCGTAGCACCCATGGATGAGCTTCCGTGGCCTACTCGCTAACCCGTAGTATGACAGCATTCTCGCACACCCTCTCGACGCGCCTCCCCTCCGCGAACGACAGCCTCTCCATCGACGCCCTGCTCGCGGAGCTCAACCCGCAGCTCGAGACGATTATCCGTTTCTCTGGTAGCCCGAGAGCGAAAGCCCAGAGGGTGGAACTCGACAAGAGGGGGACGGAGCTTTGGAACCTGTGTACCCGACAACGTCGTGATAATGCGGACGCAACGGCGGCCGCGCCGGCTACGAGGAAGAAGCTGCTGTTGCGGAGCAGGACATATGCGTTTTTCATGATTAGTATCGCGAGGGGTGTTTCGGGCAGCACTGGGCCTCAGCTTGCGGATGTGGTGCATCTGATGAAGTTGGCACTCAAGGCGGGCAAGACGTGTCTTGGTAAGTCGGGGCCTCTGGAAAGAATTTTGATCGAGGTGGCAGTTTCCTCATATGCGTACAGATGACGGCGGCACCAGTTCGAGTGCCCTGAAGCTCGCCGAGACCGTTTTCGAGAAGGGGGCGGAATACAGCGCGGCATTGGGCAAGCAGCAGATGGCCATGCTGGGACCGGATGACTTGTTAGAGTGCAAAAGGCTAGACGCTGAATACTTTATACTCCGAGCGGCACTGGTATGTCTCCCTTGGCCTTGGAGATATGACCGTTCATACAACTAACCGAGGTACTTAGGCCTGGAAAACGGACAACTTGCCCGTCATGGAGTTCATGTACAGCAAGGGACACCTCCAACCAAACACGCTCGATTCGAGTTCGGCGGAGAAAATGACAGAGATTCTGTTCGAAATCGGCAAAGACCTTTCAAAGAAGGAAGACTTCCCCATGGCGGTGCGGTGGCTTGAACGGGGGTACGACATCATCAACGCCCAGGACCTGTCGCTTCTCTCCCGCGACGCCATCGAGCTAGGCCTCTCCGTCTGTCAAGCCCTGATCCACGCGCTGCTGGGTCTCAGCACGCCAGAGTCTTCGCAAAAAGCGCTGAACCTGGTCAGCTACATCGAGTCCGAGATCGGCGACAAACCCGTCGTCCTCCTCCTTCGCTTGGAGCTCTTGCAGAAGGCGCCGGCCGAGGTTTTTGACGTCGAGGCTTACGCTGATATTTTGAGGCGGATGGTGCGGTCGTTCAACTTCTCCGAGGCGCACTTTAAGCTCTTGGTGCATCATGCGCGCAAGTTGCATGATAAGAGCCCGACACTGGCGACGAGCGTCGTGGATGGGATGCTCAGGGGCACCATTGTCTCTTCTGGGCGCGAAGAGTGGGTCGACAGGTTGGTGCTTTTGAGGATCTGGATGGAGACGACGCAGAGGGATGGTATGAGAGCTATAGAAGAGCTGATGGGGGTCCTGGCAGGACTCCAAGATAACTTGAGCAAGCCTTTTGGGGCTTCTACGGCAGTCGGGGCGTTGACTGTGAGCTTCACCTGGTAAAGATGAAGAGTAAGGATTGCTGACATTGGTGTAGCTTATTTGGAAAAAGATCGAGGTCAACTACAACCAGGGACACTTCGACTTTGCTGATGGCTGGTGCCAGATAGCCCTGCAGCCTCTATTCCAAAACGGCGGCCCTGCAAACATGTCGAGACTCAGCAGGTGCGTGTATCGTCAATGCTCTGATACAGCCACGCTGATGATTGTAGAAAGCTCATTCTTTGTGCCCTTGGGAGAAACGACACCGAGAGAGCGCGACAAGTCTTTCATAGCATGTCCGAGGCAGCGCAAAACGAACCGATGACGAAGTATCTGATGTACAAGGCTGCCCTCCGCTCATCCGACCAAGAAATGGCTGCCGAGTGCCTGGAAAGAGTGGCTCTGTCAGCGCCCGGTGACCCTAATTTCCTGTATGCCTGCGTCCTCGAGGCGCAACAGATTGGGGATAAGGTCTGCGCGATGCAGGCCATGAAGCAGCTGGTGGGGAAGTTCGAGTTCAGCGAGGCGTCTCCGATTCATCTGCCGGCGCTGCTGCGATGTAATATCCGACTCGCTGTCTCAATTGCTGAGAGCGAAAAAAGTCCGAAAGAGCGACAAAGTGTGGTGGAAGAAATACTTATGCTGTTCGAAGGAGGTGAGAGGGAGTTATCTATTGGTTGACATCACAGACTGACCGTATCGTCTGGTAGCCGTCAAAGCGATCCAGCGAGACCCCCGCGACAAGGACGGCAACCGGCTTTTTACCGTCAAGGAACTCGACTGGTTCTGCCAGAATGCATATAACCTCGGCCTCAAGCACTCGGACGAGTGGGATGTCAAGCATCTCATCCGGCTGTACAACAGCTGCCTCACCATCGCGAAGCACTATCCAAATGACCTCCCCGCCGAAGCCGCGAGTGACCTCGCGTTCAGGACAATGTTTTGCGATTTTATCGCAGCCGCTGCCCTCGTATCGCTGGCCCGAACGGAAGACAACGTCGAGCAGCAGCTGCAGCATTATCTCGTCATGCGGAGGCACGTCGTAGCGTATAATGCAGCTTTGGAGAAGCAGATGAGCGACGGTCTAGACAAGAGGCTGAAGAGCGATCTAACAGCCAAGCTTGCGACGTTGATGGTCTTCGATTTTGAGGCTGCCATGGCGTTGAAGAAGACTGATGAACTGGGGTACATTATTCGTACGGCCGTGACGTGTCGGGATGTGAATACGCTCAAGGCGATGGGGGATATTGCGCTGCGAGGCAGATTACCTGGACAAGGTAAGCAGCCAAAGTACCCCAATCCTTTTCCCCTCGGATCGCTACAAAGAAATCTGTCACTCACCATATGCTGGATTCTCGTTGTCCTCAGCCCTCTATTCAACGCTGGGCGTCATCGTCAACGAGATCTAGGAGCTCGAAAAGATGAAGGGCGACAGGCTGGCGAAGTATATCCGGTGCATGTTCCACGCCGTCTTGTCGCTGGATGCAGCTTTGGGGCAGAGGCTGATGAAGCAAGCCGTTGACGTGGCGAGGGATTCTCGCAAGGTGCGTTGCTTCTCTTCTGCTACACCCCCATTCCTCTTTTCGCTGTTGGTCGGCACGTTTGAGAAGATAAAAACACTAAACACCATCATGCTTGATAGAGCCAGCATCCGTTCCCGGCCGAAGAACTCGAATGGCTCGTCACTACGGCCTTTAACCAGGCCGTGGACGCGTATAATGTCAGACAGGACGACGAGTGCAATACATGGGCGGATTTGGCCATAAATTTGGCGCATTATGCCGATGATGGAGGGGAGCTGGAGAAGAGGGTGCAGGAGAACCGGATGAAGTTGAAGTTTGACTTGCCGTAAGTTAGAACTTTGCTAAGCAGAACTTGCAACAACATGGTGATGGTTCGCTTTCGATGCCTAAACTTTGAATTGAATGAGGTTAGCCATGACGATATGCAGCCCCCGTAGTATATCAAGTGACTTACTTCTCTATCAAAAGATCAGAAGGTCTCTCCTCCACTGGCATTCAATCATCGAAATTTCTAATTGAGAACGGGATGATGTGCTCGCACTGCGGCTAGAGGTTATGGAAGAATACCGAGCATGCCGATCAACAGATACGTAACCACCTTTTGCATCACCACTGCCGCGATCATGTTTTATCCCCTTATGGAACTTCTTGAAGTATATTCCTAGAGGAATACACAGAGGGAGAAATGAATGGGCGTGCGTGGCGGCTATGCGCCGTGGGCACGTACCTGTACGATATCTTGACGACTAGGTCCGAAGACAAGTATTTGGCGATATTCAAGTACGACATCGATTAAGAAGATACCAAGGCCACCATAACGGTTGTTTCCAACGCATATCGACTACTCGAGTACGTGTTGACTTCTAAGGTGTTTTATAGTCCCTAGCTGTTATTAAACCGCGAGGTCTGTAAGCACAGCCAGGGCTATTCTCGGCTATGTTCTCGAGGACTGGGCTGATGTCATGGTTCTCTGCATGGTCTTCTGCAACCGCCATACGGGCAAGTCCAACATCATGTCCAACGCTGATCCGATCGACGCGTGCCAGTAGCAGCAAAAGGTCAGTACATGATGAGCACTCGTGGTAGATCCAATGACTGGTGTATTCTTTTCTCCTCTACAAACCTCTTGAGCAAAATACAGGTGCGAGGAAAACTACCCTTCCTATCCACTCGTGTAGTATATCCCCCCCTCTACCGCCAGCCTACTTTACCCAAACCTAGTCCGGCCTTGAAGCCATCACCGTGGCCGCCACCACCTCACCAGTGGAGCCGTCGTATGCGTCGTGTCAATCGTTTATTTCGTGCCGTAAGTAATTCCCGTCTTTATGACAGCAGCCGCGGAAGGACTTAGCAGATGGCATGCGTTTTGCCAGTCTTACCCTGTAGGGAATGCTTTTCCTTCTGTTCAGACACGGCATGGTTAGTGAAATCTCATCCTGGGTGGGTTCGCATAGACACCTGGGGGGTTGGGGACAAACTCTGAACTTTGGGTGGTTGTGGGTTGATTTCGAGCTGGTGAGGTGATGCTTGTTGATGTACTCCTGCTGCCTCTTGACGCCGTCCTGGTCCATCTGCTCGAGCAGGCCCATACAGAGCTTGATATCGGTAATGAGGGCGTCGCAACGCGATTTAGAAAAGTCTTCACGAACAACGACGCGGAGCATCTTGAGGTCATCGGTCTTGGGCGCCATGGTGTAGGCCGGCACGACCCAGCCGCGGACGCGAAGCTGGTGCGCAAGCGCGAACTCGTCGTAGTGACGGACGCCCGGCTCGTCCTCGGCGCCAGCGGGGACTTCGGGGAGGCGGAATGCGACGAGGGGGAGACCTTCGCCGGAGCGCTTGGACATGATGCGGAAGCCGAGGACCTCGAGGGACTGGGAGAGATAGTCTGCGGTACGGGTGAGGTTTGACATGATGGCCCGGTAGCCCTTCTTGCCGAGGCGAATGAGCTGGTAGTATTGGCCAATGACCTGGGAGGCGCCCTTTGAGAAGTTGAGGGTGAAAGAGGCTTGATCTGCGCCGAGGTAGTTGATGTTGAAGACAAGTTCTTGGGGGAGGAAGTCGGCGGAACGCCAGACCACCCAACCGACACCGGGGTAAACGAGGCCGTACTGTGTTGTGTAAGTGAATGATTCAAGGAGTTTGGTATTCGTTATATAGAGTACGGGACGGGGGACTTACCTTGTGACCAGACACATTGATTGAGACAACATTCTTCAGACGGAAATCCCACTCGAGGTCAGGCACGACGAAGGGGGCGACGAAGCCTCCACTGGCGGCATCAACGTGGATGGGCACATCGAGGTTCTTCTCAATCAGCAAGTCATTGACAGCCTTGACGTCCTCATACTCGCCCGTGTACGTGGTACCCAGAATGGCGCAGATACCAATGGTGTTCTCGTCAATGAGATCGACCGTCTCCTGGGGATCAATGACGTAGCGGTCGGGCGCGCAGTAGACGAGCTTCTCCTCGACCTCGAAGTAGCGGGCTGCCTTTTCCCAGCAGACCTGGACGGCGGAGGACATGACGATATTGGGGTGCTCGGTGGACTTGCCCTCGGCCTGGCGCTTGTTCTTCCAGCGCTTCTTCATGGCAAGGACGGCGAGCATGATGGCCTCGGAGGAGCCGACGCACGAGGTGCCGACGGCACCGAAGCCCTCGCCCGCGCCCACGTCGGCGTGGAAGAGCTTGCCGATCATGGAGACGCAGCGGTTTTGGATGTCTGCTGAGGCGGGGTATTCTTCGTAGTCGATGAAGTTCTTGCTGAAGCTCTCGGCCTGGCAAAGTGTATTCTGTCAGATATCGGAGTCTTATCTCGTGTATGCGGTACGTTGGGGGAAGGGTGTTGGTGAGGATTTACCATGAGCTTCTCGGCTTCTTCTTCCTGGGATGGGGCATTAGCTTGGAATGTCACTGCGGGTGTTGGATTCGTTGAGGGTTTACTCACCATGTAAGTCGTCACAAAGGAGGCCAGGCTAGATGAACGATGGTCAGAAATGACAAGAGCTTCGTGCATGTGACGAAAAAGAGAAGCCTACTTGAGCATGGGGTTACCGTCGAGACTGAGCTCGTCCTTGATCATGCGGTAGGCAACCTCCTTGGGCATCTCGCTCTCGGGCATCTCGCTCTTGGGGAGGTCCTGATTGGCGAAGCGGGAGCCGTAGACGCTGGTGGTGTAGCAGTCGTCATGGTCAGCGAGCTGGAGCTGGACCTTCTTGAGCTGCTGCTGGACCTGGCGGAGGTTGGCGGCGTTCGACGAGTCCTCGGCGCCGGAGGCGGAGGCCGAGTCTGGGGGCGTGTTGACGGTTGTAAGGTGAACCATTTTGAAGTAAAAAAATGGTTAAGGGGAGAGAAGCAAGTGTGATGCGATAAGAGCGAGGAGCTTCGTGCGAGGTGGAAACGGACGGAGGAGGATGTTTATATGGAGTCGAGAGACTGTTGACTATTTATTGGAGCTGGAGCTGGAGCTGGAGCTGGGCTTTGGAGACCGAGACGAGGCGAATGGTTAGGTTGGGAAGAAGCAGAGAGGGTGAAACTGGGAATGGGAGCGAGGGGGAAGAAGGAGAAGAAGGAGGGGCATTCACGGCAGCAGCAGCAGCAATGGAAGCAACAAGCGGAGCTGGGAGAGCGGCCGTGGCACTGCGCTTGCATCTGCACCTGCATGTCTAAGGCAAGGAGCTAGAACTGGAACTGGAACTGGAACCGGGACCAAGGAAGCTACCCGACCTAAGCTACACAGCCATACGGAGTACTTGGTAATTGTAGCTAAGCAGCTTGAAGGTACTTGGTGGAGTACATTCCCGGCGGGGTGCACGGCAGAGCTGGGCTCTGTCCAAGAGACTTGACAGCTACAGCTCCTCCATCTCACGTCCCATTCTGTCCTTCCAATCCAATCCACTGGATCATTGAGGAAGAAACGCCGAGAGAACCGGACGTGGAGACGTGGAGTGGAGACGTGGAGTGGAAGCTCTGAGCTTGTGCAAGGAATAAGAGAGACCGAAAGAGAGAGGGCCAAGGCCAATGGCAGATGCAAGTGGGGTGACACCGTGACGCGCGACTTGGGGTGCCCTGAAGCTGGCGCAGATGGCGGGGCACAAGACGGTGTAGAGTCGGTAGGTATCGCCTTACATAAGGCACTGAGAAGGATGCAGCTACATCATTGACGTGAGGAAGCCAATGCACAAGTGCCAGAATGCCAGTGTCCTTGGCAGGTACTCGAGAGTAAACCCGGTACATGCCGCTGACAGTACCTCACCTCGCATGCGTAGCGTACTGGAAGTGTGTCGAGAAAGAGTTGCAAGTTTTGGCCTATGGATGGATACCTTAGTCGAGACACCTATCATTCCCCTGGATCGGTGAAGAAGACGGATAGGATGGGACGATTTGCCCGCGACCTTGTTCCCCGGGGCACCCAGGGAAATTCCCGAGAAAAAGTAAAACAAAAAAAGGCTCGGGCAAAAAGGGGCTCTGGAGAAACATCCGCAAATCAGCTCCAGCCCGGGAAAGGAAGTTGGGATCTCAATTCCAACAGAAACGGGATGACTTTTGGGATGTTGCCGCGACGTTGTTGCCAAAAGCACGTGTTTTCCGGATGAAGCTGCCCAATGTCTCCGGATCGAGGTACCTCCATACTCCGTATCAGGGCGGCCTCCCTTTGTCATCGTTTTCTCCTATTCAATCTCGCCCTTCCACGTCTCTCGCCTCTCATCCTCCCACGCAACAGTCTACGACAACTTTCCCCAGGTCTCGGCTCTCAAGTCGTCACAGCACACACACACATGCGAGTCCAAGGATCCCCAAGTCCTAAAAACGACGCTACGCCCAAAGCTTGGCACGGGTGACATTTCGGGTGGCCCACACCAGCTCGACCAGCAACCAGCGCATCTCCATGTCCACAAACGCGCCCCACGTTTCGCCCAATCGTCACCCGTGCCGCTCTTCCGCCACAGCGGGCGGTCCCTCCCTGGTCTCCAGTCTGAGGTCTCTACTTCGTACGGACTAGAGTCCAACGAAACCTGAACCTTGGAGCACATCCATCGCCCGCTAGAATTCTCTCACTCTCTACCCACCAGCATCCGCTCCATCGACGGGTCTCATCAACAATCTTTCAGCTCTCTCTTCCCTCATGCGTTGTTTGTTTCACGGCAGTTCACGGCAGTGATTGGGCTCAGAGAGACATTGATAGCGGGCTCTGGGTAAATCGGCTCGGATATCAATGCCTAGCACCGTAACACAGCCCTGGAACCAAACGGCAGTCCATCTTTTGCTAGAGACTCAAGTAAAAAAAACTTCGTACAGTACAGTACAGTCCGTGAGTACCTAGCAAACAATAGAAGCAGATGGGGTGTCTCAAAGAAAGTCAAGGATGAAATAAGTGAACATACACCGCAATATGGAGTAAGCCAGACGGGAGATGTCAACAGCGCCTGGCTATTTTCCCTCAGTTACCCAATGACATCATGACCACCTGTTCACCCTAAAATTAAATCACCTCAGCCAAATCTCGCCCCAGAGACCAGACACCTAAAATCGGTTCCAACATGGGGGACAGACAGCATGCCATTTCATTTCCTCGCCCAAGAACTACGGTCCCCTAAAACCCCGAACGCCAAGAACCGTCATCCAAAAAAAAAGTTCCAGACCGAACAGACCGGGACCTCGACCTGCTGATTGATAGTCCGAATGAAGAAACTCCCCGTATCCACTAGTGAACGGGGCCCCCCACGTTCCACGGATCATCATCACCGCCTCACTCTCCCCTGTGGCTGAGCTCTGAATTTCACCCGGACACGACAGCCGCCATCCGACAGTGGTTCGACTTTTTCCCCCTACATCTCACAATCCATTAACCTCAACGGATACCCAACGGGCAACAACTCGCCTCTCGTAATCTCGGTGAAGGACACCCCGAACCCGGTCAGCGAACAACGCATCATCTCGCCTCTCTTGACTCTTCGTAATAACCTCGTCCCCAGTGAACCTACCTACGGCTTCAGTTCCTCCGTCCGCCCTTCCAACTATAGGATTTGCCAGCTTCCTTTTTGCGCGACTAAATCAAACGTTGCTTCATCATCAACTTCCGGCAACGCCGAGTTGGCCTAAGGTGTCTGGGCCATTCATCTCCAGTTGCTGTCGCATGTTGAACATCACCTTGGGCCCCAGGTCTCTGCCCAATATGACAGAGTCAACGCTGTTTTTCCTGTCACAAATACTCGATGTCTCGCTTCAACTGATCTTTTGCTATCCGCTGCAACAGACGCTTTAATTCTCAGCGCTCTCCTTCCAAAGACGTACTATGCGTCTATTCCAGGTCTAATTCTCTGCCTGGGCCTGTTTGTGTCCCCGTCCTCTGAAGGGACATGAACGTCTAATCAACGAGAATTCCAATGCCCCTATGCCTTCAAATCCTGATCATGGTGCCGCTTCCCGTCCATCAGCCTTCCGTCGTATCCATAGCATCGCCGCCGGCTGCCCTGGCCTTGGCCGCCGCGATCTTTTCCTCTCTCCACTTCTGAATCTTCTCCTTCAGCTCAGTGTGCGGGATCGCATCATCCACAGTCATCGGCTGTCGCGTAAAGGGATCCTTGGGATCCGATAGCAAGTGCTGTACAATGGTCCCCCGATCAACAATGTGCTTCGATGGCAGGATCACGGGATCCTTCATCAAGTCTCCCATGATCGGGTCTTCGAACTCGGCCGGGATGTCTCCAAGATCCAGCTCGGCTTGGTCAGCAATCTGCTTCGACTCCAGAAACTTGGCCTTCAACGTGTCGAGCTGCTCGAGTTCACCAGCCTCCTTCATACTGCGCTTTGAGAGAATGTGGCTGGCCTTGTCAAACACCTCGGGCTTGTACGAGCGTCCGTCTGAAGCAACGGCGTCGATGAACGCTTGGGATGAACCCAGGTTGAGGTAGATGTCGATGAAGTCTGATAGCAGAACCCTCGGCTGGAAGTGGTACTTGGTTGAATTGTTGACCTTTAGCTGACCCATCTTGGGTCCCGCAAGGGTCTCCAGGTTGTAGTTAAGCATACTAGCCAGACGCTGGACGATCTCAGGCATAGTGAATGCTGAGGTCAATGCCGATGTGAATAGCTTCATCATTGCCAGTGTCTCATTAGCCAATTGCATGTATGAGCCCGCCTGGCTCTCCAATGTTGACAACTCCTCTTGCTTCTTCTCTCTATCCTGCGTGGATAGAGTGTTGCCAAACTCCAACTCCTGCTGTAACGTATGGATCTTGGGAAACTTTGTCAGTGCCTCGTCAAGCACATAGGTCGCGTCATTGAGGAGCAAGTTCACGAATTGAACAAAGAATTGTCGGTTGACCCTGGCGTTTGTCAGTCACGCATCCACACACTCTGTGTAGGAGCCGGAACAGGACGGAACTTACTTGCTCTCTCTCGTCAACTGTTGCTTGTAGATATCGTTGCCCCAGACGCATTTGATAACCTGGAAGATCTCGTATCTGATGTTGAACTTGTCGTAGAACTGGGTGTTCACACCAGTCGACTCCGCCTCAATGTAAAACTTCATGAGAGCGTGCAATAGGTTGTCGTTGGCAAACTTGGATCCGTAGAGCTGATCACCCAGAACACCCTTCTTGAAGTGCATGAAGGGCCAGGTGCCGGAGAAGAGCAGCGTGACCAGGGATGACTTGAGGTAAGGGTTCTTGATGTACTCTGACGAACGCAAGAAGGCAATGCAGAGTGCAATCATCTCGCTGCCAACAGCGGAAGGCATGATCTGAGGAAGATAGCGATACACGAACTTGAAGTTGTCGACCACGTCCTGGAGCGCATACTCGGGCAGGCACGCAAAAGCCTCGGGGGCCTGAGCAGGGAGAGGAAGCTGAAGATCTTTGTCCGGGGTGTAGCTGGACTGGCTGGCAAGGCGAAGAAGCCACACGGCCACGTAACGCATAAAGCGAAGTGACAGTTCTTGCATTTTCTCGTCAAGGAAAATGCCCTCGATCGCAAACTTCATGGCGATGGCCTTCTCCAAAACCGTGGTGTGACGCTTGAGTGTCAACTCAAACATGGCAAGTTGCTGTGGCTGGTTCTGGACCTTAATCCGCTCTGCTTCCATAGCAGCCAAATGCTTCTCGTACCACTTGATATCCCTCTCCAAACCCTTGAGCTTTGAGTTGGTTGCCTCGCTGCCGTAGTGATGTGCGGCTAAAGTCAAGAAGAAAACCTCGGAAATAAAGTTCGAGTTGCCCTGAGATTGAGTAGCGTAGAATGCATCGGACGTCGATTGGTCGGCATTGAGCTTTGTCTCTTCCTTGATGTCCACACGGGGACTCCGGCGGAAGTACTCAACCTCGATCCGGTCGACCTTTGAGAAAGTTGTGTCCATGAAGGGAGAGCAGAATCGGTCCAACACGACAGTAAGGTTCATCATGAAGCCATCTGAAGACACCTCCTTAGGGTCAACCTGAAGAGCTCTACGCTTATGATTGCCGTTGATTGCAGATGCGAACCAGTCGAGTACCCGGCTCCGGGTGTCAGTGTCAGCTCGGATGAAGGCATTGGCGATAGTGAAGAGCTCGTCCTGGTGCACTCGGAGAATAGCCCGAAGAGCATCTTGAGACGGGGCAGCCCGAGTGCGGTCCAGGCCGCGAGGGTTCGGGAAGTATGTCATGGTGACCTCGGGTTGCAAGGGAGAGATGCGGAAGAAGGGGCCCAAGATTGTCTCCTTTTCAACATGGGATCCCAGCTTTTGAGCGGTCATGAAGTTGGGATGTTGCGCCAATGCATTCAGTAGAGGCGGGAACTTTGTGTAGGACATCAAAGCCTATCAAGTCCAGATATCAGTTCAGTCCTGTCCCAAAGACATGGGCAATTGCTGGGAGAGGGGCAACACTGGTGACCTGAGAAACTCACGCTGATGTATGGCTTGTAGTCATCCTCCATAGACAACGCCGATAGTTTGATGCTGAGTGTGTGCATGGCCGTGGCGAAGGCAGCTGGGAACTGCTCATCCTCGGGGAACCGCTTTACTGCCTCCCGCAAGAAGTCCAGACAGACTCCATCGTCCAGCTCTTGTCCTTTGAGCAGGTATGTGACTAAGCTCTCGGGACGTGATCGTCTAGTACTACCTGTAAGTAATTGAAATGCCCAGGGTGCATCTACTTACCCAAAGAGATCTGGTATCGTGAGCGCAAACAAAGCGTTGCTAACACACAGTCTCTTTGCCTCTTCCAGGGCCTCCCTCTTCTCTGCCGTCTCTTTCACTATGTTCGTCCGGATGATGCGTTTGAATGAGGGAAGTAGATAGCCAAGAAGGGGCTTGTCAGCTGGGATCGCAGTGACGGCCTCCAGCAAGGCACTATCGAGTATGGAGGTCGTCAGTTTGAGGGGCGATCCATTCTCTTGGAGCTCTTGGCTAGCTTCCGGCAGGAAGGTAAGCTTATGTCCATGGGTATCGACAACTCTCTCGGGGTCGACTGTGATCCGGAAGATGTGGCTGAGCGTTCGATCCGAAAAATCATCCAATGACTCCTCCACATTCGCCTTCTTCGCGGGAGCAGGTGTGGCTGCGCGGTCGGAGGCGAATCGCTTGTTGCTCTCGGTATTGTTCGATGCAGCTGGCGACGACGCACCGCTCTCGGACTTGACACCAAGCTGGCTGAAAGGATTCGAGGCGGCGGGCTTTGGTGTGGATGTCGGTGTTGGGTTGGCCGAAGCCTTGTGAGCCTTGCCTTCGCTCGTTGCGGAGTTTGATGTCTCGGCGTCTGCTGACGATTCTCCTTCCGGCTTGGGTGATCTGGTCGAGGAGCCAAGCTTAGCCAGCCGTCGAAGTCGGATCTAGGTAGACTGGTCAGATTGTTTCCTACGGAGTCAGATGATGAGGCAACGGTCCACGACAGTCATTGCCATCGTGTGTCGGCCGGTAATACGTTTGTCGATTGCGCTCGCCACATGCGGTTCTCGGCAAAGGTATCCCATCGTCATTGTGTGCGTAGATCGACTGAGACGGCGGGAAGACGAGGGCGGCTGACGAAGGCCATTTGGACTACGCCAGACATCTGAAGAGGGCGCGAGGGCAGAGCGAAAATCGGTTTGAGGGTCGGGAGGAGCACTGGTAGGAGGATGAGAGGACAAGGGGAAGACAGCTCTTACATCGTTTATCTTCTTGACGTCGGGCGCGTCGGGCGCTTGGTTGCCCTCGTTCGGATCCATGGCGGGCGAATTCTATGCTTTTGAGCGGCGGTCGTAAGTATGCAATCCGTTTCTAGCGAGGCCGGCAATGGTGCAAGGTTGAGATTCCCAGATTGAAGGTGGGCTGGCTGGAGGTTGACGTACAGTACCACGAAAGTTGAGGTTAGGAAGGCGCTGCACCTAACTGCGTCGGTTGACAAGCGCAAGGTACGGACGGCCAGGTTGGTGGGGGAGCAAGCCAGGCAGGCAGGTAGTGAATGTGGGGCGACGGCGGACCTGTGAGGTACCACGGAAGAGTCCCCTAGGCTGTTAAGTCCGACATGGAGCATCTCCGACAAGCGGAAAGATCCACCACGAATTTGAAAGTCCGCCGCGGGGATGGGCTCGATTACTAAGCTTAGGCTTTCCTTCGGCTCCCAATAGGCTCACGGGTACCCGTGCATGTAAAATTCCACGTGTACCCGTGAAAATGACTAAGCAAACTGGCGGCACGGGTCTTGAGCCAATCGGAGGCGCAACTTAGGTTCCAATTATCCTTTCAATTTACGATTTAACTAACCACAATACACTCTTCGGGTAGATTCTCAGCATATAACGCCTCCTATTCGGCGTTATCTCTCGCGACTCGATTCTAGATATCGCCCATACCTCTACTACTACTCCGAAAAGAGTTATCTCCCTCCTCAGCAAAAACAAGCTCATTAACCCGTTCCTACTCAGCTCTATCCTAGTCTAGATAAGCCATCATCTCTTCCTTTAGCCAATCTCTTAACCCCTTAGAGGTAGTGCAGCGTCTGTTCATCTGCTTATAATCAAGACACCACTCATAAGACTTCTTCCCATAACGCAGTAGAAGACCTATTACCCTCTAATACTCCTGGTTTATTTTGACACTTCCACGAGGCTAGGCGGCATACCAGGCGCTTCTCGCTACACAATATCGTTCGTATATTACCTAAAGCAAATCGTATCTTAGAAGCGAGGGTAAAGGCAAACGCCGAGACGGCGATTGCACGTCAGGTAGTGATATCCCGGCATCCACTGCTCCATCTATAATCAATAGAGCCAAGGCTGATATAGATTATATAATATTCGATAGAAGCCTTTCCGTAACTTCCCGTATAGTAGAATAGCCCGCACTCGGTATCAAAACTAGACCCGGAGTAGGCATTAGCTTAAGCAACAAATACGAATATCGCAAAGGGCACGCTTTCAAAATCATAATATAGCCAGCTACATAATGTTACGACCCAACATGAAGACCAGGGCGTGCCCCGCTGACGCCTAGCGGCTACGGCGCATCATATATGCAGGACGGGACGGAACATTGGGGAAACCCCAGGAACGGAAGAACTATGGTACAAGTCACGTGATGATAAGAGATATGATAAGGGATAAGGATATGTTGGATATGCGACATATCCAACCGAGTCAAGGATATGTTGGATATTCGACATATCCAACCGAGTCAAGGATATGTTGGATATTCGGCATATCCAACATATCCAGACAAAGTGGACTGTACAGCACTGTTCAGTTAGGATCGGACTTGTATATAAGGATGGACTCGAGCTGGGCTCTAGGACAGACTTTCCATAGCTCTTCAGCAATTAACTTCGTATCAGGATTAACATCCGCTTTCAGCTACTACCTTGACAAGACTACGATTGATCACCGAAGCCTTACCTACCCTTACGATTGACAGACATAGCTTCCCTGAAGCTATCCCCGACTACGATTACTGTTACCAGTTCCGCAGCCTCAACTTCTGCAAACTACCCCTACGACTAGCTGGCCGTAACACATAACACCTACTATATATACTTAGGGCCCGTAATAAAATTCTAATAATTTCAAACCCATTTAGCTCTCGCCTAGTGCTTAACTTCGGAATTCGGGGGTTCTCCGACTACAACCTGGGCTCGATGCGCTGGCGAGGCTCTAGTAACAACTGCGGCGCTCCTTCACGCCTCAGGTGCCAATGCGCATGGAAGTGCTCACGTAGCAGAACAAGATTTTGTTCCTATAAAGCCTTTAATTTATATAGATATGGCAGACCGTTGTTACGCCCGCCGCAACTTGTCACTGTGGGCGCGTAGTTATATATGCAGAACAAGGGACAATGATGACCGGAGTCATCATTATCGAAGCTTTTGCTTTGTGCCACAGTTGGTTGCCTTGTCCAGCTCGTAACAACCGTACACACGAGAGAAGGCCCCCGTACAGACTAAGGAATAGTCTATACCATTCTTACTAAGCAGCTTCCGCTGCTCTTTTACTTTCCGGAGGGCTTCATACGATATCCAGCTAAGTACTGCGCCATATATTATTCCCAAAAGCTCGACCGGTATTCGTGTCTATTATTTAGCTTAATTAAATCTCAGATCCGAGAGATAATTAAGTAACGCGTACTTCATCGCTCGCCAAGCCTCGACAGATCCAACGTAGATCTCTTTAGGTGCGATTTAAGCAGAGCATAGATGCCCTCAGCCCGCGAGGTAGCCACGTTACCAAAGTACGTATGCTGATCAACCCAGGCTTTCACTAACTTCTCCTTGTACGGATGGAGCCAAAAGGACGTAACGTAGCCAACTTCTTCAAGATAGTCCGTAAGATAGCGTTCTTCAAAGTAAGAAACACGTTCCCGAAAGGTCATCTCAGACGGCGAGCTAATAATCAAATACCAGGACTTGTAAAACTCTTCCTAGTTATCAGTCGATAACTTTGGCGCTGCAGGGCTACTAGTTATCTTCGTCTTGGCAAGGTCGAACGCAGAGTAGCAATGCTGAAGCACCGCCTTGTTTGCATGCCAGAGGCAAAGCAAAGATGCCGAAGATGGAAAGACAGCGGCTATAGTATCGATATATACTAAGCAGCGATCTATGAGGACAACCGTAGGTAGGCTAGCGTTATACTGGTTATATAAGGACCTGACCCGCTCTAGAGCCTAGGTATAATCTTTTTCCGTTTCGCTACTAAGAAATGCGAACGCAATATAGAAGGAACGCTAGTAAGCATCGATGCTAACTATATTAAGGAGCGGTATACCGTACTTGTTTGTCTTGTAAGTGTAGTCCAGTAACATTATGTCTAGGTAAGCTTGTAGGAGGGCCAAGGAATCTGGATAGGCGAACAAGACAGCTGTAACGCGGCCATCTGGTGCGAATTACATTCGACTCTAGAAGCCTTCCTCGTCAAGCTGATTGGCAAGTGCGTGGATTGAGGTCTACCCTCCACGAACATCTCGTTCAATGGCTGCAATATGATTATAGATATCCTGTTAGGTTGCTATAGAGTTTATAGTTTATCGTATATATATCCGGATATCCCTAGGCGCGACGCCAGCATTTAATAGGCCGGCTACTTTCGTAAAATCCTCCTCTATTAGCTTACGGTATATTAGGTAAGTAGACGGATGCTAGCTTAGGGGATAATTATCCCATCGAGTGCTGTTGGGCTACAGATACATTCACAGAAGGGATCCTGACCACTCAGGGGCAGCCAAGAGTTTTCTCGACCAATCAATGGCCCTATTTGAAAGGTACTTCGGTTGCCTATATATTTTGAGTGTGATAGAGGTACCAGCAATCATCAGAGTTACAAATCGCAACCCCACACTGCTTGCATCCTGACCTCGTCTTCTTTCTCCTATCTCTTCGCAAGTTCCGTGTGACTTCGCCTAATGCTATTCGTTTGTTGTTACAAGACAAGCAAGCAGAGGGCTTCAGGAAGTATCGCAACGTTGATACAGGAATGTACAGACCCTTCAGAGTCACTATCGTCGCTCGAGGCCATCGTGACGAATTGGCATGTGTAGATAGGCGATTTTGGTGGTGAAGGGAAGCCAGGGATTCCTAGGGGTAAATGACGTACTGTCATGTATTCCTGATGTGAGGGGTTAAGAGTGGGTAAAGGAGTGGAGCAATGTATCTGTAGCCCAACAGCACTCGATGGGATAAGAAGAAAACCGTTTATCGGGGCGGTATCTCAAGCTCCATATGCTTTTATCCAAGGATTCTTTAGCAAGTACGGAAAATTAACAACCGGTTCCCCTGCTAGTAGTTCGTCTTTGGCGCGCTATTGCTTTGCTTAGGGGATGACACGATCGATCGTACGAATACGTAATTGTCCGCCGTCCATTCTTCTCTTTGGTCTATCTCCCGGTCGTGAAGGCGTATCCCCTTGTTGCTGCCTAATTGTTAATTACCAATATGAGGTCATCGCGGGATTCATATTCGCTTTCAGGAGGTAGACAGTCATCTAGGAAATTGAGTGCTGGATTGTCCGGGGCTATTTCCATTCTTTTCAGAAACTTGTGGCCGAGTTGCCATGAGCAGAGAAACGTGTAGAATGACGCGAGACGCGTTTGTCAATCTGTGCCGCCAGCTTGCTTAGTCATTTTCACGGGTACCCGTGGAATTTTACATGCACGGGTACCCGTGAGCCTATTGGGAGCCCTTTCCTTCTCACCTCGAGGTTTTGGTTCTACGGGATTCGACTCCATGAACTTGAAGGCAGCATCAATGATTCATGAAATGTAACTTTTTTGTGTTTAGCTGACCATGAAAATCTCATGATTTTGAATCTTTTACACACTCTGAGCCTTCAGGTCATCTTGTGTAGTCAGCATGAAGAGAAGCCAGCAAAAGAACAGCAACAAAGCACTGTATGGAAGCTGGTGTGGACTGCCTATGTGTTGCATCGATGAGACCGAAGCTCGACTGAACTCAGGAGACCCCTAAAACCCTTCTTTTGATGAATCTCCCCCTCGATATGAAGCTACTGGGGCTTTCAGACGAAAAGAGTGAAACCTACGTCATTGGGGTGGCGATGGGGTCCTTGGAGACCACCCTTCTAAGTTTTGCTTCAAACACGTGGACACGGGGTCAGTCTTTGAATTTGTTTCTTATGGGGAGTCCAACTGAAAGCTTGAACTCAAGCCTTGACGAAGATTGAGGAGCACGTGAATACATCACACTAGAGTAGTAGAGTGAATACTGCAAAGCTGCCTCCTTGTGTCAATTAGACTAGATACGAGACCAATTTTGTGTCGCTGGGCGTCTTGCTGAACTTGCAGACCACCACAAGGGTATTTCCGTGCCTTCCCGTTTCGCGTTTCTTTCCTTTGTCCCTGTTTGTCCCCAACGCCAGAAAATTCAACAATTTTAGTAATAAAGTCAGACCAAAGTCTGCAGAGGACGATGGCAAACGAGCGGTGAAGAGTCCCTCCAGGCTGGTGCGCAGATGTGAAGTGAGGGGAAGACTGTGTTTGCAGCAGTTCTTGCCCATATCTTGCATCCAGCTGGTCTTCTCAAAGCATGCTCCTTACCGTCATCCAAGGTTGCCCTTAGTTTCAGTTGTATATGCAAAGATCCCCAAGGGACTGGGCAGGGTTGTAAATGCTCGGTCCAGAGCAGACATCTCAAAGACGGGGGATGCCATTTGAACCATCACTTAGCCGCCGAGATGTGCTCGGGGTAGTAGCCTCGCCATCGCTGTCAGAGCTGCCCCTTGTCCGACTGGTGCTGCCAACGCTGCGATTGGCCAAACGGCTGCGCTCGACTTCCTCGCGGCTCTTGTTCATGAGCCATGCCATGTGCATCTTGAGTATGCCCAGGTTGCTCCTGATCTCGGTGATTTGATCCTTAATCGGCATGACCTGGTTCAGGACCATCACAGTCTGACGGCCCTCGAGGTCTGTAAACTCTTTCTTGAGTTCCTCCATGCGACGTTCCATGTCTTCATAAATGGTCATGACGGCCTCGGTAGGTTTGAACTTTGGTCCACCTTGGACGTTGTTGAGATTGAACACGTCGTCCCAGGAGATACAATCTCGGCGCTCGTCCTTCGTCTCCATGATCTGTCTCTCCTGGTCTTCGGTCTGCTTCTGTAGCTTTTCGATCTGCTTCTCTTGTGATTTGACCTTTTCACCAACAACAGCAACGACTCTGTAGATACACTCGTCTTGATGCGTCGCCAGGGTCTTGCGAAGTGCTTCGTGTTTGCAGCCAAAGTCGTGATATGTGCAAGGGACCGAGGTTTCCGGGCAATGGTCGTCGCGATGTTGGCCCAGCTCTGAAAGCTTGATGGTCTCTCCACATTCGGTACAGTCTGTCGTGTTTTTCGGGCACACTTTGTTGATGTGATCGGCCATCGACGCCGCTTCCATCTTCTCCTCGCAGTATTCGCAAGTCTGCTCAAAGTGCCAGCACTTGCCAGACACAGCCAGCCATTGTTCCACCCTCTTATCACATGTCTTCTCAGGGCAGTCGTGCAATGTGTATCGACAACTGATAGTGTGCTTTACAACCTCGTCGCGCTTCATCTTTTCGCCACATCCTCGCTCTGTATTTGGGCATTCGACTACCAGGCTATCGAGTATATTCGTCAGAAGTCTCGAAGTTTTGCAGTCCCTGGCTCGGAATCTTGTCCGGTCGATGGGGCAGGTGTCGGATGAGTGGACATGGCGCTTCAGGCATTCGAGACAAAATGTATGATCGCAGGGCGTAATGATCGGGGTGATGACAGGTAGCTTGCAGATGGGGCAAAGTAGGTTGTCGTCGGGTTCCTCGACATAGTTGAGAGCGGAGAAGTCGAGAAGATCCTTGACGTGACTAGGACTGATGGAGTATCGCAGTGCCTCCCGGGTCGCAAGTTCTTCGACGGGCCACTGGGTAGGAGTTCGTGCTGTTTGTCTCGCTGTTAGCTAATTGGACCCGGAGCTAGATCCGGGTGATTTCCATCAACTCACGCGTCAGAGGGATCGGGACTTCCTCGACGGACCGCACGGCATCCTCGACGAGGTTGTGTACGAGATGGGTGATGGCCGCGTCCTCGACGGGGAAGCCTGCGTGCGACATGATGGAGGTCTCTCTTCTCGTTATCGGTTAGGCGCGCTTGGTGTAGCAGAGAGGATTACGAGATGTGTAGGAGGACCATGTTTAGGACCAAAGCAGCTGAGAGAGGGGGGCGCCGAGCTGCGGTGTTTTGCTCGTGAGGTGGTGCGGGTGGTGACGGAGATACGGGATTTGCTGCGGTTGTGGATATCGTCTCGTGGCGCAGAGCAGTAATGCTCGGGGGCAGGCAGGCGCGGGTGAATAGTGAAGAAAGTGGAGGTTCACAGATCCAGTTGAGGGCCAATCTCCAATCCAAATAGCCTTTGAGGAAGCACCTGGAGGCTCTCGGCAACAGGTGGGAGAGGTGACGTGACTCGAGCCGAGGGTCCCCATCCCCGATAAGCCGATAACGCTGAGGAAACGGCCGCTAAAACGCCGTGTGACTAAGCTTCGCACGGCTGAAAAGCACAGTCCCCGCACATGGTATTGTCTGCCAAATTGCATGTGCTCGCTTTGGCCGATTGCTTTCTTTCGTGATGAATAAGATCTTCAGTACATGGAGAAATGCAGATACCCATATTTCTGCTGCCGATGATGACGTCGCTTTCTTCATTCAAACCAACATCGCAAAGATAAAATCCCATTCTCTCTACTGGTACCATCGACTGCATGGCTCCACAATTCGACCTTGAATGTGCTGGCGTCAACATACGGATAGGATACTCTTAGCATCTATGGTTAGACCTCATCAACTCGGAAGCACAAGATTATTTTCCTTGCCCGTATTGTCCCCTATCAGTGGCGGACCATAAATTCATCAATGGATAGCAAAGAGACATTATCCTAAGCGCTAAAGTCCTTGCTTCTTAACCCCTTATCAATCTTGGTAGGATGCTGACGTTAAATCCACAAGCCTTGCAAGTAGACTAGTCTTCTACAAATTTGGAGCCCACGTTTCCCCGCCTCTCCGGTCCCCAGCAACAGGTGCCTCTGGTGTACGTCTGTAAGCGTCCGGCAGGATTCCCTCAAGGATTCCCTTGATCTGCAAAGCAATCACCTTTGAGAACCACCGATGCTGGGCCGTCCCACCAGCAAACATCCAGAGGTTGTCGACCCCGGGGTGCCGCTTCCAGAGCCCACGTATCTCGCCCTGAGCGTCCACACCCCATGTGGGCTCGAGCCGTCTCGCGATGTCATCTGTTCCAATACCCAGGGTATCTGGGAGATTCTTTCGGCCATCAGTGTGGCCGAAGCCGATACACCAGACTATGGCATCCGCCTCCAGATGGCTGCCATCGGAGAGCAACAAGCCGTTGCTGGTGTAGGACTTGGGCACGACCCCGGACCGGATACCGACCTTCTTCGTCGTAATGAGGTCCATGCCGCTGCCCATGTCTACAAAGTGCCCACCGCAACGGTCGATGAGGTTGACCAGCAGGTCGCCAGTCAGCGAGTCTTGCACGCGGATCCCTGCTTTCCTAGCCTCCGCGTATCGATGCCTGCATAGTGGAGGTCAGCAAGTCAAGACTCCCTCTTTGGGAACCTGTACATACGGTTCTGCTTGAGCCTGCATCCTGTGAACCAACCCTAGAAGGGCCCCGCCGATAGCCAACGGGCCTCCGTTGACAATCACGTCCGCGTCGTCCGCAGGAAGGATGTCATAGATCCCAAAACCCATCGGGTGAGCAAAGTACGTCATTGGAACGACATACGTCTCTGATCGTTGTACCATGGTCGTCTTGAGGCCAGCATCATGGCAGTCGACCAAGACATCGAATGCAGTGTTCCCGGAGCCGATGATGGCAACGGACTTCCTCAAGGCAAGGAAAGCATTAGCAGAGCGACTAGACTTCGTCATCACCTCTTGGCGATATTTACAGTCAGAACTTACCTTTGCCCCCGCTGCAACTAAGTCGCTAGCAGTGCGATACGATGCCGAGTGCATGTTGGGGCCTTTGAATGATTCCAGGCCCGGGAGGTCTGGCAGGGGCGCGGGACCTGCGAAGCCGGCGCCGCCCGTGGCAAGGACCATACATTTGCAGGTTAGGGTTCGTCGAAGGTCCGCTGTCTGTATCTCAACACTCCATGTCTTGTTCTCTTCGTCGTATTGAGTTGCAGCTATTGTCGTGCGGTGTAGAACGCGGCGGTCTAGGTCGAACTCTTTCGCGAAAGCCACGATCTGGTCGGCTAGCTGGTCTCGGGTGAGACCGTCATTGGAAGCCTGGGGATACGCTAGTTTTAACTGTCAGTAAAGAAGCAAGTGTCCCTTCATTACCACAGGGTCACAAAATTGAGGTAGCAGGTTTCTCCTGTCACAAAAGGGGCGAGGAAGGGGCGAGGATCGCCCTAGGGTTAGGGTTATGATCTTGCCTTCGGCCTCGTGCCCTCATCCCTTACCCCTGTGGGTAGGTATACGGATAACATTCAGATCTACAGTGGAATCCGTGGGAACTGGAGTCTTTAGTACTTACGAATGTACGGCGTCTCGCAGAATGACTTATAGACGTGGAAGCGCATGCAGTCGTATCTCAACGCCCAGTTGTCCCCCACCCTTGAATTGCGGTCGATGACCACATAGTCAATGTCCAAGGCCTTCAGTCGAGCCGCCAGGATTAAGCCTCTGCAATTTTATTTGTCAAAATTAGGTAGGGGACCGATTGGGAGGGCCCTTATGGACTTACGCGTTACCCCCGCCGACAACCAGCACACTTGTAGAGATGTGGCTATCGTCCGTCACAAGAGCCGAAGGGGCTCTGAGCAGACTCTCATCCTCGGGAAAGTCCTCAAACTCGGCCAAGTATGTGCTCATGGACCAAATCTTCCATTCGTGTTCGTCTGATTCACGGCCGCCAGGAACAAGCATCATCTTTCCTCGGCAAAGAGCCTTGGGAGAACCAATTACAAAGCTGAATTCACAGTCGAGCCACTTCTGAAGGGGGTCTATCAGTATCGTGCTAGAGATAGGAGGTTTGCTATTATTACTGACAAGCTCTCTGGTGGCCGACAAAACTTGCGCCTTCTCGAACTGGAAGCCCTGGGCCTTGCGAAGAGTGAAGAGCTCCAGTAATGCAGATGCGATGACACCCCTGCCATTGAAGGTTCTGATGTGAGCTGTGAAAGATAGTGTATCTTTCCAGTGACTGGAAGGCTCGGCGAAGAAGGCTTCAACGGCATGGTGTTGCCCCTGCTGTAGGGCCTTCGAAAGGCCTGAAACTACGCCACTCGAGATATCGCAGGCGTTGATGGTGTCCCAATCATCCAACAACTCTGCCGTGTTAGGAAGCGTCTCGTAAATCTCTTTCCTGATGTTGACCCTGGGAGGGTTGTCTGGTAGCTCCATAATCGTTTCTGTTGTCGTTTGCTCTCGTCTTGTGGTTCTTGCTGAGACTCATAGGCAAACCGAGGTATGGGAGTGGGAGGGGTAATATGGTATTTCTGACGCGACATCCCTCCAAGAATGATGAAACCTCAGATGTACATGTGTGCTCATCGAGTATCACGGACTTTCTCGCAGCAACCTGCAGGTCATGTTGAGTGTGCCACACATGCGCTTGTCAACAAGGCTTGGGGAAGGCCGTAAGACAATTCCCTCTTGACAGCGTACCTAGGTACGTATTACCTCGCCCATGACAATGCAGTATAGAATTTCTTGGGGAAGTGCAGCATTTTGCTGGAAATACCTTTGACCAAAGTTCAGCAACTTAGAAATGAAGGTTGGTGTACACAGCATATGGCGTACACTTGGCTTGCAGTTGCATAGGGACGGTGTCCGTGATGATACGCTGACACAAGATGCGCACCAAAGCACGAAAATGATAGGACGAAAATGATAGGACGAAAATGATAGGACGAAAATGCCGATGTATCTGACGAGCGTCTGCTGTACGCTCAACCATTCCATCCTTGGGCATTCGTTGTCTCCCTCAAGTATTCCTTTAGTGCTTACTTCATGCTGCAATAGCATTTATCCCATCGGGTGCCAGTGGACTACAGTACAACTTGTGAGGGGTAATGTCCAGTCAGCATACTGATCGGCGCCCCCCTTCGCCAATTAAATCCCAGAAAAATCTGGTACATTCGTTTGCTATATATTCTGGCTGTGATAGATGTACCAGCATTTATTATTATTACATAGGGCTACTCCACACTACTGGCAGCCCGATCGCGACTGTTTACGACGCCTGCCGTTACCACTAACCTCCCCAAGTGCCACTCTCGACTTTGGCCTCGAAAAGTTGCAGGCTACGCAAGGAGATGGGGTTTTACATAGCTCCCGCGTATAAAGCTGCTAGGGAATATCTTACCTCCGCGTATCTGTAGCCCTCTGAGGCCTAGATCTCTTACGAGCTCCTACCAATGGCCCAAAGTGCTGAATTAGCTAGGTAGAAAGTAGTCTGCGCCATTCGTACTGGCTCTCAAGAGATCTCCAGTTTAGGCGCCCCCATTACTATAAAAGATATATATTCACAAGTATGCTCTCGAGCAGGAAGTTCCAAGCAATTGACTCCCATCCTCCTCTTCTGATTAGCCGCCCATATTAATAATATGACCTCATCTAATCGCTCGTATCGACGCCGTTCATATTATGGTTATAATCGTCGATACAGACGGGCACCGGAAGAAACTTTCGGACTTCGGAGCCAAACACTTGACGAGCAGCCCGCTTCGCCAAGGAATCACCAGTAGGCCGGCGGCGGTTCCGGAGGATCTCGGCAGTGTAGTTATAAACAGTCGTGAGGAAGAGAACCAAGGCGTTATCCTTCCAAGTTAGCTAGTTAACCTAGAATATACCAAAAGAGCATATCAGAGTATAAATAAATATAGAGAGAAGTTCTGTTAATTATACCTGACCATCTATAGTTAGGATATAGTGGATTCGACCCCATAGTATCCCTCTGCCCTCTGTCTCCTTCTTCTCGACGAGGATCTCCCTGATGCCGGCGTCTTTTCGGCAAGTGCCCGTAGCGCCGATATTCTGCTGCCGGAGGGCCCGGAAGAGCTTCACCGAGGCGAATAGATTATCTAAAAAGACGTGGTAGACCCCCGGAGGCAATAGGCTGAGTAGGGTAGTAACCACCCGCTGCGTCGGCGTCAGGGCCGCTTTTTTAGCAGCCTCGTCGCCGGGCCCGAGCCGGGCCTACGGCACAAGTCCGTACGGACCCTTGCCGCAAGAGTGCCATAACCACCGGAGGCAGTAGCCGTTTTAAGCCAGTACCCATACCTTAAACCCGGTAGGGGTCGGCTTTGTTGGTATCGTTGCCGTCTCCGTAGACCGGCCCGTGAACCGGACCATAGCCTCGTCGACGGTGAGGTCGGAGCCGGCGGTATAGAAGCGGTCCCAGGTCTCTTGGATATGAACGGACCAGCCGTTAACCTGCCGGTAGACCTTCGGCATCTCCTCGTCCGGGGCGGCGCCGGGGCCGGCTCGTCGAGTACGGAGGTATTGTAGATCCGGATTCGCCGGCAGAGTAACTGGAAGCGATTCCGGGGTATGTATTGGGTAAAGAGATAGATAGGGTCCTCATTCTCTTGCCGAGAGCTCCAGTATCTTGTGTTTTTAATTTCAGGGTGGATTCTTCTATAAATAATAATACCTAAGAAGAGGTAGATCTCTTCTGCCGAAGTGTTACTCTATGCGAACGTTTGAGATTCAGGCTGACGAGGCCCGGCTACCGTTAGCGGCGCGGCGTTCGTCTACTCTGATTATCTATCGATAAGATCCGCAGGTATATATTGTAAAAAGAAGTCTAGAGGAGTCGGTGGTAGGTCTCCTATTATCGCTTCGCGAGGGGGTACGTCGAAGGGGTCGAATCTGCCGGGTTCGCCAGCCCCAACTTCGGGGGCCTTATAAGGTCGGTATGTAGCCCCATTATAGGTCTCGGGCGTATAATCGGTAGTACAGGCGACTTCGAGGTCTTCTGGGGTTACGGCGACGTAAATACATGATCGTATAGAGGTCGTAGACGCGTCAGAATCGTCTAAATCCATCATAATATGTAGTAAAGTGATGATTTTGGTGGTGAAAGTAGGGATAAAATCATAACTAGGGGTAAGTGACGTATTTCGATGTACTGATGTGGTGCGGAGAAAAAGTGGCTCCAAAAGTACTGTAGTCCACTGGCACCCGATGGGATACTAGGCTGCACGGGCATTGGGGGGAAACATGCAGGCATGATGCTTTAGGCATTACGATGTACTTGGTAGAGGAATTAATTCTCCTAGTGCCACCTTGGACTCTAGATTGGTACTTACCTTATGATAATGATACTGTCCCTCTTTTCGGTGCAAAGCTCCTCGATGGAAAGTGAAAGAGCAGAAAGGGAATAATGCGTCAACAACTACCTAGGTAGAGACGAATAGCTGAACTCGCCCTGTATCAAGATTGATAGGCATCCACGACTTTAATATGGCACAGCTAATTGGTACTCGGATAGGCTTGCGTCCCTTCTGGTCTATAAGATTCCGTTGCACTTTGATGTCTAGTGGATTACATGATTGCACTGGTAGTTCTAGTAATGAAATATGTTGCTCTTCCCCACTTCGTTTACCAGCGACTGGTATTTCGCGTACAATGACCAACGAGGTCAATATTGAACTCGAGTTAAGCAGTAATAGATGGTAGTTCTGACGGCGAGCTGATTAGATAGAGCACATCGATAAAGCTCCCCATCGGCCGGTCCCACGCGCCAAGATGCTTGTGACACCCCGCGACGCCCGGGCACCCTGGTCGATGAACACGAACAGTGGCGCAGCAGCTCCCCCTAGCTGTTCGCCCCGATGGATGAACGAATGGACGAATGGCACAACGTCATCTCGTCACAGGGGCGGCGGTTCAGCCAGACAACTTCTTCACACGGCACCTTTCAAGACGCCCGGCCTTTTCGTTCCGCCGGTTAAGACAACCTCTAGGCAACGAGTTAACGACCTCTGTTTGCCTTCCTCTGTACGGATAGTCATCAGCTACAACCTGAGGCGAACACCGAGTTTCCCCTCCCCCGCAGCTGAGCAGCTTGAGCTTATCTTAGCTCCCTTCAGCTCTCCAACTCCGTCTCACCCCAACTCTCCATCTCCAAAAGCTTCCTAGGAACTCCCACTCGTAGTCACATCCCACAACATACACATACCACATCTGATCGGACGCCGGACGGCCAGACAGACAAGATGCCTTCTTTTCCCATGCCTCTCCACGACATCTGGAGCCAGGACGCCTTCCAGCACCCGTCCTACAACCCAACCCCGATCCCCCGTCGGCCCCACCCCCAGCCCCAGGCCGGCAGCAGCACCCGCGCCAGTGCCACCACCCGGTCCTCAGAACCAGGCCCCAGCGACGCCGTCACAAAGGAGTTCTTCAAGCACTCGAGCGCGAAACGCGTCAACACCGACGCCCTCATCTCAAAGGCCCTCAAGGAACAGTACCCCCACCTCGAGCTCGTCGTCGTCCCCGAGTCCCTCGGCTACGGTAATGGCTGCAACCTCCTCGCCTATGCCCAAGGCGGCCACGCTACCTTCGAGGTCATCGACGACAAGGATGGCAACAACCTGCCCTCGTCCCTCGAGTGGCTGCTGTACCTGCCCCCCTCCCGGCGCATGGACGGCAACCTCGGCGGTTTGGCGACGATTACAAACTTTGGCAAGTACCTGTACAAATGGCAGGGTCACGAATTCATCGTCTACCTCGTCGACGGGCGCGACGGCGTCATGCCGTACCCGATCAAGAACTACTACATCCTCGCGCCGCAGACCTACCACGTCGACCAGCTCGTCCTGTCCGCGGGAAAGTGGAGCAGCGATCTCCACGAAGAGGTGTGGGTGTTTGATCAGGGGTACTGGCAAAAGAGTCACGAGCTGTTCAAGAGCTTCCGCGATGCTTCGTGGGAGAACGTCATCCTTGACGCGGATATGAAGAAGGCGCTCATCGAAGACCACCTGTCCTTTTACAACTCAAAGGAAACGTATCAGAACCTCAAGGTGCCGTGGAAGCGCGGTCTTATCTACTACGGACCACCGGGCAACGGCAAGACCATCTCCATCAAGGCCACGATGAATATGCTCTTCCAGAGGGACATCCCTACTCTCTACGTGCGCACGCTGGCTTCCTTCATGGGACCCGAGTACTCCATCCAGCAGATCTTCAGCAAGGCTAGAGAGTATGCGCCTTGCTACCTTGTGCTGGAGGATCTCGATACTATTGTCTCCGATGACGTGAGGAGCTATTTCTTGAATGAGATGGACGGCCTCAAGGCGAATGATGGAATTTTCATCATCGGCAGCACCAACCACCTAGACCGCCTCGACCCAGGCATCTCTGTAAGCCGTCGCTCATCCAAGTAGAAGTCCCGGTATACTAACACCTAACAGAAACGCCCATCCCGCTTCGACAGGAAGTACTTCTTCCCCGACCCCAACCTCGAGCAGCGCATCGACTACTGTCACTTCTGGCAAAACAAGCTCAAGAGCAACAAGGAGATCGACTTCCCCGACCAGCTTTGTGAGGCCATTGCCAAGATTACAGACAAGTTTAGTTTCGCATACATCCAAGAGGCCTTTGTGGCGGCCCTGCTTGCCATTGCGCGACGCTCGGACCATAGCGGTAGCAGGAAGCGGGACAGCGTTGAGGCTTTGATGGAGCAGCTTGAGGACGACTGGCTTGGGGTTGTAGATGGTGCCGAGGATGATGGCGATTTGAAGAAGCTGACATTGTGGGTTGAGATGAAGAAGCAGATTGAGATTTTGAGGGATGGCATGGAGGAGAAGAACTAGGTCTTGCGTCGATTAGTATACCGGGCTGCATATGAAGGGACATGGCTTTGCATTGATCGGAGTGTACGATAGCAGCATAGTTCCCAATCTTATGAACAGAGATCAAAGAGCTCCTAGATTATGTTTGGTGCCGCTGCGAAAGTTGAAGTTGCCGCGGCTGTGCCGATGACAGGTGGCCCACCGCGTAGTCGGTCGGCTGCTTGGGTGAAGAACGAGTCTATCCGAAGGGTGACTGGAAGGAGAAGTAACTCCGAAATTGAGTTCGCCTGTCGATTGAGCCGCTGCAGGATGTCATGAAAGCCCTCGAGCAGGTTGAAGGCCGAAGTGACGTCTCTAGGCTCAGTTGCCAGCACAAACAGGTAGATAATGAAGTTGCCACAGAGTATGAGTTGAGGTCGGGCGTCTAGGGATGGCCTAGATGTTAGTACACGTTCTCTCGTTCTAGGGGTATGGACAAAGCGGAACGGAGACATACGGCAGCCCCAGAAACCTTGTAGGTCCTTAGGGGTTAGTTCGCCCATGAAATTCGTGAAGCTAGCAAAGTCGGAGAGCGCAGTGCCGAACCACAGGTGCAGGCTGGATGATGGCATTGCCTTGGCAATCTTGGTAGCTGGGTTCATGAGTGCGCGGTAAAGAAGCGCCAAGTGGGCATAGTACGCGAGGTGAAGGGGCGCTGTTTTTGTTCCTGTCAGATATAAACCCCTTACAAAACGCTCTGGTAAACAGACCATTGTTGGATAAAACAGGATCCCTCACAAGTTGAGGCATCGTAAGACATTGCGGCAGCAGTGTCAACCAGTTGTGCAATTCGCCCTGGAGCGAGACAAGACGCCCTCGGTTCATCACCTCTATCTTCTGTGACTCTGGAGGCGTAAGCCTGGGCACCTGACTGGGACAGGTATCAGTCCTCTACCATCGGAGCCAAAGCAGAATTTACAAACAGGAAGTACTCACAAACTGCAGTCGATGACCCCACGCATGGTCTGGCTCACGTTCACCAATTCCAGAAACCGGGCCCCCGTAGCAACATCAAACTCCACATTGTCCTGGTCGACCAATCCACGCAACTCCTCCGAAACGCTCTCTTCAGCGCGTAAATCCTCCATTGTAACGTGTGATGTGTTGAAAGAAGCTGGATAAATGTGTGGCGGGTTTCCGTGGCACACTGCCGACCACACGTCAGCTACATACGTAGCCCACCACAGCTTCCTCCGTAGTCTCTTCTCCCACGCAGGGAGATTCCACTTCCCAGCATCCTGGTGCAACCCAACCATCTGGGCAGTGGCTACGGCCTGCGCTGTCGATGTCCAGGTCCTGGGATGCGCGATGCTGTCTGTTCTGTTGGGCGTCATGTGGAGGAGCAGCAGAGATGCTTGAAGCTTAGCCAAGTTTGGCGAGTCGAGTTCTCGTTGTAAGGAGTCTGTGGCAAGGTCGGCGAGATCATGTTGTCGGAAAGGAAAGGGGCCTTGCAGAGACGGTTCAGTCTTCTCAAAGACCGAGGCTAGGGCGTAAACGGCCCCGCGGAGGGAGGCAGGAAGCTTGGTCTTATCGTCGGAGTACTGTCTCAAGAACCTGCACTTTGATAGAAAAGGCAGTACCGGATGGATGTGTCTGAAATACAGGCGTACGAGCGCGGGGCCGTGAGGTTCGACCAATTCCTCTATCGCACGAGATGCTTCTTCCCTGGCCCTATTGTCCTGGGTTGTAAACTCGTCCTGCAAGAGACAGAAGTGAACCGGAGGATCCCAGGGGTACCCGCTTCCTCCGTAGACCTGGATAAACTCTGCGTCGATCTGATTGGGACCGCTCAGGACGTCCGAGCGGAAAGAGGCAAGGAAGTGGGTGTCTTGCTCAGCTGCCAGGCCCATGCTATGTGCTGTCCTGTTTTCATTGTCTTCTAGTGTTTGCACGTGAGGTACCGGAAATATTTCAAGCGTGTCATTGCGAGGCGAAGGAACCGAATCATCTAACGTTATCCGTGGAGATTCCGAGTGACTGGAGGGCCCATCTTGCGCGACATCCTGAGGGGCGGGTGCGGATGCAGATGCAGGCGACGCAGAACCAACGCTTTCCGAGGCCGATGACTTGCATTCTATGCCTCTGCCCTTGCAGAAAAGGCCTGCGCGCTGTCAGTCATGTATCTCATCGGTACGCAGACTCGGGGACCACACCACTTACAGGGTGGCGTAGAGGTGATAACGCACGCCGTCTTTCTCTTGCGACACGCGTCACAAGGACGGTTCTTTCGGCTTCTCGATTGTCTAGCATGGCCGAACTCGCTCGGCACTTTGAATTTACGTCCTTGAGACGACTTTCTGGTATCGTTAGGCATGGCGTCGATGATAATGCTATCAAGGGTTCGTGATAAGGTTGGCCGACGGACCCAGGTGATGTTGTGCGAGGGAAGTTGGCCGATGCAGTTGGCCGATAACACCTGTGCGCTTTCTGGTCATCAATGTTAGTGGCCGACAGGTGGGACCTGTCAGTGCAACGCTAGGGCGGGGGGATCGCCAAGTGAGCGACACAACAATCCGCCGGCCAACACATATTTGCTACTAGTACATTAACTAACTCGCTCATTTTTGCACTACGGTTCTCATTCTTGACATGATTATCACGCGTGTCGTTATCACTACTATCGTTTCTACTGCCTCGGCAGGATAATCTAATTACACAATTGTGAAAATAACCTTGAAGCACTAGGTAGCCTAAGAAGAGCAATAATAGTGACGTAGAGGTAAAGGTAGTTGCAGTTGTATTGGCGGTAAATAGAAGCTAAGGGTGTGAACTATGGTATCTACACATCTACTTTGAAAGGGACGTCAGAGTCTCCGTACTTCACTCCATGCCCAGAAAGCACATCGAGAATTTCGGGAGTCTCGGCCAGCGTCACATCCCATTTGCTCTGATGCATTTGTTGGAGTTCACGGGCCGACGGCGAGTCTCTGACAAAGGCGTCTAAGCTTTTCGCCGGGAGATACCGATGCAACAAGGCGTACACAAGACCGCTGGAAAGGAGCCCGTAGATGTATGACATGGAGTACAGCTCTGTGGCGCCTTCGCTCACAATCACTGAAGTGTCAACGGCAGCGATGAAGCCAGGCATGCAGGGTACAACACCCACAAGCCACTGCAGAACCGATCAGCACATGTTCTACTTTGAAGAGAATGAAAGTAACTCACTGCCACCGGAGCTCGCCAATTACAACCGTAAGAGAACCAGTAGATGCTTCCAGAGTCGCCGCGGTACAGGTCGTTGACGTTCACCTTGCTCTTATTAACAATCAAGTAGCTAGATATCATCAACCCCGTCATCGGAGCCAAGAAAACACTGTAACTTGAAAGGACCGTGAGGAAGATTGTTGCAGTGTTGACAAGACGCCAAGGGTTGATGACAACGCTGAAAATTGCGGTGATGTAGGCGCCGCGACGGATGTTCAAGTACTTGGGAAACGTCGCTGCCAGGTCAAAGCCGCCGGCAAGCGCGTTTCCAGGGATGTTGACTCCGATCTGCGATATTACGAGGCAAAGTCCCGCGAAGAAGCAGGCCGCCCGCGTCCCAGCGGTTTCGTCCTGGGCCAGGAGCTGAGCAAAGAGGGTAGGCGGGTTCCAGATGGCTTCGCCCCCGAAGCGCTCCTGAGTCGCTGCAGTGACGAGGATGCCTATCAACGAGCTGAAGATGCTATAGAAAGGAAACGAGATAGCCTGGCCCACGATGGCGTGCTTGGGCTGCGTAGCGAAGCGGGAATAGTCATTCTGGTTCAAAATACCGGCCGCGATGGAACCGATTGTTGATACGATGCCGTAGATCATCAACCAAGCCACGCTGTCCGGTCCACCCGTGTTGGAAAGGGCTGACCCCGAGGTGATAGTATCGCCAAATCCTGATGGACCCATGGTTGCGAGGGCCCAGATGAGAAGCACGACGAAGAAGACAAGGGTGATGGAGCAGGCGAAGCGGAAGAAGTTTTCGAGACGATGCGGGCGAATCCAGATGACTGGGAGAGAAATGACGCTGAAGATGACATACGAGACGAATTGTGCAGTCGTCATGCCCGTGTCTACTGGCATGCCGTTGGGGATATGGGATTCGAGCCTTGGGTCCCAGGAAAGGAGGATCACGTAGACGCACTCCCCTCCAACCCAGGCTGTGAAGCCATACCTATTTATGCTTTGTCAATACAGCTTCATACGTTGTCAGAGCTTTCCCGAAGTCTTCGACTAACCAAACTATCGTACTGATTAGTTCATCATGGCCGTGATGCGATGGATTGAGTAAATGGGAAAGCTTACCGAGCGACAGAAAGATGCGGTTCCAAATGACGAATTGTGAACCCCACATTCCCCATACAGCTCGACTGAACACGGGGAAGCCAACTGAGGAAGTTAGTAATGTAGTAAGCTTGTAGCAGTCTGGGCTTTGTAGACGTACTGTGATAGTAACTACCAGGAAGTGAGTTAACGATCACGGCGACAGTGGCAATGAGATTGCCGATGATGATACCTAGAAACAGATTAGAGAGAGCTTCACAACATCAAACGAGGAATTAGACTCACATATAAAGGCCTGCCACCAAGTCAAACCGAGAGGGATGAGGGCACTCCCGGTCAAGTAGGTGGTGATATTGCAGTTGACCAAGAGCCCTTGGATTCGGTCAGCATGATAAGGACTTTGTACACATCACCCTGCACGCACAAAAGTTGTGAAAAGTCAAGAAGCCCCAAGTGCGTCTTTGAGCTTCAATAGGCCGAATATCGTCGTTCTGTCAGATACTGTGTCAGCGCTGCCTTGACTAACGACCCCGCGCCAACAGCTTAGGATATGATGGCAGAGGTGGGCCGGGTTTACGTACAATCCACCGGGAAACATAGGGGAGCTCTATCCGCTTCAGGGCAGCTTGAAACCCCATTGGAGAGTTCGATGTTGATTTTTCGGGATCAAGCGAATGAAACAGTATTGCAGAGTGTTGTGGACGAATAGAGCTTTGTCTGTTCGAGCTCCGTCGCTTTGGCATGAGTGCGACACGAGACGCGCATGATGTGAAGACGGACTGCGTTGAAGATATAAAAGTCGGTCTATGGTGGTGTTATCTCGGCACTCTGCAGTCATCCCCCGTTGCGCTAACAAGGATACTTATCAATCCCTGGGGCGGTTAAGTTAGTTCTAGTTGGCGTTATCTCTACTTTGGGGAAAGAAGCAGTACTTTGGCTAGGGATGACCCTTGTCAAAGCCGAAGTTGGCCGATCGATCGGCCAACTTGGAGCTCGTGAACCCCTCAGGCGTGGATCCCAGGACACGGGGAACGTCTAATTATCTTAGTGCCTCCACTTACACGGATATCAGTAATTGACCATAAGTCCTCGATCATTCTTCTCGGTAGTGTTGTCGGCCAACTTCTTATCGAACCCTCGCTTGAATGATCCTGTCTTGGGATAACCTCCTTTGTTAAGAGCTTTGCCATCTGCCGTTAGGAGAAGGACAATACTTTCACTGCCGGACGCATACCATACAACTTTTCTTCAATCAGCCTCACTCGAAACGACAAACCAGAGTTCATCCATCATGTCTCTATATCGCATAGGTGTCGATGTAGGCGGCACAAACACCGACGCTGCCATCCTCGACATCACTGCAGCAGACACACCCGGTCGTGGCGTCTTGGCTTCCCACAAGGCCTCAACTACACCGGACATCACCACTGGCATAGAAGCTGCCCTCCGGGCTGTCATTCGGAGCTCAAAAATCGACCAGAAGCGAGTTCTGAGCGTAACTATAGGCACAACGCACTTCATCAACGCTCTTGTTGAGGCTGACACGCGGCGCCTCAGCAAGGTAGCTGTCATACGCCTATGTGGGCCTTTCACAAGACAAATCCCCCCCTTTTCAGATTTTCCCTCGGGTCTTCATCGTATCCTTGATGGTGGAGTCTACTATCTCGATGGAGGGTTGGAAATCGATGGCCGTGAGATTGCGCCGCTCGACCATGAGCAGATCCGACAGGCGGCGAGAAACATTGTCGCGTCGGGGGTGCGATCAGTTGCTCTTGTTGGGATCTTTTCACCTCTGGATCACTCCGGTCTGCATGAAGAGACTTGTAAAAGAATCATGCTAGAGGAAGTGCCCGGTCTTGATGTGGTTTGCTCCCACGACATAGGCCCGCCTGGCCTCTTGGAGCGAGAGAACGCTACGATCCTCAATGCTGCGATTCTCAGAACAGCACACAAGGTCACCGTGGGCTTCAAAATCGCCATGGCGCGATTGAAGCTTGCGTGTCCGCTCTATTTGTCTCAGAACGATGGCACTCTCATCGATGCTGATACGGCAGCTGAGTTTCCCATTAAAACCTTTGCCAGCGGACCGACAAATAGCATGACTGGTGCAGCTTTCCTTGCCGGATTGGATCAAGCGAAGAAGACGACTACAGATGCCACCAACGCACCGGAGCCTCAAGTGCTCGTCGTTGACATTGGCGGCACTACTACAGATGTATGCGCCTTGCTGCCGTCTGGCTTCCCTCGACAAGCTCCGGGCTTCGTGGAAGTCGGGGGCGTGAGAACAGCATTCTCAATGCCCGAGGTCGTCTCAATCGGGCTCGGAGGCGGCAGCAAGGTGAATACGAACTCCGACTTTGGAGGTGTCACGGTTGGCCCAGGGTCAGTCGGACACTTTCTCACTGAGCAAGCAAGAATTTTTGGTGGCCCGATACTAACAGCAACCGATGTTGTGGTGGCTTATGGGAAAGCGGAGCTGGGAGACGCGAGCCTCATCAAAGATATCCCAAGCTCAACCATCAACGAGGCGCGGCAGAGGATCAAGAAGATGCTGGAAGGTGTTATCGAGCAGATGAAAGTCTCCGCTGCTCCTGTACACGTCCTTCTGGTAGGAGGCGGTGCCCTCCTTGTCACAGACGACCTTGACGGGGTCGAGAAGTATATTCAGCCCATACACCAAGGCGCTGCCAATGCCGTTGGCGCTGCTATTGGCAAGGTTTCTGGCGAAGTCGACATCATCGAGATCCTCGAGGGTAGAGACGAAAAAGCAGTTGTTGCAGCGACGTGCCAAAAGGCTGTTGATCTAGCCATCCAAAAGGGCGCAGCTGCTGAAGACGTCCGGGTTGTCGAGGTGAATAAGATGCCGCTTCAATACGTCGATAACGGCGCCATGAGGATACAGGTCAGAGCTGTCGGCAAATTGAGCGTTCCTGAGGATCCCAACTTCGCGTCCGAGAGTATAGCCCCAATCGAAGAAGAGGAACAGGGCACCGAGGCGCCAAAAGAGAGTGTGCCAAATGCTCTCGAGCCTACCACAAAGCCCTCGTTGCGGGTAGACCTCGAGACCTACCGACCTGATGTCCGAGGAGATGCTTGGTATGTCTCAGAGGTAGATCTGGAGCTCATTGCAACGGGTTGTGGTGTGCTAGGTACTGGTGGCGGAGGACCAACCCACCACGAATACCTCAAGAGCCTGCATGTCCTGCGCAACAGCGAGACAGGCAAGATGAGGATCATATCACCGTCGTCCCTAGCCGACACAGACACCGTCTGCTTCGGATCCTGGTATGGCACCCCAAGTGTCATCAACGAAAGAATTGCCGGCGGCTCTGAGATCCCCAACGGTATCGACGCAGTGAGAAAGATCTTGGGGGATGTACCTGTTCATGGCGTTTTCATCGATGAGATGTGAGTCACGAAACCAAGATCGATTAAAGATTTTAACTGACAGAGAGCAGTGGCGGGGGTAATGGCTTAAGTGTTTTTCCAACTGGAGTACACTACGACATACCGGTTGTCGATGGCGACGCGATGGGAAGAGCATACCCAACCATGTATCAAGGTAACATCTGAACATCAGGATCAAAGCCATGGTCAGCTAACAAGGCGTCATGAACAGCCACGCTGAGCGTTTACGGTCACCCGTTAACCCCTTGTGCTCTCTCCGACGCAAGGGGCAACGTGTCCGTTGTCATGGTAGGTTCCCTCTTTAAGTACAAATATCCATTCATGCTGACAGTTTCACCTACAGAATTCCGATACACCCGTTCGCCTGGAGCGATTCCTACGCACGGCAGCCATTGAGCTGGGACTTGGGTGTGCCGTCTGCGCCAGGCCGCTTCCCGGCTCGGCTATCAAGTCCCACGGCGTCCCCAACACCCTGTCGCAAGCCTGGTATCTGGGCCGTGCTGTTCATATGGCACGGAGGAAGACGTCTAGCTACGTCGATGCTATTGTAAGTAAGACTTTCAGCAGGTCAAACGCACTGTTTGGCGTGAGAAACTACCCTTGGCCATCCTCGGGGCAGTTTCTCCTGCTCCTGCTCTCCACGAAGCATTCCCGTACAACTTCGACTAATCCGCTCTCAGTTCGAGGTATGCGCTGGAAGGTTACTGTTTACGGGCAAGATCATCGATGTACGACGATATGTGGGCGGTGGTTACACGATGGGCAGTGTCCTCATCGCCCCCCTTGCCGATGAAGAGAAAGATCCCGACACACACAGCGCCGCGCTTCCAGACCGGCATATGATCATTCCGTTTCAGAACGAGTACCTATACGCGGCACTCACAGATGCAGACGGTTCAGAAGGCGGCCAGCAAGAGGTGTTGTGTACAGTGCCGGATCTGATTTCGATTCTAGGCCAAGATGGGGAGGCCATTGGATCACAGGATCTCCGCTACGGCTTGCGTGTTAATGTTATCGCGCTACCTGCTCATCCTCTCTGGAAGACGGAAAAAGGGATGCCTGTAGGCGGACCCCAAGCCTTTGGGCTGAACATGCCATTTGTCGGGGTTGGAGAGTATACCGAACCCAGGAGTGTCATTGAAGAGTACGGGATGTAGGATAATGCGGCGCGTCACATGAACAATGTTTTTGTGGCATGATTTTATAGCCGATAATTGACACAAAAGAACCAAAGGTCACTCTCAAACTAGTCCAGGAACACGTGAAGCATGATGAACTGGGTCTATTGCATTGAGAGTACCATCCTCTACCTCACCACAGCGGAAATTGGCATCCATGTTAGCTAACTATGCTGAGCCTGTGCAATCCCCTTTCTGTCTGTTCCGTTACACCTCTGCATGGAAGATCTCTGTACCAATCAGAAGAATGCTGAAAAGGGGAAGAAGGGGGCGTTTGGGTAGCTTCGAGGTCTCTACTGGCCAAAAGCACGGTAGTGACACTCCGCGGACCGCTTCACTACGCCCTAAAAAGTAAAAAGTGTTAGATTCCTTATTCAATGAATGCCACGGAGTGACTACAAGAATGGATTCCAGGAGCTTACCTCGCCCGTCGTGTTCTTGATGATCTTGCACCAAGGACCGTTGGCGATCCTGTTGCCCCATTGCTTCATGGACCATTCCTGGGTTTGACCACCAATCTCTGACTTGAGCTCGTAAGGCTGATCACCATCCTTGAAAGAGATGGTCAACTTGCCGCCCGAGTTGTCAGTTGTGACAAGCTCACTGGGAAGCTTGACAGGGCCTCCGCCATCGCTGTCCCTGTTCGTAACAACGTTGATCTCCTTTCCTTCCTCGACTTGGACAATACTGACTGTCGCGGTGTGCTTCGAATTGCCATCACCCAAAGTAATGTCCTGAGTAATGCGGGCGATGCGCCAGATCTCAGCTGTAGAGGTTGGAGCGGCGGCCGAGGGCATGACAGTCAGTGTGACACCAATGTCGTTGGTGACGGTCACTTCGGCAGTGGCGGTGACCCAGACAACAACCTTGCTCTTGGAAGAAGAAGTGTTGCCGACAGTGGAAGGAGATGTCGAGGCTCGATCGGAGGATTGACTGCCAGGGAAACCAGACGTTGAGGCTTGACCGGACTGACTACCAGGGGAGCCGGCCGAGGCAGACGCTGAAGCGGGGACAGAACCGGAAGCCGAAGCTGAGCCACCAGAAGCCGCGGCGGACGACTTTGCAGGGTCGGCGGGCATTGGGCATGACTCGCTCCCATTCTCATCACGCTTCATTTCGGTACCCGGGGGACACCAAGAGACTTCGTACTCCTTATAGTCCTCCCAATAGACCCTGATAGTTGGCTTGCGGATGTGCGTGCCGTCGGGAAGTACCTCGACGACGTGAGCTGGATGGTACTGCCACCAAACGAGGCCGAAGGGCGGGACATAGTTGGTCATCGGATTTTCCGCGCCAGCATTGGGCCAGTAACTAGGACCTTTATGGTATCCGATATTGGTGACCCTGTCCGCGGGAAAGCCAAGGCGGTTCGAGACCCATTCCTTCCATTCTTGGAGCCGGTTGGGATGTCTAGGTGGCAAGTAGTCGGGATAGTTCGGGGGCACCTGGTTGGTCCATTGTCCACCGGTAAGGGGGTAGATATAGATGACTTGAAGAGTGTCCTCGGGGATGTTGTCGAAGATCGGGGTCGTCTCTTTCAGTTGCTTGATTCCAGGATAAGGTGTCTGTAACTGACCCCTGGTACCGTCTTCGGTATCTGGCCACGGTTTGCCGGGTTCAGGCTTTTCAGGGTCATTCGGCCTTTTTGGGTTGGGGATGAATGGTCCGTCACCAGGTCGATCACCTGAGCCCGTCTCCAAGAACTCGAGAACGCCCTCTCGGAACTCCTTATCAATGTCGTACTCGCCAAATCCTTCGGGCCAGAAGTTGGGAACCTCCCAGACGTGACTGGTGTAGATGCCTCTCTTCGTAATGATGATGATTCCACTACAGCCCCAGAGAGGCCCGGTACCTCCCATCAGAGGCTTGTCTCCCCAGACATCGGCATGCATTGTGGAATAGCCGACCTTCAATCTCTCTCTGCCAACAAATTTGCCAAGAGGTCTCCAATGATCCAGACCATCGCAGTAGTGAGCCAAGTACTTCCAAGCGCGGTTAAACCATGTTCGTTGTTCGGGACTATTTCTCGGCAACTTCTCCCAAGAAACGTCGGGGAGTCCTTCAGGTCCACCGAGAATCTCAGGGTCTGGCTGAGGATCCCACTTGACGTATTCGGATCGTTTCGAAAGATCTGATCTCTTGTTCTTGCAGGTTGAGCAGCTCGAGTCAACGCCACCACAGTAGCTTTCTATAGGAGTCACTGACACAGTCGTGATGGTCGTCGTTGTAGTAGTATCGACGGTGGTGCTACAGACTATAGAGGGTCTGCAGGTGGCCGTGTTACAGCTGGTGGTAAAGCTCGTAGACGAGTCAGAACCTACGACAGGACTGGCGGTACATCCTTGGTTGCAGTCGGGGTAGACGGTGGTAGTTGCTGTGCATGAAGCTTCAGATGAAGAAGTAGGTGTCTCGGAGGGCTCTGATTCGTCGTCCTCGGGGTCTTCGGGATCGGTAGGGTCGTCCTTTCTAACTTTGCGAGGCTTACCTTTGGGCTTCCTGGGAGGCGGCTATATGTTTTGATTAGCAGGTGCCTTGAGAACATGGGGACAATTAGACGAATGGACATACCTTGGCCCAAGGGAAACCGAGAGGGCCTGGAAGTTTGATGGCTGGGAGATCGCAGAGGATAATAGGAATGATGCACCTCGGATGACATAGAAGCTGTCCTCCGATGCAAGACCAGGCGGGAAAGATTGTAGGCCAGGCCTGACCATCGCGAGTCGTTCTCTTCGTCACCTCGGTAGACTTCCAGGTAACCCAAGTGAAAGGTTTGGTATCGTCAGGAGGCTGGATCGTGGCAGTAACGTAGAACGATGTGAAGTCTCCATTTTCTGAAGAGGTAGAAGAAGCGACCGTGGAACCGGGGCCGCTTGTTCCACTGCTTCCGGGCGCAGCAGTTGAGGTTGAAGTAGGAGAGTGCTCAGTAGAAGAGGCATGCTGCGTGGAGGAGGCGGCGCTGTCTTGCGTACTGCCCGGGGATGCCTTGGTGGATTTGTCGTCGTGATCACCCTTGGTGGTAGAGGTCTTGTCATCACCACCATCACCCTTCTTGGTAGACTTCTTGCCATCATCATCATCATCGCCCTTCTTGGTTGACGCCTGATCCTTTTCGGTAGAGACGATGGGAGCTGTGGTAGGCTGCGGGCCATTCTCTGTTGTAGACGGGGAAGTGGTCGTTGCATGAGCGCTGCTACCACTTGAGGCAGATCCCGGCGTGGATGAAGTCTCAACTTTGCGATCAGTGCCAGACAGAGATGTCTGAGGCATATTGACGATATTTGTGCCTGGGGATACATCTGAGTTTGACTTCTCGATAGAGCTAGAAGCGCTCGAGATGCTGCTGGATGATTGAACTGATTGGGGTGCGGTGGTTGACTTCGGGGTCTGGTCGGGGCCTGTGGTGACACGAGAGGTCCGAGCTGTACCACCATCGGACAAAGATGTCTGCAGCGAAGAGGCAGGGACAGTGTCACCTATGCTACCAAGCTGGCTCTCTTGGGAGGTGGAGGATGTTTCGGTAGACGATACCGACGTATCCCCGTTCCCGGTCTTGGTAGATGTCGTTCCTGAACTGGTTGGCTGGGGACTCTGGATAGAGGAGCCAGGAGATGACAAAGAGACGACTGGACCGGCAATTGTAGAGTTCCAGTTCAAGGTAATCGACGAGGATCCAAGGTTGACTGCAGTCGTGTTCCAGGTGGTATGACTGGAAGAGGCAACAGAATGGACGACTGTAGGATTCGAGGATTGAGCCAGGCTGCTCCCAGAACCTCTAGTCGTATTGAGGTAGTGGGACGAGGACTGGGTAGTAATCAGGTCCGAACTGAAGGAAGAAGAACCCTCAGAGGCGCCACAGGGAATCGTGATGAGAATAGAGGTAGTCACAATGCGAGTGACAACGCGACCTTCCTGGAGTTCAGAAGTAGAGAGGGAAAGACTGGTTCCGTCGGTGGGATCGGCTGAGGCGAGTGATTCGGTGAGATCGTCCCGCTTCTCGTGGTCTAGAGGGGGAGAGAGAATGGTTAGATGAATCTGTCCTGAGAATATTCTGTAAGATTGGAGGTTCTCACCTCTGCCACGAGCCTGGCAGACATTGATCGCAAGAGCGAGGAGCAGGAGCGGGATGAGGCTGTGGCACCAAGCCTTCAATGAAGACTTGAGCTTGCCCATCGTGACGGGTTTTTCCTCTGTTTCAATGAATCAAGGGTCTTTCCCGATATCCGGTGATGATGAAATGAAGAGAAAAGACGGATTGCCTGTGAAAGGGGGAAAGTCGTAGGTGAAGAGACTCGAGATTGGGGGTGTGCGTGAGAAGAAAAAGAGAAAGCACAACAAAGAGAGGAGGGACCCAAAAAGACCAAGCTTGACTTTGAGGCAGGTCAATAAATCTGAAATTTGTGAATGCGCTCACAATCAAAGCGATTTGTGGGCGGGCGGTCAAGAAATCCTTTGTTTTTCTCGATTCCTGGCCTGTCAGTGGGTGGGTTGAGTCGAGAGCACGTAAGGGTGAGGTGAAGTGAGATGCCCTACAAATCAAGGGAAGGAACAGTTCAAGGTGAAAAATCAGGCAGCAGATGCTCTTCCGTTTATTATCGAGAATGTTTGCACGTATTCAATATGAATACCTAGGTTAGCAAGTTCTCGAGGTGAGATAAGAGAATACGGTATTACTTAACAGTCATGAAGTCACTGCGGCAGGCCCTAAAGATGAAACTTTCTTTGGGTCTTGTTTCTTTCATATCATATCAAAATGCCGAAATCTCAAGGATTCCGCAAGATTGAGTGTAGATATGAGGATGAGTATCTCTTCGGGGTAGCCAGCACAAAGCATTAAAGGTAAAGTGTTGCTTTGAAAGATTTTGAACTATGTGTTGTAATTATTAAGAATACAATACGGGTAGTTAGTCAATTCTTGGATTCTCTTCTATGCATATACGTAAGTACCTTGGGGAAGGCTCGCTGTACCGCACCTTCTACGGAGCGAGTCAATTCAATGGCGGGCTAGATACATTACTTTGATTGTCCATCGAGTACTAAATTGAGCATTTGAACACTCGAACTTGGCAAGGATGAGATGCTTTTAGTTGTTCGTACAGCTAGCTTTATACGAAGTTCGGATCTTTATGGTAGAGATTACCAAGCTAGACATAGCCCAACACGTTCAAGTCAAACGATTCCTGTGGTAATCCTCTGTGCAATTGAATATCGTTCTAGAGTTTCATGTCCCTAAATAAGCTTCGCTTTAGTTGAATTTGAACTTCACAAATGCACTATAGTATGAAGAAGCATATCAGTAAGGCGTAAGTAGAAAGGTCGTCGGATGTTCATATTCATCAACGTTGTCATAAACCAGCTGAATCTTCTTAGCTTCAGCCTAGGCACCCGAAACGAGTAAGAGTACCTTTACTCAGAACCCAAGTCATGAATCTTCGACAACCTCAAATATGAAACTTGGGATAATTTAGGCGCCGTTTGATTGTGACCGGAGAACCGTGTTCGATATTTAGTAAGGGCTTTTGCTCAACTGCTCGGAGATAGTTACATGAATGACGTTCCTCGGCCTGTACTCTTACCGCCGGACGATAGCGCCTAAACACCCAAGTGAGGTACTCTTAACCCCTTCTCCGCAAACAGAAGGATGTTCGAACCATGAATGACTGTTAAAGGAGAACATTTCGTGGTGATAATAACTATCACCATCCGCCTGCTTGGACAATTGCTGCAGTATAGACACCGGCTTAACATCAAATGGGATTGAGACCGTTTCACCCACCAAGGTATCAAATTCGTACCGGAAGCGGAAGTACGCTATTTCTACCGTCATTCATTTCAGTTACTCAATTGAAATACAGCAAAGTTAACCAGTTTACGCTGTTAGCTACATGTATTCACATGGCATACGGGGATGAAGCAAACTCCTGTCGTGGAGCCACTCTCCGAGTGGTTCGTTTTACGTTGTGCCGCATTCAATACGAAGCATCGATGTATGTATTATTGGCAAAGAGCCATACAAGACCCACCACTTTTGGTATCCGCCAACAATAGCGGCTTCGGGCGTGCCATGCCTATCTGCTGAAGCACGGCAGGCAGCGGCAACGGCTGATCCGCCTTGGCTGAATATTGACATTCAACCTGGCCAGGAAAGTGTGAAACAGATTGCAATCTTTACATAAGGTAATAGTTTCAAGTTGACGTAAAATACAAAGGAGTTTATAATGTTATCTGAACACCGCAAGCAGCGCGGCTGATCTTTTCCACCGTCCGAGGGACAATGGGGGCCAAGTTATAACCATCAAGCAAACATGTATAAGGGTGGGTGCGTCTCTGAATAATGACTACGTCTAGGCGCGGGAAATCCGGCTACGACAACCAACAGGAAGCAAATCCCAACCGCGCATGAACCCCTTGCTCCAACGGCGTTTGTATTCCCATAAATATGTTTGCCAACAGCTGACGCTGGAGAGTGCACGGTTGGTGCATGTGCTGTTGTGCTATCCTAGGCATCGTGGACAGCACCGGCAAGACCCTAACGCTGCCGGATGGCTGCAGACTGCATGAACTTGGTGTGTGTGTTGGCGTCTGGAGTGGAATGATGAATCTGGTCAGATCGTCCTGGTCTGTCTAACTGCCTAGAGCCGATAATAGGCCCATTCAAGTAGTTATTCTGATTCAGGCTCAGACGGTGCTTTCCGGACATAACACACCTTGGATGGATGAATCAGGCAAACCAGGACGGGTATAAGGATCGACAATGTAACGATCTCATAATTTCTCGCACACCCTCTATGTCTTGTTCCGCATCACTTTGCTGTGACAATGGTCTTGGTTTTCCTATTCGAATGTGAGAAACAAATTGCCAGTCATGTATCTTTGTTTCCTCGTAATTAGCACTGGCTTGGAGTGCAAAAGTTGTCGACACGATACGCGAACAACATTGCTACCCCCACAGGATGTGACCCGGAGATAGGTATCCTTCAACGCCCAAATGAATGACCCCCACAAACTTGTACCGGTGCTGGAGAGCGGCCTCATCCGGGCGAGAGCAGGACCTGGCAGCAGAGTTATTCTCAATGATAGTTTCTTGGTATGATTGGCATCTAGATGTCATCTTCATCGGTGTCTATAGCGTCCGGCCATATGAATGGCTCCATTTGCGGTCTTTGCGGCACATCTATCTCCGTCTTCCTGCTCGACTTCTGATGCACCCGCGGCAAAACATCACTCGCCCGCTTCTTCATACTCGCACAATACTCAGAGCCTTCACCTTCTTCTCGCATTGCTCCTCGTTTCAGCGTCCCAGATTTCCGCGTCTTGGGCTGGATGTCTGACCTTGGCCCGAGGCTACAGACCTCGTCCACAAGTCGTCGAATTGCCCTGGCTCCCTCCTCTGGATCTTCATTCTCCGCATCTACGCCCGTGTTCTCTTCGGGGCATGCTGTCATCGTCCCGTCGTCCCGAATCAGAATACCACGTCGCAAGAATTCAATATCGTGGCCATCCGTGTTGACAAGAAAACAGTTAGCCGAACGGTCAAAGTATAGCGGAATCTTCAAGGGCGAGAGCCCGTCCCACTCCCCAGGTTCAGCGTAGTCGTAGCTATTCCTTTGCTCAACATTCGACTCGGCCCTGTTTAGACGGCAGAAAGGGTCACAAATAAGTCGCAGCCTGTCCCCTGCGGCTGCTATTATTTCGATGTTTTTACCTCCATTCTGTAGAGAATTAGTTGCAGCGTAGAAACAAAGGTGAGATGATTTCCACGGTGTACACACCTCATCCAGGATTGTTTTCGCGACATTATCTCAGTCCCTCTCGCCGGCCTGTAACATCTGTACACCAATTGCGGCTCCGTTCTCTAGAAAATTCCTGAAGGACATGTCTTTGGCTCGAGCAATTGCTGCTCCTCGGGCAATGTTGAAGGTGCTGTTAGTGTCCATAACGAGGTCGGGTCAGTCATATATATCTCATGGGACTGGTGTGCTTTTGAAGTCATGTGCAGAAAACGCCGGGGAACGTACCCAAGTTTTCCCATCTCTTCGTGGATGAACTGGGGTGACTCTAAGCCCGCATCCGCGCAGCATCTCCTTATGCAAGCCTTGATAATCTCGCTGCGAGGACTGCCGCCAGATACCAGCACCCTGAGCCCAGAGTCCTTGCTCCCTGGATACTCACGTCCTAGTTGTGATATCGATTGTCTGGCAAGCTCAAGCGGCCCACCAAGCGCCTTCAAGAACATCTGTTCCGATTCTGGATCAGGAATCTTGACTTCGATGTGGTCGTAAATGTCGTCTTCGATACCTTCGGCACGTAGTACCATCGGTCGAAACTTTCCACAGTCCATTTGCATGACTGCCTCATGGAACCTGTACAGGAGGACGCTCCGGACCTCCTGACTGAGCTCGAAAGAAGCGCCGTAGTTCTCTCGCACGTAATTAGTGCATAAATCGTTGACATATGCCTCCCAATGCTCTGTGCCTCCGCCGATACCTTGTTTTGAGATCACTCATTAGTTGCAGCCAGTATGACATTGGATCAAGCAAGGAAACAGCACAAACCAAAGGGTTCAGAAGCCCGGAAAAAGGCGACATCTGTGCCATGCTTTCCCCTTCGCCTCGTCATGAAAGCGCAGCCGTTCTGTGAGATGGGTCAGTGGTGTGACGTAAACCCTTGCTGGGTACGCTCTGGGGCGAGAGAAATGGGGGAATCACTGCACTAGTACTCACCATACTATGCCCTCCAAAATCAAGCAACAACGTCATCGCGTCTTTATCGCCAAAAACAACCTCTCTCTTGTAGCGAGGTGTTCCCATGAGGAAATGCGCCATTGCTTCGACTTCGGTGTGGAAGCATATGCGGTTGGCAGCCTGGCGCATCATCCGGCCCTCCTTCGAAAAGGCCTCTTTCAGGAGACGACTATACTCGGCTTCTTCGTCAAGCGTCCAAGCGGCCGGGACAGAGAGGCCTATGCCTTTGATCTCCAATGGCACATCGCCATCCTCGCACCGTTGGCGGGCTGCGCGCGCAAAGGTCTTGACAACCTGTTGCATGCCATGCTGGCGGCGCTTCTCAAACTGTGGCCTACCTTTCAGCTCAGCTATTTGCTCCCAGAGCGGATGTTCCGGAGTAAGCCCGTTTGCATCCCCGAACAGGAACTTTGTTGAGATTCTTTGCCGGCCCAGGTCGACGTGATCGCCGACATAGGCCTCGCTCTCGTCGAAAACGGTGATGTAGGAGCTGAAGGAACCCGCATCAGACGCACTCCTTGTTTAGCGACGAAGACACAGCCACCATGTTGTCTGTGGGCACCTTGAAGGGAGGTTGCCTCCAAGGTGACGTGGATAATTATCATGTGCTCTCCAGCCGCTTATCACTGTCGTTGCATCGGTCGACGTTCCTTATCCGCGACACCACCTCCTTTCCGCGCCTGACCCTACTACTGAGTACACCTATTCATTATCGCTTGTGCTCACCTTCTTGGCGGGGATTTCGACAACCATCGCAAAATACGAATAGATCTCGGAGGAGGATGGCTCGTTACCGTACTGCAGCTGTATGTTAGCTCAAACCAAATTTGAAGGTGTATGATGAAACATACTACAATAAACGAAGCCTGAACTTTCTCCCCAGCGTTGCTCTGGCTCAGCCAGACGATTTTGCTGGCGTCGAACCTGATTTTATTGGGTTCAACGGCCCATTCGATGATGTTTTTTACACCACCCTCGGTCTTAACCATCATATCGGTGGCGTATACTTTGTTGAGGACTCCTACGACTCGGGGAGGGATGTAGTCTTCGCTGCTAGGGTCATCTTCCGGGTTCAGTCTCTCTGCCAATTCCCTCTTCTCCTCCATGGAATTAGCATCTGTATCTTCATCAGAGAATTCCCCATCGTCAAGCACTCGCTTTTCATAGCCGATCGGGTTTTCGAGGATAGCACATAAATGGACTTGCAAGCCCAGGCTTTTGAAGGTGTTGTAGAGCACCATGTCGAGACCCTTGAGGCAGAACGGAAGGGCATATTCCTGCTCGGTGTGAGGATAAGCGTGCGTGCTGTAGAGTCCCGGAGGTCTGTCCTTGGACTTGAACTTGTCGGACGTGAGCATGGTTAGAATCTGGTTGTAGAGGGGCAGCGAAGTAGGACTGAAAGCAGAGGCCTGACCTGCGAGGTCTCCGTTTCCTGCCGTAATTAGCATACAGGTTGTACGTGAGGGTGACTCTGTGACCAGACTTTACCTGAAACACCTCGTGTTCGCAGTCGCTGTAGAAGGCTGCCCACTGGATAAGGGATTCGTCAGAATTGATGGCCCAGTCGAAAGTATGGGTATTTCCGAGATGTCTCACAGCCAGCTCGCCGCCCTGGTGCTCCATTGGGAGACAGGCAACCAGAGAACCGATTTGGTAGGACGAACGAGGAGTATCGACGTGCGCCTTGAACTTGCCTGACGGCCCGGAGTAGATCTACCAAGGATCATGTCAGAGAGATCGAGATGATAAACGATGATGTATCGACCAACTTACGTTCATGTTATACAGCTCTGCACGAATGGACCGTTTATCTTTGCCAAAGTCGTAGCTGGGGAGTAGAACTTGACTGACAGCGGCGACGATGCCCGTTTCATGAGGGCAGACGGTGGTACAGAAGTCACCGGCACCAAACTTCTGGGCCTTGCGGTATGTCTCGTCGAATTCGTGTCGTCCTTGGAAGCCGAATGTAGCCTTTTCAGAGACTTCGAGGAGGTGATCGAACGCCTTGGTGGCGTCGTCATCTGAAGTGACTGGGAAAGAGACTCGATTGGGGCCAGGATGTTCTGCTGGATTGTCCCACCGAAGAACGACCGGAGATGAGAACTTGTTCCTCTCCGCCTTCTGCGCCATTTCATCCTAAGTTGCAGGGCTAGATACGCCTTGAGGCTGCTCGATAGGAATCTCGCCGCCTATAGCAAACGTGCTAGCGTCCAAATATTCAGCGGAAATGGAATCAGAGACCTGCTTTGCAAGCTCTCGGAGAGTAACTGCGGAAGCCATTCTGAACCGTTGGTCTGTACTAAGGAAGATACGGTGAAGTATTATATATTGTCAATGAATACCACGGTGAAAGTCGATAGAGTAATGATGGTCGTAAAGTAGGAAAGAACTACGGGTTAAATACTTTTTCAACACAGGACTATCTCCGGTGGTCTTGGAATTGTGTGGACACCCGAGCGTCGAGGTACCGTGCACACCACAAGAAGGGTGACTGAGATACCACAAGGTACACAGGGTACCTAAGCAGCTTAATACTTATCGGATTTGTCTGCTCAGTTGCTTGGAGAGTTTCTGAATGTTTAGGCAGAAAGGTCCCCTCATTCAAAATGATGTTTCCAATTTAAGGTTAAAAGCGGCAAGGAACTTCACATCTCCTAAGGATGTGAACTGCCTATGGCATCATGTAGGACTACTAATTGGTTGAATACAGCTAAGATTATACTCAAACTTGCAATCTTTGCTGGGCCCCTTGAGCCATCCCTCCTCAAACACCTTTGCAAACATGTGGGGAAGCTGTGCGTATTCCGTCAAACCAAAGTGGTTGTTGGATGGATGGCTTGTGTTCTTTTATGTATAGCTCCTGCCGCCTCTCAATCAAGGTAGATAAGTACAAAGACGTATCGCGGCCGTCGCCTATTGGCTGGGTTGAGTGTTAATTTGATTTATCCTATTTCTGCCCCCTGAGCGAAGCTATGTCCGCTTGATAACGCCATGCCCACATACGCCGCCCTCAATATCGTACCCTCTTTGTGAATTTCACCATATTACCTAGCCTCTGCAGTCATTCGTACACGTCTTTTCTCTCAGTGCGTATGCAACGTTTTACGCACTTCGCAACCCTGTATATTCATAGACCCTTTTCAACCTCTGCAAAGGCCTCTGCAAACCCAGGCTCCTTCTTCGTCTCTGCCCATATCCTCTCCTTGAGTCCATTTCCCTCAGATGTGTACATTACAGCCGGCCATCTGAATTCATGTTAGCTCCATGATTGCTCTATCCTCGACTCGAGAGAGTCGTGTGATTTGACTTACGGCTTGATGAGTCCGTCCGAGGTGAAGCTCCCGTGACTCTCCCTGCCTTTCACTATCGCCGCATCAAGATAGCTTCTAGCGCCGACTTCCACGCTGCGGCCAATGGTCTTCTTCATGAGACCCATGAAGAATGACTCGCTTGCTGGCTTGACGATATTGGTGCCGCTGGTGAGGCCCGAGTTGGCAAGATTGACAATGATCTGGTTCGGGTTGATGTAGGTCGCCAACTTGGCTACGAAAAGCTGGCCTAGGAATTTAGACTGCTGGTAATTCTTTCCCGATTCCCACAGGTATTCCTTATCAGCCGGCTTGAACATGGAACCTGTCACCATGTCCTCCTCTGGCGTGTGCCAGTATGTGAAGTCCGAGCTGACGATAACCAGCCTTGCCTGGTCTCCCGCTGGCTTCTTCTGTTTCATGACTGGGAGTAGAAGAAGGGCTAGTAATGTTGTGGAGAGGAAGTTAACCTGGAGCATCAGCTCGTGGCCTTCGCGCGACAGCATAAAATTCTGCGCCACCACCGCAGCGTTGAGGATGACGATGTCGATCCGCGTCAACTCCTTCTTGCACCGTGCGACAAAGTTCCTGACGCTCTCGTATGACTCCATTTCGAGGTGCCATACTTGGATCTGCGCCATGGGGAATTCCCGTCGTAGGCCTTCGGCGAGGGCTTCCCCCTTTGATGTGTTGCGGACGCCCATGATAAGGCGACCAAGTGAGCGCTCGAGGAATTGGCGGCTAGCTTCGAGACCGAGACCACTGCTAGCACCCGTCATGATCAGAGTGCAATCAGACAGGTCGAATTCTTCCGGGATCTCGGCTGGCGTGATGACGGCCTGGCGATACAGGAAGGATAGCGGGTTGGCCTCCCAGCCCGCTTGACTAGCCAACTCATTGGACATTTTGGGCGATTGAAAGACGGAAAGGATAAGCTAGGTGAAGGATTTGGCAATAGTCGTGGCGTCTGTTTCTGGAAACAAGCTTGAAAGAGCTCGAAAGGCGACGTCGTCGTTTGATATATCCCGCCGGCCGATCCGACAATTATGGAGCCAAGAAACACCAAACAAGTTGAGAGGGCCCCTGGTTCCAGCTCCTGCTCGCATGTGGTCGGAGAAGGGGTTATCTGGTGTGGTATTTGATGTCATGCGGTCGACTCTTGTGTCGCAGAACCTTTGACTTTGGACCGGGTTCCCCCACGGGGGCGCGGTGTGCTTCGAGGACCGAGCGGGCGGACGGTGAACTTCTTGAGACGCGCCAATGTCCCTCCGGGGGACCGGACGCTTATTCGCGCTTGGATTGGGCGCTTAAGGGGTGTCGAGGTCTATCATGCGTGCGACGTCAAGCAACCCTCCAGCTTTGTGACATTGTGGTGCAGCGTGCTCATCGGGGCCTGTCAAGGTCAGTGATGGACGTTTTGCATGAGGGGCTGTTTCGTCGCACGATCTACCGCAAGGTCGACTCGGCGCAGGGGTCAGGGATGTGGGGATGTTAGGGGTCCACGACGGTCGGTGTGCGAGGTCTAAGAAAAGAAATGGCTGCTTAGTCACCGACTGCAACGCTGTGGACTTTGGTCTCGACATTGAACTAGTGCACTGAGGCATCGTCTGAATACGTGCGTAAGATGCTGCTGCTCCATCTGATGGATGAGATGTCTTTGAGCAAGGCTTTGTATGAGCGTTTCAACAGGCGCTAAGCTTTCAGCCAGTGTGTCGGGGTGGCATGATGGGAAATGCAAATCGGTGGGGCACATTTCACACCGACATACACCGAACTGATCTATCCTGCTGGGTGGGCTGGGCTCGGTGAAGGCTGGTAGCTGACTCAGCATTGCGACAGTGGAGCGGAGGCACTTCGGGTGAGGCCGGCGATGGTCTGTGCTCGAAGACTTATGACCCAAAATAGGTACGTAGACAGATCTGCCCCTCCCCCTCCAGCTTGATTCGCCCTCGGATGGTGGGGTTGAAGGAAAGGCGGGCGGGACCTGGAACCAGACGAGTGGGAGGAGAATGCAACCTTGGCCTTTCTGGACGCCGTTTCGTCTTTTTGCCAAACGTCCAGTCCCGTCACCGCCAATCCGCTGCCACTTCTCCTTGAGCCAGCTGCCACTCTCATCCAAGTAACACAATCAACCACCACCCCTCCCTCTGCCTCTCCGGCCAAACCCGCCTGCAGGATTCGAGAACCGAAGAACCTCTGTTCCCTCTTGTCCCATATAACTTTCTCTTTGTCTCCAACTTCTCCCGCTCATACCCGGATCCGAGTCTCCACAAAAGGGACCCCTTCCTCCCCGTCCCTCCGCTGCCGCCGTCCGCCTAGCCTTTCCGATCCCGACCTTCCGTCAGCTCCTAAAAATGTCCGGCCTCGACGCCCCCGAAATTGCCGCGGCCTACGATGCCGTCCGCTCCGACAAGGACGAGACGAGCTGGCTCCTCATCTCCTACGCCAGCGCCGTCGGCAACAAGATGACCCTCACGAAGACGGGCACCGGCGGCATTTCCGAGCTGGCCTCGGAGCTGGACGACTCACAGGTCCAGTACGCCTACGTCCGCGTCGAGTATGCCAATGACGTCGAGAGCAAGCGCGTCAAGTTCGCCTTTGTCATTTGGATCGGCCAGAACACAAAGATTATGCGTAAGGCCCGCGTTAGCATCGAGAGCAGCGAGGTCAAGAGGGTGCTGCCGCACCACAGCATAACGGTCAACGCCGACCATAAGGGCGAATTGGATGAGGACGATATCGTTAAGCGGTTGCGCAAGGCTGGCGGCGCTGACTACAACGGTGGACGCGGCTAGATGTCAGGCAGGCTCAACCAGCGACAAACATCCTTTTTCGAGACCAAGGGAGCAACAAAAAACGCACGCATATATTTCAAGGGGGAATTCAGAGAGTGGCTATGACCGGTGGGATATGAGCTACGAGTACAACGGTATCTGGCCAGGCGGAGGCGCTTCAGGGAGCGGCATGCATACTCTTTTCAAATACAGCATACACCTTGGATAAATATTTTGGGACCCAACACGGGGACCCGGCGCAAGCCGAAAGAATCAAGGGACTTTTTCTTCTTAAGGAGGCCGTCTGCCAGTCCTTCCACCGATTTCCAGCGATACGCTAAAACCTAATCATACGTACCTAGGGCGAAGGAATTAGGACGTCTGTACCCTCCCCGCATGACAAGCTCTGGAAGGAAATCCATTTTACCTTCATTACCGGGGTTCAGCTGCTGCCTTGTCTTGCCATCCAATCTCTTCCCATCTTATATTGCCCTGTATAAGCGTCCCTCAGTCGAACTCTGTCCTCTTCTCGAGCTAAAACGGCATCGTCGTCTGGCGGCGGACCAGCATCTGGGACGATCCCTGTACCGTCGGCGCCTCCACATCCGGAGAAATTTGCACATGGAGTAAGCTGGTGGGTTAAGCTGTCAGGCCAGTAGTGTCGATATGGAGATCCACTTCGTCATCCACGACGGCCTACCTACCTCCTGCGAGTCTCCCAAGTGACTTCACCGGGTAGGCATCGCCCCGAGCCGAGACCTCACCGTTCGGCAAATCGGGCCCATCTTGCTCCGGATGGTGCGTATCGCTGCTCCCTACCCCCACAGGTGCCTCACCCTTCACGTAGTAGTCGTCTTTGTGGTTCTGTTGTTGAGATGATTGGCGAGCTTTCCCTCTGTTAAGTTGCCTACGACGGATCTCTGAGGCTCAACTTGCCCCAAAGGCATGCTGGCTTCGGACCCATGATTCCCGGCCTGGGAGTCGACGTTTGCATCAGATGTTTTGGACTCTGAGCGGCTTGAGAAGCTGAAGGTATTACAGAGTACATCACAGCTTCGAAACAGGCGCCGCAGCTATTCTAGGTCGTTCCTTCCAGTGGCATCGGTCCCCGGCGCTAAGCCCATGCACTCAGGGCTTGTAATCGGCCCCTAGTCTAAACCCCGAATTCACCTCTTATATGGTCCGACTAGGCTTGCGTTTATGCAAGGTAGATTCCTCGGACTTCTCGGACTTGAAGGGTGGATAGGCCGCTACGCGGCAAATTTGATTGATCATGGAGGAGGCCAGTCACAATAGGCGACGTCAAAAGAACTTCCGCTCCTGTAACCCAACAGCAGGACGAACCACATGTACGCGTGCCATCACGGCTGGTGTCTGCTTACCATGATGGTTGGCGCGCGGAGACTCCCGTCTAGCAAGCAGCCAGCGCCGTAGTTGCCGCTGTTCATGACTGCTCGAAAATACCACCAGAAGCCGGGCGCATTCTTCATTGGTTGGCAAATACTCGAGTCCACTGTGTAGCCGTCCCTAGCCGCTTTGGATAATATTGAACATGGTTTTGATAGAGAACATTCTCTCCACAGCCAAGGAGTGGAAAAGACTTCAGTTCTCAGCTTTGCTTGGCATGTGGGTACGCTTTGCTCCAATAATCCTTCTTGGCCCTCGGTCAAAGTCTGAAGAGGCATAGGAACATCTCGAATCGGGTCCCGGGTCAGAATAAGCTTACTTCAACGAGAGAGTTTGGGACTTTGGGATACTAGTAATAGGCCTGCGCTCGAGGTCCATGTCATGCTAACGTCCTGCCGTAATTAGTTAGCTGCGAGATTTCCTTGCACTGCTGAGTCCGAGAAGCCAATTTCCAATTTTCCCGCTTGCTGTGTGCAACAAAAAGCGCACTATAGTAGGTTCTTGTTGCCCTCTCTTCATAAGAAACTACTTTCTTGATACTAACGACCGTGTTATGACATTCCCAAGTGCTGCTCAACCTTGAGGTGGTGAACCCTGTGACAGTCCACCATCATCATAGTAAGTTCTTGATAACCACTTGAAGAGAGCCAACAACATTCAGCGTGAGCTTTTTCTGTTCAGTAGGTCTATTCCATCATAGTAAGGATTGAGCTTTGCAGATGCCTGTTGAGAATGAGCTCAATTCGTTTGGATCAGGCCCCAGTTGAGGGGCCCTGCTTGGTGCCAAGCCTTCATAAGAACTTCCGTCAGCGTTGAACTCCCGTCCTTGCTACCTTATACCACGACAGAAATCGACTGAGTGGTACCTAGTCTGTCAGGACTGTTTACACATGAATCCAGGCCACGTGAATGCTATAATTCGTACACCATTGCCAAGCTTTGCCCTGGAGTTCCAGAGCTGTGTACTGCAACTTGATTACTTGGCAGATCCCGGAGGATTGCGTTGACCTTGGGAAGTATCCGGATGCTCGGATTCAGTCTAGTGTTATACCGTTGAGGGAATATTTGTATGTTCAAGACTTGGTGGTAGGTTGTGTATCGAGTATCTCTGATGTATTCTAGTTGCAGGTGAGCTTCGTGACCAAGGCTGGGACAGTTCGGTCCCTCACTCACGACGTATAAAGACCCGTCCAAGTGTCACCTCTCATAGGGTCCATTTTCACTCACTCCCATCATCCGCTCAAAGCTCCAAGTTAAACTGAATCTACTTTACACATCATGAAGACCATTCTCTCTGCGCTCGTTGCGGCCACCATGGCAAGCATCACTCATGTAAGTTGCGAATCCGACGACATAGCCTTCTATGAATTATAATCCCTCTTACTAAGTCGTAATTTTCTGTAGGCCTCTCCATTTGACGCTGGACTTGTTGCTCGGGATGAGAGCGTGATCCCCTGCCCCATCGGCCTTCTGGGCTGGGAGGATCCAGTCACCCCCGAAGGTCCTGATGTGTACTACGAGGGCGCCGACATCGAGGCCATCAACGCTCAGATTCTTGCCGATACCCCCGAGGCCTCCATATTTGTCAACATCACCGAGTCTGATGTTGAGAAGAGAGCCGGGCACGGCAGCAGCCCCATCGAAGCTCGCCAGGTAAGTTCACAGTCACTACTATTCAGCTACACTTCAACGGCAGTCACACTAACGAACTTTAGGCCTATTCTCAAACCTGCGGAGCCGGACGCTGGGGCCTCTTGTCCCAGATCGATATCCAAACTGGTATCAACCATTTGTACAACGTCGGTCGCTGCATTGTGCAGGCACGCCAGTGCATTCGGACCACATGCAATCAGGACTCGGCCATTGCGTGGTGCAACGACAACACGTACGCCATCAACGTCCCGTGCAGCACCGTCGCCGACTTCGCTTCCCTTGCCATGTGGGAATGCGTCAACTGGCGCGAGATCCCCTTCCCGAATCTTCCCTCTACCCAGCGTTTCCACGAAGCCGAGCGCTGTAATGTTATTCTATCGGAATGCGGCTTCTTCAACCCTGGTGGCCAGCCGGTTTGATTCTCGCGAGAGCATCCTGGCAAACCTATGGCTGATTAAGTAAGGGCGTCGATGTCTCGGTGTCTCTTTCGTGACCGCGTATAGAGTAGAACATATGGCTCGGTTCTGAACATGGGGAGGGGTAGGCAGGCTGAGCTATCATGTCGAGGTACATGCGATCAACGGTAGCTTGAAGCACGCGTGGGTGGATTTTATTCATGGTTCAATTACTTTAAATACACATGTTATTAGGGGTACCTTGTGGAAAACTCTTTCTCACAGTTATGCTATCTAACTCACAGCTACCACGAGACGCATAGACATTTCTTCTTGTGACCTTGTGATACGAGCGGATATGGACCTGATGTAGCGCGATTGAAGGTTCCGAGAGCAAGGGCTTGTGAGTGAATGGGTATTATGTTTCTCTATCATACCTGAGTTGATCGACAGTCGAAGCCACGTAGGATTCCCCAAGCTTACAAAGCTTGTAACAATATGTAACATGTTTCAGCAGTCAACGATATGGAAAGCAAAGTTACTCCTGTCATAAAAGTCAAACACCCATGACAAGGATCATTCTATCTATTGACCATGAGATAACATTAGCGTGAACCTTTGTGAATAAAAGTTTGAACAATTTCTTATGAGTTTAAACTAGATGGTTGTCGAAATAGAGACAAATTTGTTCATGTTCGATAGTTTTCATGCAACGGCTTATTGTCGTAATCAACGGGGGGTGACTTTCAAAGGCTAAGTAACCGCAAAACCGACTCGATTGAGATACATAAAACTATAAGTGACAACTATGCACAGTGAAGGGGAAGTTTTTTTGCGGAAGTGCAGGCAATCAGGTTTCAAATACCGACGCAAACGTAAGTACTAGCCCACATGTTTTGGCAGTTGGATCCGACGCCGGTATTCCACGCGACAAACTTTGCCAGAAAAATCTGCTCATAGTTGTAGATCTGCTCACACGTGTCGCCGGAGGACACATAATGGAACTTCTTGCAGTTCGTAACCATGCCGGGCTGCGTAGGTTGAGAGGTTTGGACACCAGCCGGCGCTGTGGTTGTGGTCGGCTGAGTGGTTGTAGTAGGCGTGCTTCCTCCGATGACTCCAACGCAGACATTGACTTCAGCCCACATGCCAGTGCAATCGGAACCAACATTGGAATTCCATTTGACAAAGTCTGCCAATGTGATTTGCTCGTAATTATAGATCTGGTCACACGTATTGCCCGTAGACACCCAGTGGAACTTGTTGCAGTTGGTCACCATGCCAGGTTGAATAGGCAGTGGCGTCTCGATACCGTTACTAGCCGGCGTGGTGTTTGTGGTGGTAGCCGGCTGGCTTGTTGTTGAGGGTACAGGGGCAGCAGTGGTCCCGCTGATGACACCAACGCAGACGTTGACATCAGCCCACATACCGGAGCAGTCGGCGCCAACACTAGTGTTCCACGCGTAGAAGTCCGCAAGGCGGATCCCCTGGGCGCTGAGGACCTGACTGCAACCCGTTCCCGATGCGACAAAGTAGATCTTGTTACAGTTGCTCACCATGCCTGGCTGTGTAGGCTGGGGCGTGGTCACACCATTGCCAGCGCTGGTAGCGGTGGAGGGAGCCTTTGTGGTAGTTTGTTAATGTTGTCGGCACGCTGGAAGCAGTTGTTGAAGAAGGTGCAGGCTCCGCTCTCCAGTTCTACTCAACACAGTAGGAGTTGCCCGTGATGAAGGTGCATGAGGTTAACAAGATAGGGTTTTAAAATGACACGACGATCGTCAGTAAGTGTTTGACGCCAGAATTGAGCGAGAAGAGTAGTGGAACCATCGCTTGAAAGCTGCAGCGGCTGAACGTGCGCAAAGGGCAACTTACGTATCTGACGAGCTGATCCTGAGTAATGCCGTACCTCACAGTCACTCGAGCGCAGGTATCTGAGGCCCCGGCGACAAACCACCAAGTACAGTCCTTGATGGTGTTCGGGTCCGCAGTAGATGGAGGGGGCTCGGTGTACTGGGCGGAGGCACCCAGACACAGAATTTGTGCCAAGAGAGTGGACTGTAGCATGAACTTCATCTTGAAGATATGGGAATGATCTGTCTCCTCTCTGATTGAAAAGATTTCATGTGAGGCTGGTAAGGTTGTTGGGGAGGCAAGTAACATGAGACATGACAAGATCGTCGGTTGGTATTAATATACATATTCATTGCCATGTCTCGGGCGGGTTTTGATACCAAAGTTCCCAAACTCTTTTAGCCTCACCGGCCTCGTTCGAGATGTCGCTTTGGGAAAAACTAGTTATGGGCAACATTTCCCTGGCTTCGACTGCCTGATTCCGCATACCTCGGCATCGTCGCAATTTCCGACACTTCCACGGAAATGGCCAGAAGTTCGGCATCACCCGAAGTCGGTGGGAAGTACTTGATTCGGCGAGTAAAGGTTGTACTCTGGACCCTAGTATCCTTGTGAGTCGATAGTTGTCAGATTCTAGCCTACCTGCAGAGATTTCATTGTTGGTGGCCGAGAACTTTCGCGTATCTGCAGACCATCTACCACTAATTCGCATAAGTAATGCCTTTCTAGCGCTGCCGGGACAAATTACTCAAGTAACCGCATGAGAGGGTTTTCGGTTGCTTTCCCTGCTTCCTGCGGCTTTAGGCTTCTGCCGCCAAGAAACAAGGGTTACAGAAGATCCTCCGAGCCTTGGCATACAGGGCCAATCAGACCTTGTCGAGTCCCAGGAACTGGGAAGTTACCGAGTGTTAATGAACGATAAAAGGGACTTTGGTGAATACGGTCATTCCGGGTGTGTCACAAGCATGTGCACAGCGTTACGCTTGAGTGAAGACGTTAAGAAGTGATATGGATGTTTTGGGAATCAAGGTGGGGGAAGTAAAATGTTTTGAGCTTTATGGAGTAGAGGAATTTTGGGAACCAGGTTCGTACGGAGCGGTTCATATACATGCGCACTCTTTGGGGGTCGGGTGGAAACATACAGAGATAAGATGGGAGTTTCAGCGAGCAACGTAGAGTTGAATGTAAAGTCTCTGTTATTGAATTGAAGAATTTATGATAAAACTAACTAAGTAAAGTCATGGAGATGCCTGGTATCAAGAGTCAGTCATATAAGAGCGCAAACTTGATTTAATTACAGGCAAATACCGAACAGTAAAACTTGTTTAAGTGAAGCTGCGACTCTTGACAAACAAGATAAGTTCAGACTCAGAGGCTTGAGTCAAAGTCTCTGACAGGAAGAAGGCAGTACCAAAGGCCAACTCGCAAGTACTGCGAGCAGCTTTCATTATTGCGCAAAGAATGGTTCGCACGCAAAAACAAATTAATGGGCACGGCGTTGCCAGCAATGATGCTCGAACAAGTCGCGCCCTCCTGGACCTGGAAATACTGGCCACAAAGCTCCGTGGTGCCTTGCGCCACTGTGCCAGTGGAGGGAGGGTCAACCACTTTGTCAGCATAGCCATCACCGGAACCACGGGTCCTCCGATATTTTCATTACCCGTTCCGTTGCCGGAAACAACACTACCGTCAGGAATTTCTCCAGGCGCGCTGACACAGATGACATTACCCCAATACGGAGTTGTGGCTGGAGAAGACCAGATGTTGGAGCATCTGTCATCCACGCCAGAGTTCCATTTGATAATGTTCTGCCAAGTGGTGGCTTGGTCTACTCCGATGGCGACGCAGCCGTCTCCTTCTTTCACGTCGTAAGTTGTCTCACAAGTGAGAGGCAGACAAAGTTCCGAGCCGGCTGCGGGAGCATCACAATCGACTAGGCTTGGGTTGATGTAGTAAAGGCTTGATCCAGACTGTAGCAAAAGGTTGTTAGTGCAACTGTTTTCTTTGCTTCATTAACCTGCACTTACGATGGACTTTGCTTTTGCAATACTATTACACGTATCACCAGCCTGAGCAGTGTACTTCACACCCGTCGCACAAGTCTCCGGCACAGTACCATTGGGGGTAATGACAGGAAGCTGGGGGTCAGTCGGTGACGTTGTCCCTCCGCAGTCTGAAAGGCTCTTGGTCAGGTACCGATGGAAATATGGATAGGATATCCGGAGACTTACTTTCATTGATGTATTGCAGTGTCTCGGCCCGCAAGGAATCATAAGTGGAATAAGGTGACCGCTGCATCATTCTGAGCTTCTCTCCGTAGCAAAAGGAGCAAAGTTGATCCTTTGGCATATCTACCAGCTCTTCGAAATCGTCAAATGCTTCGATTTTGGCTAGAAAGTTTGGTGTTAGTTGACAGATTATCGGAATGATTCTCCAAGCAATTGTGTTCTCCGACTCACCATTGCAGTAGCCACCATTGGCGTCTTTCAAGCAAGTTTCGTTCCATCCGGCGGTAATGGAGTCGATGGGGGATAGAACCGGATATCCTTGGAAGAGCTCAGGAGTTGAGGCGCAAGAGCCTGCGATACGACGACGGGCAGTGGATAGCGCGGTTGAACAAGTGGCGGAGCAGACGGTACCTGTGAAGGCCGTGTCGCCAGGCGACCCGTGATAGACCTTTTGCCCGAGGTTCTTGACATAGGGATCGCAGTTAATGGTCTGATAGAGCACTGATTCGTATGCCGTGGTGAGGCAATAGCCAGTGTGGGAACAAACGGCAATCGCTAGGTATACACGGAGCCGAGCTATGTCACGTGTCTTCGGCACGTGACACACCTCAGCTCCCTCCTTCCATATCACGAGCCTTCGCGTTTAGATACTCTCCTTAAGAACAACAACAGAACACCAGATTAACCCAACGATATTGCTACCGATCGCGATACCAGGAATACCTGTGTGACTAACCTGTGGTACACGCAAACCAACACTGATCAGTGGTTTTTTCAATCACAGATTAGCCAGGTATTTGCATTACCTACAGAAGAGACGTTTACGACCCCTAGGTCCTTTACGTGCTAATCAAGGCATCGTCGGCCCCTTGGCCCACGAGACCTTCACTTTTCCTTCCGACCCAGCGGTCCGTCGGAAAAGGCGTCCTCAACGCTGCCATCGTTGGCCTCGCGAAAAAGCTCTTTCTTACGCGCCAGTGCGCCTTTGGAAGAGGCCTCGCCCAACGTGGTATTCCTTTCACCTACTACCTCGAGACGCGAAGTACGCGTCTATTTGTTTTTATCTCCGAATCCAACAAGCCTCATATTACATTACTATCGCCAAAGTATAAGCAACCAAGATGGCGCAACGACCACCATTATCGTCATCACCAGATGTTCTTCCAGTCCCCGATGGATTCTACCGCTTCATCGATGACGCCAACTGGGGCATCTACGACCAAGAAAACTCCCTCCTCCTTGACGAGCGCGACAGCAAAACAATATGCTCCTACATGGCCTACAAGATCGCCACTTGGCTCCACGATGGCCTCTTGGGCCATGAGCTCTGGGAGGCGTTCCAGAAGGACTTCGCGGACTGGGACGAAGCCCTCTTCAACGCCGTTGATACCAGACCTTTGGGAATCCTCCGCGATCACCTTCTCCATCACGGCGTCTACATCAGCAAGGGACACAGGGACCAGAAGATTGCTCCCAACCTCGTGGGGATCCTGGAAGAAGAACACTTCCATCCCTGGACCGACGATGAAGTCGAGAGCCTGAGAGCCAAGTCCTCATACTTCGACAAGCTAGTTGACAACAATGACGAGTTCCTCAAAGATATCCAGCGAGGATATATCACTCCTGAACAACGCCGCCAGATGCGCGAAGAGCAGCAAAGACAACATATCAAGAAGGAGCCGGAATTCGACCCTGAACTGGATTTACAACTCCAACAGATGGTCCAGAAGCAACTTGCCAGGAACGACCGTATCAGAGAGCTTACAGAAAAGAGCAAGAGCCGCTGTTCGTCACCTCATCTTTCTCCCCGTCAATCACTGCTTCACCAAACGATACCTCGTCCATCTTCATCACAACAGCCTCGCTTCCAGCAAGGCCGAACCGGCTTTCAGAACGACCTTCCGCCCATTACCGGCATCCTACCGACTCACGAGCTTCCCAAAGAACCGAAACACACACAGCGCACCCCTTTCCAACCGCAATCCCATAGCGACGACTTCCATCGGGAGCGGCAATGGTTACATGAGAAACCCCCGTCCCGCCCTGCCCAGAATCAGCTTCCACAGCTACTTGCTAACCTCACAAAGATAACCACTGACGACATGAAATTCAGCGGCGAAATGTACGATGTATTTGACCTGAAGTTGAATATCTTCCGCGATAACTGCGATAAAGTGGGTATATCGACCCATCACGACCTTAGCCTTGCCTTCTCGACGATGCTTCGCGGAAAGGCCGCAACATTCTACTTCCATCGAATTTGCAACAACGGCCCCCGTGACTTTACTGTCATGGTCGACAAGGTCCGGCAGCACTTCGAGGGGCAGGAAAGCCACCAGAATTACCTCATGGAGTGGCAGTCGACCACTTTTCACCGCATGGAGCAAACTAACATAGGCAAGACCAAGCTTCAAGTGTTGGAAGCCCTCATAACCCGCCTGACGACAATTCAGTACGCCCTTCCCCGGGAGTACCATACTGACGAGGCTCTACGTCTTACCCTTCTCAACGCGTGCGCAGACGTCCCCGAATGCAAGCTGTGCTTGTATAACCCATCATTGACGCTCGAAGGAGTCGTCCATCAGCTTCGTGCTGCAATCAGCACTGAACTGAGGATCCAACAACGACCCGACCAACAATACGCTGCTAACCAGACCGATAACCAGCATTGGGTCGACCGTACCTACCAAGGCAACGGCAGGAGCAACAGATTCGGCCGTGGCAGCAGCGGCCCTCCACGAGGCAAATACACCTCTGACCGCAAGTGCTATATATGCAAGAAACCCGGTTGCTGGTCGACAAAGCACACAAAGGAGGAACGAAAAGTTGCATATGGCAAGTTCGAGAACAGTCAATACGTAACTGACAACTCCTTGGCTGCGTACAGCAGCTTCCTTACGCAATATGAGGGCAACGAGCCCTTTGACGACGATGATGATCAACCTTATCACAGTGAAGACGAGGACCTTCGTCAATACCTCCAGACCACGACTATTGACGAAGACCACACAACCCACGATACCTTCCACATCAGTACCACATTCTTCGGCGAATCGGACTTCAATGGAAAGACCATTACTTATTTCCTTGCGAACCAGTCGTTCCGTCACCAATTGATCAAAGCCGACCCTTGCGAACCTGCTAGAGAGGCAGCCCATCAATTCACACTCGACCGATACTCCTCTGACATCTTTCAAGGTATCTTGCCGGATACTGGAGCAGCCGGCCACTCCACGGCTGGTCACCTCCAAGTCTTGGCCCTTCGTCGCATATACCCAAGCGTACGAATTGACCCATCACGGGCCGGTGAAGCAAACATTCGCTTCGGTAGTGGTGATCCCATCGCCTCGAGTGGTACTATCATGGTCCCTACACCATTCGGACCCATCGACTTCCACGTGGTGCCCGTCAACACCCCTTTTCTCCTCTGCTTGAGAGATATGGACCGGCTTTTCGTCCATTTCAATAACCTTACTAACCAACTCATCCAGGGTAACGTCGTCGTACCTGTTGTTCGCAAATGGGGGCATCCATTTATGCTACTTGGCCCTTCTGCCGCCGAGCAGACCATCGCCCATTGTCACCTGACCGGCATCGAGCTGCGGCGCCTTCACCGCCGTTTTGGTCACCCATCTGTTCTGCGACTCTACAAAGTTCTCCATGAAGCCGGCCATGACGTGGAAATGTCAGCTCTTGAGCACCTAGTCAAGTACTGCCACCAATGTCAAATGAACGGGAAGTCGCCCAACCGCTTCAGATTCTCCCTCTGCGACCATGACAACGGTGCCTTCAACTACGAAATCATCGCCGACATCGTGTACCTTGACAGCAAACCAGTGCTCCACATTATTGACTCTGCAACCGCCTTCAACGCCGGCCGATGGCTGAAGGACATCTCTGCCAAAACAACATGGGAAGCCTTGCGCCTTTGCTGGATCGATGTCTACCAAGGACCTCCCGACTGGATTGTGGCAGACGCTGGGCGCAACTTTACGTCCGCAGAGTTCCGCCGCGAGGCTCGCGCAATGTCAATTGAAATCAAAATCGTACCCGTGGAGTCACACCACAGCATTGGCAAAGTGGAAAGATACCATGCAGTACTCCGACGAGCGTACGAAGTCATCACAAAAGACTGTCCGTTGCTACCAAAGGACGTAGCTTTGCAGGCAGCATTCAAGGCAATCAATGACACAGCCGGTCCCCAGGGCATTGTCCCAACCTTACTTGTCTTCGGCGCTTACCCGCGTATGGCTGATGACTCACCCCCATCGCCAGACATCGTCCAACGCGCTGCGGCAGTGCGCAAGGCCAGCGAAGCTATTCGCAAATACCACGCGACCAGGCAGGTCAACGAGGCACTGGCGACACGCAACGGCCCCGATACGGCTGCGCAGAAGGCGCTTCCAATCGGCTCACAAGTCCGCGTCTGGCGCGAAAGGGATGGCTGGACTGGACCGTTCACACTGCTCACTGTCAACGGCGAAGACCTCACGGTTGATGTCAACGGACCTCGGACCTTCCGGTCTACAGTGGTTAAACCATACCATCACGAGGAGGTCACCGACGGGCCAGAACCTGACGCCGGCGCCGTCGCTGAGCTCACCACTGGTCCCCCCCACCCCTCTGGCGAATCCCCCGTCGATACGTCCCCTGGAGAAGAGCCCTCTGACGATGTCGCTAACGCTGAAGACCATACAGAAGATACCATCGTCGTAGCTATTGGTCCACGGAAGTCACTCCTAGCTACTACGTTACCGCTACCGCGTAAACGCGGCCGCCCCTATAAGCACTACGTATCTGCTGAACGTACCTTTCTACAAGAAACCGACGCCCATATCGATGAAGACCCTGATACTGCTTTTATCTCCGCTAAAGAGAAGTCTGACCTTGACCTTGCGATCAAACTACGCAGGGAAGGCGTGCTGACTACGCCCGGCGAGCCATTCGAAGCTTCGGCAAAAGCCGAGATCGAATCTCTGGTCAGCCGCGGCGTATTCGAATTCATACCTCGCAATTCCATCGCACATACCAGCCGAATATTCAAATCGCGCCTGGTCAACGAAGTCAAGGGCAAGGGCACCGATCAGCCCTATGAGAAGTCCCGACTTGTAGTCCAGGGCTACGCTGACGACGAAAAGTTGACGATACTTACACAGTCGCCCACTATTCAACGCGCTAGCCAGCGTCTCATTCTCGCATTGGCGCCGTCTTTGCTCCATAACGACCGCCACGTACTCTGGCTCCGCGATATCACTCAGGCCTACGTACAATCGACTTCACCTCTTAACCGCGCTATATACGCGCACTTGCCGCAGCAAATTCGCCACCAATACCCCAATGGCACCATCATGAGGGTTGTAAAGCCCCTGTATGGAATTGCAGAGGCAGGAACCCATTGGTGGTCCACCTACCATCATCACCACAGAGAAGCTCTCCAGATGGATACGTCCACATACGACCCTTGTCTTCTCCTTTCATCGCCAACTAATCCAGACTTTGCTCTCATTGGAATGCAAACTGACGACACAATTGGTCTCACAACTCAACCCTTTTCCATTAGAGAGGATACTGAGCTGCAGGAGGCAGAGTTCACTGCCAAACCAAAGCAGCACTTGACTCATGATAACCCCCTCATCTTTAATGGCGGCATCATCACAATGACAGGCACATCCCTCGTTCTTCGACAAAAGGGACAAGGCAGCAAGCTGCAACTTATAGACAGCAAGTCGCCGACGGCCCAGCAAGACTACGTCCAACAACGTGCTCGAGGAGCATACATTGCCTCCATCTGCCAACCAGAGGCCTGCTATGATATGTCAGCAGCCGCTCAACACAAAGACCCAACCGAGGGTGATATCGAGAATCTCAATCGGCGCCTACAATGGCAGATGAATTCCCTTGACCGTGGTCTCACCTTTATCCCATTGGATCTCTCAACGTCCAAGCTCTTCGTCTTTGTTGATGGATCATTTGCCAACAACCAAGACCTCACTTCGCAACTCGGCTTCCTTATTGTATTAGGCAACGAGACCTCTACCCCTGACCTGGACAACGACCACTTTACGTTGGACGCCAACATTATCCACTTCTCGTCAACCAAATCAAAGCGTGTGACTCGCAGCGTGCTTGCCTCCGAGGTTTACGGCATGGTCGCGGGCGTGGATATGGCATACGCGCTCTCGTCGACACTGGCGATGATCATGGACAAACTGGGCCACCCAAAGATACACACGGTGGCATGTACCGACTCATACTCACTATACGAGTGCCTTGTCAAGCTCGGAACCACCCAGGAGAAGCGGTTGATGGTCGATATCATGGCGCTTCGGCAATCGTACGAGCGACGAGAACTTACAGAGATACGATGGATACGTGGCAGTGATAATCCAGCAGACGGACTTACCAAGGCGTCGCCAAACAAAGCCCTGGAGAGACTTATTTCCACAAATACCATTACGATCAAAATGGAGGGATGGGTGACACGCACCTAGGCAAGGTGAGGGTATCTGGAAGATAGAGAGCATAGTGAACGCGCTAGAGATATGGGGGTTGGGAGGAACCGCATGTGCGCGATCAATACGTCTTATTGTCGCCTAGATATCTACAGACCCTTTTCTTCCACAAAAGAAAAGATTGCCAGTGTGGGAACAAACGGCAATCGCTAGGTATACACGGAGCCGAGCTATGTCACGTGTCTTCGGCACGTGACACACCTCAGCTCCCTCCTTCCATATCACGAGCCTTCGCGTTTAGATACTCTCCTTAAGAACAACAACAGAACACCAGATTAACCCAACGATATTGCTACCGATCGCGATACCAGGAATACCTGTGTGACTAACCTGTGGTACACGCAAACCAACAGCCAGAAAGTGTGCCTTGGGCGGCAAGCTGGATGCCAGTCGTGGTCTGTCTCAGCCAGAGAATTTGAGGAATACCCCTTGCTTCAACAGCCAGCGAGCTGAAGCCTAGCGCAAGAATGGCGCTTGCGAAACGACGTGAGTTTGAGGAGGACATTTTGTCCCACTGATAATAACGAATGACTGTGGTGAGGAGAAAAGAGTGAATGATGGAGAGACGAGAAAGTCGACGACCTCAAGTTCCATCACGGCGAGACAATCATCTTCAATTCGGGTTCAATGTGACCATGGCTTACAAGAGCCCCAAAATTCTTCGTCGAAGCTCATTCTCGGCAAATTTCACTGCCCACTTGCATGAAGGACTTTGGAACAGTCCCATGTTCCACCTGAATACAACATGAACGGCCGAAGACCGCGCCTCCGAGACTAGACCGTCGCAGAACCGACTTTTGCAAATTAGACGCATCGCTCCTGATATCGACATGGCGTGATGAGGCGAGAAAACCTGAATCGCTTGGGCGGATGCGGCAGGTAAGCTCATGTATCCCTGATGAGGCAAAATGCGTGTCCACATGAAAATCAACATGATGTGAAGAGGCTGAAGAGAAAGCGTGTGAAGGATTCATGTTGTGGACGGGCCGGGCCACATCGCAGGTGGATCGATCCACCCGTCATGCTTATGCATATTAGTTTACTGCTTACTTTCCTCCGCAATTCTTAGCGCGATCCTAATGTGCAACTCAAAGCGGAACTGACGTCCGAACTTTGAATAACCAAAGTCCCAAATAATTGTAACGATGAGTTGAAGGGCGGCCGCCGCTAATTTGCAACAACCAATCAGCAGTCTTCAATGGAAAGGGCTTTCTAAAATTTCCCATGGTCGTCTGGATATCCCCATTCTGATGATCTGGGCCTTCAGTTACCCTGGAAGTGGGAACCGAGGATGCAGGGGCCAGATGCTTGATGATCACGGTCCCTGTATTTGGCACTTCTTGGCATGCGCACCTGATAGTTGCCTAAGAGAAACAGCATGTAGGATGTATCTAGGAGACAGAGTCTGGCCGACTCATTGATGGGATATCTAAAGCTGAGTCGTCTCGCAACCAAGGCCGCCAAGATTCCACAGGTTATCCTATACTGACACTTCTGTCATTGTTTCTTGTTGGCTCCTTCATTATGGCCAAAGTACTGCTTCTTCTCTTTTCTTTCGTCACTCTTTTTCACGTTTCTTTGCAACAAGGCCCCGAATGTAGCGCCACGCAATTGTGTCCCATCGGATGCTGTTCTAAATCTGGATACTGCGGTACAGGTCCGGACTTTTGTGGGTTAGTAGAACTGCGTCGATGCGCAGAGTCGAGTAACTTGTGACGAGCTCCAGCTGACTAGGTAATTACCAGCACCGATTGTGTCAGCACTTGCGACTTCAAAGCCGACTGTAATCCAGGTTGGGATGACTCTAAATGGAGCAAAGCCGAGACGTGCCCCCTCAATGTTTGTGCAGCAAGTTTGGCTTTTGCGGTACGACGAAAGACTTCTGTGGTGATGAAGTTGTCAAGGTCAGTTAAGAGCGTCTCACTCGAGAAATTCTAACCATCTAGTAAACAACTTGCTGATGATTCTCCATTCTTCCTAGCGTCCATCATGCAGCGTCAGCGATACTCCTATTACCCGTGTAATCGGCTACTATGAGGCTTGGTCCACGACAAACCGTCCATGCTATAACATGCTGCCCGAAAAGATTCTATTCGGATACTACACCGATCTCATATTTTCATTTTTGACCATTGGCCCAAAGACATTTGAAATCAAGGCTGTCGACACTCAGACGGCAGAATTCATGCAAAGAATTGGTGCTATCAAGCTCATTCAGCCCGATATCAGGATCTGGATTGCTGTTGGAGGATGGGCTTCCAACGACCCTGGGGCGACATAATCGACATTTAGCGACATGGCCGCCTCTTCAACTGCCACCAAGTCATTCATTGACTCACTCATTAAGATGATGAACCAGTATGGTTTCGATGGTATTGACATTGACTGGTGAGTTCCAATCCACATGCAATCTTTGGACTCGCACTGATGAGCAATAGGGAGTATCCGGCTGCCGATGATCGCTTCGGCAAAGAAGCCGACTTCAAAAGCTTCGTCACCTTCATGAAGTCGCTGGGTCAGAGGATGCATTTCTTTGACCAGAAGAAGTTGGTCTCCTTGACTCTTTCTTCCAGCTTTTGGTATCTGCAGCACTTTGATCTCAAGGAACTTCAGAAGCATGTAGACTGGTTCAATGTCATGAGTTACGACCTTCACGGCTCTTGGGACATTCACAATAAGTTTACTGGTCCTTACGCCGATTCTCACACCAACATGACCGAGATCCAGGATGCCCTTGACCTGATATGGCGCAACGATGTCCCGCCGGAGAAGGTCACCTTTGGAATGTTTTTTTACAGCCGCAGCTTCACTCTTCAAAACGCTGGATGTAACACTCCTGGATGTGTTGTCAGCTCTGGAGGAAATGCGGGCGAGTGTTCAGGCACGACAGGTGTTCTTCTGCACCCCGAGATCGCGGATATTGTGAGCAAGAACAATCTCTCACCTACGCTTCATCGAGACGCGGCTGTCAAGTCTGTGTCTTGGGGTGACCAGTGGACAACGTTTGACGACTTGGCAACATGGAGGCTCAAGGCAAACATCATCCGCGGACAGTGTATCCCAGGAGTAATGGTTTGGGCCATGAGTCAGGACAACAAGGACAACAGCACCATTATCTCTCTCACATCAGCTCTTGGCCGCAAGGCGATGGACCCGCCCAAATTTGTTCCTGCTGAGCCCGTGGAACAACCGCCCAAGGTTGCAGAGCTATGTCGATGGTCAGGATGTTACCAAGACTGCCCAGCAGGTTTCAAGACTGTGCAGCGCGACGGCCATGAGGAGATCATGCTTACCAGTGAGAACTGTCTCGATGGTGGCATGGACAAACTGTGCTGCCCTGCTGACCAGCCGATGCCTACTTGTACTTGGCGTGGTCACAGGAACAGCGGCGTCTGTGAGCCAGGCTGCGAGAGTGGCAAGGTCAAGGTCGGCTCCCTCCGCGTCGGCTGCAACTTCTCTCACCAGGCTGCTTGCTGCACCGACGTGGCGTCCACCACCTCCTACGGCATGTGCAAGTGGGTCGGTGAATCGCCGACCTGCGACCAAGACTGCCCAAGCGATTATCCTAACAAGATCTTCTCGTCGCAGATGGCCGGGGGAGGCGAGCAGCCTTGTATTTCAGGAACGAAGAACTATTGCTGTCAGGAGCCCAAGCCCGCGGCCTTCGACAAGTGTGACTGGGTCGACAAGGGCAACCCACCGAGGTTCTAGCAGCCGGATATCTGCGAAGACAGCTGTCTCAGCGGCCAGATCAAGCTGTCATCTGAGGTTGGCGGTTTGGCTCAAGACAACGACTGTATGGGTGGCGCGAGAGCATATTGCTGCGAGCCTGCTCAGGTGCTGAAACCCCGTGGTGACGATGATCCTTTTGGAGGCAAGCAGAACAAGGAGTTCCAGCTGCTTCTTGAGGCTTATGCGAAGAATCCTACATGCTCTGCCACGATCTTGCATCTGTCAGAAGGTAACATGTTCGGCAACACCATCACCAAGCGCAATCTTCAGGCGGAGGCCGCACACTACCGGTTTTTGAATGGCAGAGCAACAGACTGCGAATCCGACCGGTTCGACAGGATGATTTTATTTGCTGCTCTTTTGCTCACCACCACTGAGTCGCTCCTGGAACCTTTGAGTCTTGTTTACGATGATCTATTCGCGGGCGGCTATGACGAGGAACTTATGACCACCAACATCAGAAATTATTACGCCGAGCGTCCCGAAATCGATCCTAATGCTCTAATAAGATACGTCTTCATTAACCAGACTGCTTCTGGGCCTGGTCTGAGGCGTGCTAGGAGGGCGGAAACTACGTTCTGCGAGCTCATTCCTACAGCAAAGCGCGCAGAGAGAGGTGTTGCAGGCAATTCCAAGAACGTAAGCTGTTCCTCTCTTTCAGTGTTCTCGGGGACGCACACTAATTTGTTCTTGCACAGCTCTCAACACTTACATCCCGTTAAATAACATGGCTACAGAACGGCGAGACCGGTCAGCCTGACATGTCCACAATCCTTGAGGGTATCCTGAGCGGCGACTTGAGCCTCCATTACGCGCGTTGGCAACACATCGACAACCAGGGTGGTCCTATGCTTGAATTAGCATACTGGATCGGCCGCACACCCGGTGTACCGGAGGGCAGCGACTTTGACAGATTTCGAGACGAGTGGGAACACGAAGAAGAGCGCTGGGTCGTCTTCCATTTTCACGTCAACCAGGACATCGATTGGGTCGCCCACGTCGATGGTCGCACCCGTGTAGGTGTCCAGGCACTCCGAGTATTTCACGGGTACGAATCGAATGAGGTACCAGGCAGTGGACAAGCGTGGCGTGTGGACAATACGGGTTCCAATTCCGAGCGTGATGGTTTCTCATGTCCGGATGACCAGCTTTGGTGGGTCGGGTCCGAAAGGGACCTGCCGACTGACCAGTTTGAATTTGATATGGTCTTTTTTGAGAGATTCCAGCAGTGGGGTCGGGTGTTGTTTGATGATGGCTATCTGGCCACACGGGGACTGGACTTGATCTTCACGGTAAGCTTTCTCTTTCCAACTTGCTGATGCTTTCTTCATAATCTTTTGTCACTTTCTTTGAATATTTCAAATTGTCGTGAACTGTCAGACTGACAGAACCAGGGCGGCTCCAGGGTCAACAACAATGGAAACGAAGACCTTAACCCCGACAACCAGGGACTACTACTACGTGGCGGACGCGCTCATCCGGGCTTTGGCGTCATCATGCAGGATGTCAATTTTCTGATCAACGACTACGGTTACAATTTCAGGCCTATAGATCCTGATGCTTAAACCTATCGGAAATATGAGAGGGAAGTTGTGAGGCACGTAGATGTGCTCTTTCTTCTTCATGTTGAAGTATTTCGACACAGGAATATTTGACCATGTTCTTGGCCAACCTACATATGTTTGGCCTTTTTGGCTAGTTGTTTCAAGCCATGCATTCATTCAAGCGGACATCATTTATCTTACCTGTACAATAACGTGATACTTCAAAGAAGTTTTGTTCTTCGCTTCTGGAGATTCTAGATGAGTAAAGTAGGTACTTGTAGAATCAGGCCAGTAGATGACAGTCAAGCTGCCGTGCTACATGAGCCGCAATAACATCTACCACATCCGTTGCTTTGCTTCTTCTCGCCCACATCAGTGGCGTGGTACTATCCGCCTGGCCAAGATCTCGAACATTGACGGCCGCATTCTTTACAAAGTCACCCAACCGGAACCCCCAAACATCACTCAGCATCTTCCACGTAGTCGAGGGACTGCGAATGACCTTCGATTTCAGACCCATAGGCGCACCGCCCGAGATAAGTCGTTCCGCCAAAATGGCAACATCCGACCTGACCGTCGAGTCGTGTGCAACAGGCCAAGATGCCAAGGCGTGAAGAGGGGTCCAGCCCTCATCCGTGACAACAGTGGGTGCGGCACCATGCTGAAGTAGGAAGCTGGCTGTTTCGCACATTTCTGATGTTTTCTTCCCTACGACAAGCGCTAGGGAGCACAATAGAGGTGTCCACCCATTAGTATTGGACACGTTCACGTCTAGGCCAAAGTCCAGTAAGAACTCGACAGTGTCTCTCTGCCCACCGACCGCGGCGTAATGAAGCAGCGTTTCTCCGTGGATATTCTGTAGTCTTGTGCCCTCGGCTTCCGATGCATCGCAGTGTGATAGACAGAGCTTCAGCTGCTCACAGCTTGCAACCTGTGCAACAACGTGGAGGGGCGTCTCTCCGTTCTCGTCCACCACCTCGACCAGAGCGCCGTGTTGGAGAAGTGTTTTCAGAGCGACATCTTCGGCGTTCCCTCTCTTGAATGAATGGAAAACATGGTGAAGAGCGGTCTTGCCCTGGGAATCCACACGATTTGGATTTGCCCCTTTGTCCAGCAGTCCTTTTAGTGCGCCAATGCGATCCGGAGATGCTGAAGCTCTATGTATCAGAAGAGGCTGATTGAGACGGGCGCTGTTGCTGTCTGGATCTGCACCGGCGTCAATGAGGCGAATAACTAGCTTTTGTTGCCGAGCCATGTCAGTGGCGTTAGGATCTGGTTTCGTTTCGTGCTCGGGAAGAATCATCCGACTTCCAACAGCCTTCTCCAGGGCATCTTGAATAGTGTCAGGTCCGTACTGGCCTTCTAAATCAGCCAGGAGCACAGCGGCGGTGTCATCACACCATGCTGATGCTGCGTCTTGCAGGGCTAGGTATTTATCCTCGTCTCCCCAGCCGTCCCATACGCCCAGAAAGTAGGCCGTGATATCTGCATGATTGTTTCTGGCAGCTATTTGCAAACAGGTAGGACTGGACTTTCGTCTTTTGCTAGGCATCAAGCGCCCTTCAGGGCCAATCCGTTCCCAGAAAAGTTGTGCCATCTGGAGTCTGCCGTACTGCGAAGCCGCCAGAAGTGGTGTTAAGCCGGGGTCTTGGCGGTCTCGTAGGCTAGGACTGGCGCCGGCGTCGATTATCATTTGCACAGCGGCGTGATTTCCTTGAAAAATAGCGTAGTGAAGGGCCCAGCCGATATCATTGTTTGTGTCGATCTCGGGACTCCATGATTGTAGGATGTCTGCGAGGTACTGTCTGTCTCCTGGTTTGTTTCCGTGCCTGAGATATGGCTCCACAGTGTCGTAGTAAGTCTGTGGTAGAGCCTCTCCCGAGGAAGTCATGGTGACTGACGTGTAGTTTTCGTGGTCGTAGGATGGTGTTGGAGAATAAAAGTGGTCGAGGGGTTCGCCTCTTATGGTCGAAAGTGAAGACTTGACGGTTACATCCCTGTCCGGGCTGACAAGCTTATTCCTAGGGACCCACCCTGCCGCCTTTAGTAAATCCCCACTTTGTTATGACTACTTTATCAACTCACATTCGCACGATGATCCCGGTCGGACTAGACTACGGTTTAAGTACATGAGCTGCCTAAAATCTGGAGTTGAGGGGTTTGATTATCGTTCAATCGGACGTTAGACTGACTCTTCGAGGAAGAGGCGTCCACTCATTGCAGTCCAAAGATCTTTCACTCTCTTTCATTCTCATCAATTCAAGGCACCCTTAATTTGTTGCTTATTACCACTTGCTAGACGCCATAGTCAGGGTTGGAACGACCTATAGGTATGTTACGGCCAGCTAGTCGTAGTGAGGTATGTTTGCAGAAGTTGAGGCTGCGGAACTGGTAACAGTATTCGTAGTCGGGGATAGCTTCAGGGAAGCTATGTCTGTAAGTCGTAAGGTAAGGGAAGGCTTCGGTGATCAATCGTAGTCTTATCAAAGAGGTTCTCAGGGAAGATAGCTGAAAGCGATCATAAGATCTGATACGAAGTTAATTGCTGAAGAGCTATGGAAAGTCTGTCCTAGAGTCCAGCTTAAGTCTATCCTTATATACAAGTCCTGATCCTGAACATATCCTTTGTCCCTTAGGTCATCTTAGTGTTACGACCCAACATGCATGACCAAGAACAGGGCCTGCCCCGCAGGCTCGCGGCGGTTACAACACACCACATATGCAGGAGATAAGGGACACTAGGCACCCTCTCACGGAACGGAAGAACTATGGTACAAGTCACGTGATGATAAGATAAGACATGAGCGACCATGGTGGGGCCATGAGCGCTCATGCCAAGTAAATACCGAATACATCGATCCGTTAGAACTCCCCCCTTGGGAGCAACTAGCGGACTGGCAGACAGCCCTCGCCAGGGTCGGCTACGAACCTAATAAGACCAAAGAAGAACAGGCCCTCTCCTTTACAGGCAGGATGGCAACTTTCTCCAAGCGGGACATTGTTGTCTATACTGACGGGTCCCAGATGTCGGACGGCAGCAGCACCTCCGCCGGGGCAGGCTGGGTAAGGTACCAAGCTACACGGCAGATCTTCCGCGGATCCGAACCACTCGGCTCCTAAACTGAGGTGTATGACGCGGAGGCACATGCTGCGTATCACGGCCTGATGGAAGCCACCCGGGCTCCTACGGCTCGTATGGCAGATAACGTCCACATCTGCCTCGACAACCTCGCAGTCGCGGCTAGACTATACTCCCAGAGCACAGGAAGCAGCCAGGCTAGATTTAGGGCCTTCAATAGGCTCTCTTCCTCCTGGACTCGGAGACAAAGAGAGAGCTGGACAACCCCCGGCAGGGTTTATGTTTGGTGGTGCCCTGGGCACACGGGAGTACCAGGAAATGAAGAAGCGGATGCTCTAGCCAAGGAAGCCTGCAAACTAATCCCAAAATCATAACCACAGCCCTCATTAGCGCACCTAGAAAGGCAAGCTAAAGTAGCTACCTTCCAAGCCTTTGCCAGAAAATGGCTGTCCCAATGCCCTCGGCAATATGCCGACCTCGAGATAATTCTTCACCTCAAGCCGCCCGAACTCCGCCTCCCTCGGCACTTACTAGGAAGGCTATACGCAGCAAGATCCCATCATGGAGACTTTGCAGCATACCACGAGAGATTCGCTCATCAAGATGTGTGGCAGGTGCAGGTGGGTCACGTGAGGCAGCTCCTTCACATCTCGGAGCTGCCCCACCTACACCTTGCCCAGATATCCAGCCCAGCCAGCGCTCAGCTTTTCCCATCATCATCATCAGATCCAATACAGTAGTATTGCCTCCACAAGATGCGTTGCTCAACTGCAGCTGTGGGAAACCCAAGACACCAGTCCATTTCTACTTCTGCAAGCGTGGACGCAAGGCTACACCGCGCTACCTCCGCCAACGTATGGCCAAAGCAAGCATTGATTTCTTGTTAGGTTCTGCTAAGGGAGCCTCTCTTCTATGCGAATGGATAGAGGAGACCAATTTCTTTTCCGAAATTTGCCCGAGTCCCTGAACAGGAACGTTAGGTGAAGACGGTAGCCTGTAACATAGTTTATATTAGCATAGACCATGTCGGCATAGCGCCCGGCACGTCCTTTTGTTACCAGACGTTAAATACATCATCATCATCATCATCATGCCAAGTAATGAGCGCTCATACAGGAACAATGAGCGCTCACCCGATCAGAGGGACTGATCATTGACAAGGGATATGTTCAGGACCAGGACTTGTATATAGGATGGACTCGAGCCGGACTCTAGGACAGACTTTCCATAGCTCTTCAGCAATTAACTTCGTATCAGGCTTAACATCCGCTTTCAGCTATCACCTTGACAAGACTACGATTGATCACCGAAGCCTTACCTTACCTTACGATTGACAGACATAGTTTCCTTGAAACTATTCCACGACTACGATTACTGTTACCAGTTCCGCAGCCTCAACTTCTGCAAACTACCCCTACGACTAGCTGGCCGTAACATACCCATGGGTTCCTATGGGGCCCCAATTTCCAAGTCTAGCCATAGTCCCAAAACCCTTTCTCTCATCTGCCACAATGGCCTCGTCTCTAGATGATATCGCAGCCTCGTTGGCTGCTTACTGCGCCTTCATCTCAGCACAGAACCGCCGTGCTCTTGAAGTTTACGTACCATTCATTGCTGCCGCTGTACCTGACGACCTGGAAGACGACGACGATGTCGAAGAGCTCCGCCTAGACGGCCTCAACACGCTCCTCGACGCCAACCTCCAAGATTTTGGCGTTTCAGAGCCCATCAAGGTTCTCACGCGCTACGATGAGCTGGCACCGAAGATTGGCCTCGACGGCACGTATGTGATGCAAGATCACGAGGGCACCTCTGATGAGCGTGAGGCTACGCGCCGCGAGTATCTATCCATTATCGAGGAGAATCTGAGACGAAAGTCTAGAGAGGACGTACGGGAGAGCATTTCAATTCCCGAGGACTTTCGCGTGCCGGCCGGGCTCGTTGATGGTGTTGTGGGCTACGGGCTGCCCGTCTTCCGGAATGAGACACATCCGGCCTTCTGGTGGGGCTGCCGAGTGTACCTTTGCCCACACGCTGAAAGGGTGATGACGCCTGAGGATCTTACACGACATGCGAATCTTCCTGACTGCTGGTAAATTGCAGGAGGTTGGGCACCAGGCATAGGGCCTGATGCCAACTTCAGCATTGTATATAGCCGCGAGTGTGACGAAGACCCTTGGATGTGGAGATACACTCTATCCACGGCGGAAGACGGCTTGCAAATTTTTGAGACGATTCCAGAGTTTTTGGCCTTGTACACAAATTTCGGGGAAGACGACGAGGTGCCTGGTCCCCACGAGCTGAATGCAAACAGACTTCTTTTCAGCCAAATCTAGTCAGACATTGTAACTTAAGGTAATGATCAAGTCTACAGAGTCAGTAGGTTCTGCGTAACATCGTAAAGGGAATATTTGGCACTACATAAAATTTCGGATAGGTAGTCCGGATCATCTAGGGGCTTGGATAAACATGATACATCAGCAAGGATTCGCATTTTCACTACCTTAACGTATTATGATATGATTCCACAACATTTACGTGAGGCCGGTCTACAAGCAACTCGAACTTGTTAAACGAGACTGGATGATTGTAGAGCGAGAGTTGACGATCGCCATTAATCATGGTTTTCGGAGACTTGTACTCCAAGCTGACACTAGTCCTTCCATCCCAACCTGCCGCTCGATGAATCAGACCGCCAAACAATCAACTCTCCAGTCCTGACATGAAGCTGTACGTAACACTTCCTCCGACATCAAGAAGGCGTATGGCTTTCCTGTGCACAATTCCTCGTATTTGAGTTCCAGATCGTATGGTAATTGCGCTTCTGTTTGACTTCGCTTAGGCATTCTGATCTTACAGCGTATGCACGTAATATGTCTCTCAGGATACGAGGTAGATCGCGCCCAGCGATGTAAGTAAGCCTTGGCCAGCGCCCGACTGCAGGACTTCCTTCCGAAGGATTTTCTTGCGAGCACTTTTGTAGGCAGATTTCTAGTCGAATGGGCTGTCGTAAGCCCGTCATCCTACTAGTGGGCGAGAACCTGGTAATATCACTATGTTTGTGCGGGGTTCCTATAAACGAAAGACCGAGATGACATTGTATTATCGCACTACAACAAGGGTTGAAGTAAGACTGAAGGTGAAAGAGAATCAGTATAAATCAGACGAGGTTTCAGATGGCAAGTCAAATCACCCTGTAAACCAAACACTCACGAAAGCTTTGTAACCCTAATACTCTTATGCCGACATAGGAACTCGTATTTTCACATTTTGGCAAAGACAATAACTTGTACAATGATCATTCAGACCATCCTCAAGACGACCATTCTTGCTGTTGCTGCAACAGCAGCAACCATTTCTGCTAAGAGCACCGATGACACCAATGGGTTCCGTCTATGGGCCAACATGCTCTACCCTGATACACCAGGCAACGGCCCGATCGTTCAGGGCTTTGAGCTCGGCTACGTCTCTGGCGACGAGTGCCAGGCCACCGTGATCCTGGTACCCGAGAGTCAAGGATCTACATTCTATGCCAGTAACAACACAATTGGCGTTTACTTCGACAACGACTCGTCCTCCTTTGCAGGCATGGTGGTGCCCTGGCGCGGGTCTGCGATGGTTCCGAGCGGTAGACCTGTGGAACTCAAGTGCGAGGACGGTACACCAGGTCTGACTCTGAACGACAAGGGCGTGTACTATCCCGGGGAAATGGGTCCGGACTTCAATGGCGCATTCATGGTGTGCGAAGATGGAGGTGACCCGTTCTTGAGCTTCTATGGCTGGGGCCAAAGGCCCCTTTGGGGTTGCACTGTCATCCAGCTTCTTCCCATCTCCTAAAGCCAAAGGGCAGACCATTTTTCATATTATAATCAGAAGAAAATCCGTCGAAGCTTTTTCGTACAGCCATGATCGTTACGGTCTTCGTATGAGGGTCTTCTAAACATGCTGTGTGATCAAATGGGCCCCAAAAAGATCTCACGTGTAAACAAGTAAGTGCATGTAGCGTCATGTCATTGCAATCATCATTCCAAAAATGGAAGTTGACATTGGAGAAGACCTGAGTCCGCTCGAGGGAAGCTTCAGGGGATACAGGGCTCGGCTCAGGGGGTCCATATGTTTCTAGGCTCTCGTCCAGCGTTTACTTTGGGCGGCTCTCCCCGTCCAAACCAGGGCACGTCACTGTATCTAGGCCAATTCCACCATCTCCATTTCCGCCACCCAAGCTATCATGCCCCCCTGTGTCATTGAAACTTGGGGAATTTCAGTGGGTACAAGAGGAATCTAAGTGCCATCTTAACCATGTCCCATATCGTAAACATTGATCGTTTTATCTATCTTGACCCAAAAGAATCATCAGTGCAATCATCTGGGAAAGGAGAAAGTGAGTTCTCTTCTTGCCTCTGATTGGAATAATTGCATAATTCAAGGCACCCTTGTTGAGACCACATGTAGTCTGTTCGAAGTTAGTCAACAGCTAGGAGGCAACCAAGCAGACAAGAAGCATACAGGATATAGGCCAAGATCCCAGATGGAGAGAGATTCTACCGTTGGCCATAGTGCACCTAACTAGAATCTAGCGACCTCGCCCCCATTACACTCTATTTTGCCCGTTTCCGGCACGCCAGGAGCCGGCACGAAGCCTGGCACGACTCGAGGCCTGCCCACCTCAATTAAGAGCCATAACATATTAACTGAGAATTACACAGAAGACATCCTGAGAGAGTTCGGAGTAGTTTCAATAAATTTTTGGCAATCAACTTACCTTCTCACCCCCCTTACCACCGATCCGTGCGCTCTACCCGCCACTGAACAGTCTCAGCAATGGGAATCACAGAGACTCACCGCCAACACCCCGAGATATCATCTTATGCCGCTTCCGGCTACGGCAATCGCATGGGCTGGGGCTCAAGGCCTGCACTGCTCCTCGTCGATATCTGCAAGGCCTACTGGACCACCGGCTCGCCCCTCGATCTCTCCGCCAACCCCTCTGCCATTGCGGTCCCTGAGAGTGCAGCCCAGATAGTAGCGGCAGCGCGAGAGGGCGGTGTACCCGTCGTATGGACGGCCGTCGAATACACGGATCCCGAAATGGCGGATGCGGGCCTGTTTTGGCTCAAGGCTAAGACCCTGGCCGTATGGCAGGTCTGGAGTGACCTCCACTCGCAAGGCCTGGCAGACTGGGTGAATGAAGACCTGACTCCGAAGAATGGCGATGTCGTGGTGAAGAAAAAGTATGCGAGCGGCTTCTTTGGCACAACGCTGGCGACGGAGTTGACGTGTAGAAACGTCGATACTGTGGTCATTTGCGGCGTTAGTACGAGCGGATGTGTCAGAGCTACGACCTTGGATGCTATGCAGCATGGTTTCCGACCTATGGTGAGTTCTACCGTACCACATGACTGTGGGCATCGAAAACTAATATGATGATGGCGTTGCAGGTTGCTCGCGAAGCGTGCGGTGATCGCAGCGAGGAGATTCAGAACGCCAATCTTTTCGATCTTGACTCCAAGTATGCTGATGTGGTGTCAATGAAAGATGCGATATCACGTTTGAAGTCTGGATGGGAAGTAGCATAACATGGTACTTTGATCGTCTATGGTGCCGTTCCTGGTACGGAGGTATAAATATCAAAACTCATATCCTGTCCTCATTCATCCACAGGCTTCGAGTCTCGCCTCATTCTCCACTTTGGACCAACCTTCATCTCGATGTACATGAGGGGAAGAAGAAGAGCACAAGCTCCGCCAAGTAGAACATAGCTCCAGCTGATGCGCAAGGCGGCGGTCATCCTGTCAATGAGACCTACCAAGAGGGCTGCCAGCAAGCATCGCACAAGGTTTGTCTGCGGCTAGTATTAACATTTCGAAATTCTGGCATAGTTTTAACGAGCCATTTACTCACACATGCTGTCGCTGCCGAGCTTCTCGTTTGTAGGATGTCGATCATGAGAGTCATGGTTGTGTTGAGAATAGCAATTGACGTATACCCCACTAGAAGTGGTCAGTTGTGGAATCGCGACTTGACTAATAGAGACATGTAGCTTATGTGGTCAACTTACAGACGATCTGAAGGACGAGAGGGACAGCGATATGAACCCCTCGATCGACACAAAAGCCCCATGCTATCACAGCTCCGGAGAAAAGCACTAGCAACACCGGCATGGTCCTCAGACGTGCATACTCCTTAGGGAACATGATAGCGCCGTCGGATTCTTCGACCTTCTTCTTGATACGAGCATAGTCCCAATCGAGAAACTTGCCGGTAAGGGTGCTGCCAACGATCATGCCAAATCCTGTGGGTAAATAGCACAGACCGAGTGCGGTTTCGGACAGCCAAGGATAGACTTTGGCAAAGGAAGAGGCGACCGTCGTCACGACAGTGTTATTGACTGCATAAACCACGCCCGTGAAGGTTAGGGTTATGGCGACATCGGGATATACGAGGATAACGAAAGGGTTGATTGACCGCCGGACACCGGACTTGTTGCGCTGTGTCTTGTTCTTCCTTCGAGATCTACCTACGATCGGCAACAGAGGGGTGTAAACCCCGCCAAGAGAGATACTTCCGTTGCCAACGAGGTTTCGAAGAGTCTCTGGAAGGAACCTATAGAGATGGGTTTTCGTTGGGACCCGATTTTGAGTAAGGGAGGGAGGAGAGGGGCTGGCCTGGCTTGTCAAGCGGAACTTACAACAGGATGAATAGAAGGCAGCAGACAGCCATAATGACTTGGAACCAGAAAATGGAACGCCATCCAAGTTTATCGGAAAGAGCACCACCAATTGCGGGAGCGATGCAGGGTGAGAGCTAGTAGTGTTAGCGATATGACGGAGTACTGTTAACATGGCAATGGTAGCTAGACTAACCATGGGTCCGAGGTTGAACGTGCCAAAGAACCCTCCCCTCTCTTCAGGAGTCGAAATATCGCCAATGACACCCGCTCCTATCCCCCAACAGGTCAGTATTACGTATCGAGTAGTTCGAGGAAAAGGAAAACTTACCGAGGGCAATTGTGCTAGCGCAGCCTGCAGCCTGTAGACAGCGGAGGACAATTAAGAGCCAGAAAGCGTCAGTAGGAATCACGGCTATTCCTATACACGCTCCGATCAAGATGGTCAGGCAGACTAAAAACACTGGTCGCCTTCCATAACGGTCGGAGAGAGGTCCCCATAGCATCGGCGCTGTTCATTTACACGTATTAGGGGAGAGGCATTTCAAACACTGGCTGGGAGATGAGAGGGAGGGTGAGGGACGAACTGTGCTATGGAGCGCATAACTTACAGACACCTTGGGTCGCAAGGAAGGCTGTGACTGTCAAGTTGAGGAGCTCGACGGACTTTCCAAATGCTTCCGATAGTTTGGGTATTGCTGGTAGGTAAATGTTTGCCGGCAGCGGGCTAAGCCGCAATGTTAGAGTATGCGATAGAGGGGATGACAATAAGTAATTTACCTATAGAAACCCGCGACAGCGACCATTGCGACGATGAACCACTTCTCTTTGCGAGTGAATATGCTGTAGGGCTCCGCAGGTGCGTTCTCCCCTAGTGGAAGCACAAGATTCTCCTGTCCGGTTAGGGAGCTCGGAGCAGGCACAGCGCCGGACCCGGGATCGGGGCCATCGGTTTTAGATTCAGCCATCGTGGGGCACAACTCGGAGGCCGGGAATCGGGGAAGTGGATGCCGTGATGGGACCGTCCGGACGGCTCAATGGACGTGTGAATTCCTTGGCGGAGGGAAAGATGAGGAGAGGAGCAAGAAATGCCCCTTTGCAGTTCCCCGGCTGGCGAAATACCCATACCACCTCGGCCTACGAAAAATCTTGACCGAGGACATTTTGGACCCCACGCAGACCCAGAAATCGGCCAAAAGATTTCGGCGCCGGTTTCGGAAGAGGCGAACAGCGGCGGGTCCGCCGCGGCAAGGCCATCCGAGAAGGGGGATGGGCCAGTCCCGTTTGTTAGGCTATGAACGGTTCGCATTAGTTAGCCTATCGTCATTGACATAATCCGTCGCTAGGCTTGCTAAGTAAGCGGATTGACACATTGGCAGAGCGGCTCTTGGATGGTGGAGCTTTGTGGATTCGGCTCGTGGGGATCTTGGGCCGGTTTGCAGTGATGTATCTGGCGCATATCCGGGGTGCCAAGTTCCAGGGTTAGTGATAGGCTATCATGGGCCAGTGGCCACCAGGAAGTCCGATGTATCGGAGGCTAAGACTCGAAGATCCGGCAATCTCTTTTGCCTGTTCCTTATCTTGACAAGAGATGCGGTTGGGAAGGGCTGCAGCCGGCGACCTCTTGGCAACCAGGTTCAACCTGAACACACCTTAGCAAAGAGGAATATCCTGTCTCTCCTGTCAACCTGGTCAACATACGATGCTCCTGTTATCAGTCACCCAAGCCTTCGGGCCCATTGCCACGGTCAATAATTGGAAGACTCGGTTTTCATGGATTACCGAAGGAGCAATCAACGCAGGTTTTATCTCGTCCGAAAGTGACCATTGCCCATATCGAACTACCTCCAATTACTTAAAAGACCTGGCTTTACGTGGATGATGGAGCATCTTGACCTCCACCGTATCCAGAAGTGGATTCGATTCCTCGACCTCCACCAATCCGCCAGTCTAAGGTCTTGCGCTGCAATCTCGCCATAATAGAAGAAGTCTGCAGCAAAGACAGGCATGATTGATCGTCCGAAGCAGAACGGACTCGGTGAACCAACTTCTCCAGAGACAGCCTCCAGCAAAAACGAGAAGAACGATGTGGAAAGCACAAGTTCCATCCAAGATGCGCAGGCGGAAGAAATAAAGGGTTGGAGAGGCCTCATTAATAGCCTAGTCATATTCGGCCGGGTGGAAGTGCGAGGCATCACCCCAATTCCCATCGAAGAGCGGGTTGTTACCAAGACGGTCAACGTCTTTACGTTATGGTGGTGTATGAATGCGAACATGCTCCCGTAAGTGCCTACCTGCTAGAACGCTGTCCTCAACTCAGCCTCTTGACGACGCAAAGAGTTCATCGCTAACGGCGGCGGCAGGATCACCTTTGGGATGCTCGCCGCAACATATGGGCTTGCACTGAGAGACTCGGCTCTAGTCATCATCTTCTTCACTCTTCTGACGACGACTTTACCGGCATATCTGTCAACCTTGGGCCCAAAGACGGGAATGAGGCAGATGATACAGGCAAGGTTTAGCTTTGGGTCCGTCCCCGTCTACCCACCTCTTTGGCGATCTGCCAAACTTTGGGGATTACCACTGACGAACAACTCAGTCGTCACTTGGTCGCGGTTCCCGTTCTACTCAATCTGGCAACTCTGGTAGGGTTCTGCGTAATCATGGCAGTCATCGGCGGACAATGCCTTTCGGCCGTCGGAGGTGGCGACGTAAGTCCTGCAGTAGGCATCGTCATCGTGGCTCTTCTCGCTCTGGTGATCTCCTTTTGCGGGTTCACCATTCTTCATCTCTACGAAAGGTTCGCATGGATACCGGCTGTCATAGCAATTGTTATTGCCACAGGTTGCGGTGGTTCACACTTGAAGGATCAAGCACCGACCGAGCCGGCGACTGCACAGGCTGTTGTCTCCTTTGGCATGATCGTGGCTTCGTACATGATCCCTTGGGCATGTCTGGCTTCGGATTTCACAACTTATCTGGAACCATCTACTTCATCGTTAGTGACTCTTCGTGTGACCTCGACAGGCTCAGGCAGTTTTAATCTTACGCAGTTTGTTAGGAAAAAGATCTTCTGGTACACTTACGCAGGTCTCGCGACCCCCACGATCCTCCTCATGATCCTCGGCGCGGCGATCGCAGGAGCAGTAACTAGCGTTCCCTCATGGGAGACCGGCTACGAGGATAACCTAGTCGGCGGTGTCATGGCGGCGATGCTAAGTCCGGCAGGAGGGTTCGGCGCGTTCGTCACCGTAATCCTCTCTTTCACGCTCCTCGGCAACATCGCAGCAACAAGCTACTCCGTAACCCTCAACTTCCAGCTCCTCCTCGCGCCTTTCTCTCGAAAGGCCACGGCCGTCCCGCGCTACGTCTACGCGCTGCTAGTGACAGCGGTGGTCATCCCCGTCGGCATCCGAGCGGCAACCAACTTCTTCGCGAGCCTAGAGAACTTCATCGCTCTCATAGGTTACTGGTCTGCGGCCTTTCTCGGCGTGGTTCTCGTCGAGCACCTCTGGCTTCGCGGTGCCGACTGCGCGAGTTACGACCCCGACGCCTGGGATGACGCCGCGAGACTGCCTCTCGGTGTGGCGGCATTGGCGGCGTGCGTCTCTTGCTTCGGTATTGTCGTCCCCTGCATGGCGCAGGTGTGGTGGATCGGGCCGATCGCCGAGACGACCGGGGATATTGGGTTCGAGCTGGCGTTTGTGGTATCTGGGTTGCTGTATTTGGTGTTTAGGAAGTTGGAAAAGAGATTTTCAGGGCGATGAGAGGATAGATCCCAAGACAAATGGGAATCGACCCATGGCGATGAGGTCCAACGGGTGTGTTGTGCGAGCTGCGCCGCTTGGCCCGCTGGGAAGGATCGCAGGGATAGCAACTATATCAAGATACTCATCTACGGTACAGACGGGAAGGTTCATGAGGAAGATGTAACAAGTGGTCAATAGGTTCAATCCATACTGTTTGCTTGCCATAGGCAGAGACCGACGGGTGGAAGCATGTTAGGCGCAGCAATAGATCTATGCGCGTGGATGCTTGCATCGCCGCTCTTCCCATGTACCACTTGGCGCATGGAATCCCTTAGGATTAGGGATCCGAGAATCTCGAAGCCAATAGCTAATTTACTTACCTGGACCTCCCGCAACGGAACATGCTTCTCCAGGCATGCCGCGCGTCGGTAACCTCGGGCAAACAAATTGATATTCAGGGCGGTGTCATCCTCCCCTACGACCCTGCAGCAAGATTGAAGCTGTCACAACACGCGTCCTTTGTTGGCAAAAATCCAATCAAAGATATTCTTCTTCCCACAGTGTGGTATTCTCCTTGAGGCATTTTCGGGATCATCGTTGCCGGTCGAATAAGAATACATGTAAACAGACGGGATGATGACCATACACTGGTCGGCGATACTGCAACAGCATATGCAAGAAGGAAGCAAACAACACGTTTTCGGCGGCAAGCCGTCTCGCACAGGATTGCTCATGTTGGAATAACGCCCGAGATGGGGCCCTGCAGAGAGATCTCGCACCAACCAACTGGGACGGAACTCATCCGGAGATCCCATACCATGCCCTTCGTCGTCGTCTTTCTCCATACTGCGGCAGTGGCGGGAGCACGATCCGGGAGAAAATGTTGAGACGACTGTAAGGAGAAGGAGAAAAGAAAGGGTATTGTTTGCTTTTCGCCGCATACTGTACGCAGGACATGGCGCTCCGAGGCTACGGAAATGAAACCGCATCGCCGCTCGGTCTGTGTCACCTACTCGAACGAAGGAGGTTGCATGGGATGAGACTGAGTTTGATGTAGGGAGAGAGACAGGAGGAAGAAATGCACGTTCTTGCTCGAAAGCAGGCGAGAAACGCGAGAGTATTGGACCAACAGCTGGCCGGTGCTGCCCCCAGTGCCGGCTTACACTCACTCTCACTCTCATCTTCACTTTCATTGTCACTCTCATTCTCCCTCCATCCGTCTTACTTTTCTGTATCCGCATCATCGGTGACGAATCGCGGGTGTCCCTCGGCAATGACTGACCAGCAAACAACAATCCGAGCCGGTTGCAATTGAGGCGTGTGACGGCTCGGAGTCTGATTTCTTTGCACCCTCATGCATTTGAACACCAGTCGAACGTTCTAACCACAAGTTATCGCTGCCTCCTCCTTTCCCTTCGACCGTGATATCGGGAGTCGTTTGCAAGGGTTGCACGCCCGGCCGCCAGCCACTGGAGCGGGAACGGCGTGAGAGGCGATCTTATCCCAGAACCAAGTGCAGGGGAACACGGAACCAAACCGGGACGTCGTGAAACCACGGCATCGTCCCATCCAGACGGCATTGTAGTCTGTAGTGATTCCATCGAGTTGAGGCGGTGTCGCCACACCACACCCGGAGGACGGTCTTTGAACTTTCTAGCTCACCTCTCAGTGGCGACCGTCCAAATAGGGTTTCGCCTCGTTCAGAACGGTATCGGGATGTGATTGGACTATTTCGTACCTGGATGGACGTTCGTCGCGTGGTCACGCAGATGGCTTATGCGGTTGAGAGAGGTGTGTTATCCGGTATCGCCCGCACCAATGAGTGTTGTTGGGACTGAAGAATCCAGCCGGTTTATTGCCAAGATAACCGGGAGCGTCGATGATTAGACCTCTTCTTAGGCTTGGCCTCGTGAGCCTTTGGGGTCCATCGAGCATTTCATAGGAGCCCTAGGTACGTAGAACTTGCAAATTGTTGACGACCAATCCAAAGCTCCCGGACCGAGCGTCACTTTCTCACTGGTTGGTGCAGAGGAAAGATGTGGAAAAGAAAACGTGGGAACTCCGCCTTCTCCGGAGTGGATGCTCGGTGGTGCTGTGATTTCAGTCTGGGATGGACTGATGTTGACCAGGAAATCCGGGGAAGAGGAACCTTGACACATTGCGATCTAGATTCTCTCTTCCCCGCCAAGGAACAAGACCAACGAAAAAAACGCGCATTGTTCCATTTGGGAGCCCGTAGAGATACTTAGTCTGCGGTGCGGGTTAGCTCAACCCCAAGCTTGCCCCCGGCTGGCGACGCCGCCAGCTCGAGGGCCACAGTTCGTGTCAAAGTCGGTCTCAATGGCGGCAAAGGTTATCTTGTCGACCGCTTCCCCAGTCGTCTTGCTCGCAGTGCCCTGGACGGCGGCTGCTCCCAGGACATGAACTGGGAAACGGGCGCGTCAGTCGCCAAGACCACGTCGTTCTCCTCTTCTGCTATGAGCTTTCGGTGAGAGAAGAAACTTGTGGCTTGCACATTTCATGACGGCGCACCTGTCTAGTGAAAATCTGCCCTCGTCCATTGGCTTCTGTCGGTATGGGGAGCTCGTGTTGCTCAACTCTCGTCAACAAGCTCATTGCTCACAAGACCGTCGAATAGCTAGCTCGGGCGCCCGCCAAGCACCAACCAGCGCCCACGGTGTGATGCCCGGTCTCGGCTTCACTGGAGTCTGGAGCAGAGAATGAGAATAGCGGGAAGAAGCCCGGTGCCCCCCCCATCACCCATGTCGCTGATGAAAATGAAGCCAGGCTGGACTGGGCAAATTCCATCCCAATGGACCCGGACTTAATCGCACATGACAGAGAGACAGAAGTCAAAAGCACGCGATGCCCCATTGGCCTCTTCTCTAGCAAGATCTTGGCAGACCAGGAAACAGGTCCTCCCACAGAGCCCAGAGGTTCAGAGGCTCACAGACGTCGGTAAGAATTCCCCTAGTTTGGCAAAGAGCCGTAATTTGATTAGCCCGCCTCCACTGCCGGGCCCCTCCCCAAGACTTTCCAAGACCTCGACTGAAAGGGATCCGTAAACTATTAATCGGAGCGCTCTCGTCAAACTCCACGACTCTCTCTCTGTGCGGGGAAAATGTCCAGAAACAGGATTGCGGGGGGATGGATGGAGAGAAAGGAGGAGGGGCACGGCATGGGGGTTTCGTGAGAAGGCTGGTTCCCTGTCTCTGGCCAAGTATCTCGCTCAATGTCCGAACTTTTTCTGCTTCTTATGCTTATTTCGTCTGGGGGCCTCCACGAATGTCGGTGGATGGATGAGTGGAGAGGCTCGTGAGGGGAAGACGGGGTCACGATGATGACAAAAGGATGATGGCGGCACTGAGGAGAGAGATGATGTCGGGGGAGAACTCCGTCGAAAAGTGTTCATGTTCTCACCCCTGTCTTCATGTTGCCTACCGGCACCTCCACCAGCCTCCAGGTTCCCCATCCTCTTCCCCGTTTTCTCCCCCGCGCCGCGATGTGAACGCCCATCACCACGAGAACAAGCTTGTGAGAAACTTGGGGGAGGACGGCTCGAACTTAATGCAGTACCCGTCCTGAAGGACTCACATACTTCGGAGACAAGGAAGCTAACGGGAAGAATCGAACATTCCATGCATCCAGCTTGATCTTCTTGTCCATCTAGCGTTTCCGTTGGTGTTCGTGAACCGTCCAGCACTCCTTAGCTTGCAGGGTACAGCCTTTTCGTAAGTAACACAAACAAATCCCTTGGGTCACACACTGGGACGTGCAGACAATGTGCTGCCAGCAAGGAGCAATGGTTTCATTCCAATAGGCCAATTTGCAATATCCTTAGGGCACACTGCCCGTCGTGTTTGCTTCTGGTGCCAGCACAAGCGCAGGCTTCTCGGGCTGGGCAGAAGAAAGTTGAGGGCTGCGCTCGACGAGTCATGGATATTGCTCAAATGGCCTGGGCATCGTTGACTCTGGTTCTCTCTTCTCTATCACTTCCCATCGTCGTATTGGAAACGGACCATTCACCTGTCTGGCTTATTCTTGCAGATGCTGCTTCGCGCTCTCTTCTCCCCATAAACCATTTCGAAACCCCCATCCTCTGTTCTGCCCACAGCCTGCCTTCCTAGCTAGCCCCAGACTCACCAGTCTGCGGACCAATCGCTAGCAACAAACTGCTCCGGGGTTGGTTCATGAGAAGTGCCAAGAGCTCTGGGCATGCATTGGCGGGGGCAAGTTATCGGTCGTACGGACGAGGAAGTTGGACAACTTTTGCTGAATGCGACTCGAGGAGTCGAGACGTCGGAGACACAAGCAACAAGTCCAAAGTCCTAATCCTGAGCCAGAGCTAGAGCCAGTCACACACATCCCCAACCCGGATCCCCCCTGTCGTTTTGTTCGTCTCGACATGCATGCAATCCAGCTGCGAGGAGGACCACGACCAGCAACCTGCATGCTGCATGGCTACGTAGTACGTACCGGAAGCCAAAGCCCTGCAAACCCTGCCCGCAGTTACGGATAAGGCACTCCCAGAGCTACCAGACCTAAATCCAGTCTAAGTCCATGTCGTGGGCGGCGCGGCGGCGAAGCTATGACTGGTAGACAGGGTTTCCGGTACCGAATTTGAAGTACTCCCGTCCCCCTCCCGTCGGAAGCCCGCACGGTGATGGCTGTTTACACAGTACTTCCGAAGAGAGGGGGGCCCTCCACCGAAACCATTCAGATGAGAAACCAATTTCGTCCTTCCCATTGGGGTATGTGATGTATAGAGTGTGAGTGTGAGTGTGAGTGGATCGGGGGTAGCACTCGGCGGCCACGGAGGGTCCCGGGCATGGCAGGATTATCTTTGAATATGAGAGGGAGACGAGACGGCCGCCTACATCCCGTGTTGTCGTCAAATTTATAAGAAGCAGCGCTCAAGGTTTCATCCCACGTTGGCTTCGGATCTGCCCCTCAAGCTCACCCAGGTTGTTTTGGGACACATCCTCTCTCTCTGTGGGTTTCTCTCTCTCACAATTAAC